CTTCTTCCACACCATCGGTTTCCTCATACTCCAGCTGTTCTGACAATCCAATCTCTATTGAATCGTTCTCGTGAACTTCCAACACTGTTGATTGAACTTCTGGGTGCGAATCCGAATCTTGGATCTCAGGATCTTCGTGCTCTACCAGTACATGAACATCCAAAACAATGTCGGATTTAGGACTCATAATCGTATCTTCGCCGAATACGAAATCGCGCTCGAGAGTTCTATGTACTTGCTCTTCATGCCCAAGATATGACCCCTCATCATCGACTTCAACATCGTGCTGCACACTGATCTGCAATTGTTCGCTATGCTCAGTATCAGGGTTTTGTCCTTCGTGCTCATGATTCGAGTCCGAAACTACGATCTCAGCATCAGTTTCCATAGTACTATCAGCTTGTTCCCCATAATCTTGATGCAAAAAACGATCATGCTCGGCCATATTATCAATTTGTTCTTCGTACTCTAGATCCGAATCCGCATCGTTAACTTCAGGATCATGAACGACACTAGTTTCAGTTTGTTGTTGGTTCGCAGCGTTGGTATCCACACTTATCTCAGCTTGCTCTTCACTCGTAGGGTCCGAATACGCATTGTTAACTTCAGCATCATGAACGGCACTAGTTTCAGTTTGTTGTTGGTTCGCAGCGTTGGTATCCACACTTATCTCAGCTTGCTCTTCACTCGTAGGGTCCGAATCCGCATTGTTAACTTCATCATCATGAACGACATTTGTTTCAGTTTGTTGTTGGTTCGCAGCGTTGGTATCCACACTTATCTCAGCTTGCTCTTCACTCGTAGGGTCCGAACCCGCATATTCTAGAACCGAATCCGCATCGTTAACTTCAGCATCATGAACGACATTTGTTTCAGTTTGCTGTTGGTTCGCTTGGTCGGTATCTATTGTCCCAATTTCATGCCCCATACTTGTTTCAGCTTGTTCTCCACTCTTAAGTTCCGAATATGTATACTGCTCTTCAGAGGAGTCATGGTTGATGCTTGTATCCATCTGCTCTCCATAATCAGGATTCGAATGTATATCTTCGATACCAGCGTAATTCTCAATCCTTGTGTCCACTTGCTCGTCGTGCACGAAATTATGATTTGAATTCAATTCTTCACTTTCAAAACTCCGTTCTGCGCTTGCGTCTGTTTGATCTTCATCCACTGAGTACGATGTCGAATCTTCCAATTGAACTTCTCGTTCGACATTTATATCCCCCTGTTCTTCATCTTCCAGATCCGAGTTCAAATCTTCGCCTTCAACACCATGGTCGACACTTGTATCCACCTGCTCTTTGGACGACATCGACATCGACATCTCCTCAGCACTACCAGCTGATACCGAATCCTCGTCATTTTCTGTGTCACTTGGAGGAGACTCAGCGTTCAATGACTCCGCTTCGTCGGATTCCGGCTCTTCCAATATCGACTCATCGACTTTGTCGTGATCGATCTCGTCTTGAGTAGCGGCTTGTTCCATTGGAGGCACTAATATACTTTCACTTTCTCCTTCTAATTCTGATACTGGTTTGATGGGATCTTCTGTCGCCATTGATTTCAATTTTGAATTGATATTGATTGTACCGAAATCAAGAAATGAATCCAAAGATATGGTTTGAAGGTCTGCTCGATTGAAATTCGAAAGAAAGTAGAGAAAGAAGGCACCGGCCATAATAATCAGATGAAACAGCATTGTGTTTGGACTGGATCGGTCTATCTCTTCTTCCTTATCAAGAGTGTCTTCTTTAACAGTTGCAGATATTTCAGCTACCACATCAGACGCTTTAGAAGCATCTCTATTTGTTGGGTCTCTGCTGACATGAATTTTCGTCACTTTCGATGAATTTTCAATCTCTGTTGATGGCATTACTTTCCCTAAGCTTGCTGTTCGTGCTCCTTTTGATTTCTCAGCTAACACATCACACACTGAAGAAGCATCTATATTTGTTGCTTCTTGTCTGACGTCTTGTCTGACGTCCTTGTTTGTCTTATCTTTCGATGCACCATCCACAGTCGTTGTCGGTGACATTTCTTTTTCTGAGCTTGGTGTTGGTGCTCCTTCTGATTCGGCGTCTGAGGAAGGCGTATCGGCAAGCTGGGGAATCGCTTTCTTGACCGTAGGAGCCGCAGTCAGAATAGGATCCGGAAGAATACGTCTCCTTGGCGACTTGGCAACCTTCTTGCCCACAAGATCCATCGACTCGTTCGAAGTACTGTCAACTGTCGAAGTGGTAATAGTCGGAGATGAATTTGCCTCGCTAGGATTGGACATCTCCGAAACCGTGCCCCTCGTATTAATTTTGCCGTAGCTCGACTCATCATCAGATCCTTCCATATTTTGGGCAGCTGGTGGGCAAAAGCCACCAAAGAGCTGGTCAATGCTAAAGGGTTGGCTGCTCATGTTACTTCTTTGAAATAATGCGTATTTGATAATTCCAAGCTCCTTGGCTTTACTTGTAACCAATGTTGGAAGTCAAAACGGAAGCGGTTTTGTTCTGTTTGTGTGGGATGAGAGCACAAGAAATTGTGTGGGATTGATTCGAATTTTTTCTTTCACGGGATTCGCCAGCAGGCTCTCTGGTTGAAGTTTTTGATTTTTGAAAAATGTGAAGTACTTCTTTAGTCCTATATCTTTCGTGCAGTAGAGATTTCTTATTTCTTACAACAGTCTTCAGAGCCACCTACAACAATACGTTGTAGTCCACAGCTCACTTGGTAATCAATCATTAACTCGATTTGAATCCATTCATAAAAAAGTGAGCCTAAATCTTTTCCGAGCACACAAATGTAGGTAGGCTCCCAAGACCTGTGCTTTGTTTGAATGGCCTCTCACAACTCACAAGATATGGCCCCGTTTCATCTGTTTCAAGTTTGAAAAACCGTACTGTTGTATCCTTTTGTACTTGTTTTCGAATGTCAGCAGCACAATCTGACTCGTTTGTTTCCTCCTGGTCAGAGTCGTTTCGAACCGATTCAGCGTCATCGTCACTCTTGTCCGCCGTGTGCCGTCGTCGTCAATATTGTGTAGAGCCTCGGACATCGCTCCATGTTCTGGTGATGAGATCGAAGTGTCACCAGCAGTACTAAGCGCTTTGTCGCCATTGATGGTGTTCGCCTGGGAACCTAAAGCCGATTCCACATCGTAGAACTCCAGGTTGACATATTTTTCATCGATAGTGGTATCTTGAGACGTCTCAATGGGATCTTTCAGATTTTTAGTAGTCTTTTCAGAGACTGTCTTCATGTGTTTTGTGGGAAGCTCAAAAACTGAATCAAGATATATGGACTGAATATTCTCTTGGTTGAAATATGCAAGCGAATATAGCACAAAGATACCAATCATGACCGTTGATTGAAAGATAATACGACCCGGGCTGCTTTGGGCGGTGGGATCTGCTTCAGCAGATGCTTCCAATGGTAAAGTCTTTTTTATTGATCCACTATCGGTGGTTTCTGCTTTTGTGATGTGAATAAGGTCATCTTTCCATAGTTCATTCATCTTGATTGAAGTTGTGTCTTTGGGAATGACTGTTTTCGAACTTCTGTCAATCACTTTCACTTTCCTTGGCGAGTCGTCTACCGTCACCGAAACCACATCTTTCGTCTTTCTCCCACCGTAGATTCCCCCATCATCTGAATCATCTTTCGCTGTCTCAAAGTGATCAAAAGAAGAGGGTGGGCAAAAGCCAGAAAATAGTTGCCCTAAATGGAAAAAAGGTCTCTTGTTGCTCATGTTCCTTCTATGAAGGAATGGATCAGTTTCAAGTCACTGAGAACTAGGATGTCTCCAACCTGAAGCGTGTAGGATGATCCTGATTGCAACCAAAACAAGATATTTGAAGAGTTGCATGTGCGCAGTGGTTTGCTTCCGTTTTGGAGTGTCAATGACAGTAGCCTTCAGTTTTTTGTGTTTCGAATTTTTCGGCGAACTGGATGTCATCGCGAGCAGAACTGCAAAAAAGTCGCAAACTACTCCCTACAATACACGCGTACGCGTATCGGTACTTGTACGTACAGGATGTGTACTTTATCTCTCAGATTTATCGAATGGTATTCCGTATGCACTGCCTACACCGGCGGTATCGCTATTAGTATGAGAGTTGCAGAGGCTATCATTACGGTACTACCATACCAAGTTGTATAGAAAATCACTGTTTTCTGATCTGTATTGCTGCATGGAAGGGGTAGAAGACAATGCAACGAGGACACATTGTGTTTGCGCGTGTTTACGGGGTCAGCAAAACCTATGTCAAAGTAGCAGTTTTTGAAGAATCAATCAATCAAGAATGGTGATTTCATATCAAAATGTGATCTTCCTGCAATACTTCAGAGATACCACTTTCGCTCTTTTCCTTTAGAACTACACTTTTTTCCTTTAGAAATGCCCTAGTCTCCTTGATCTGTGTTCCTTTTTGCTTCATCCATCTACGGGAGAATGGGCGGGGTGGACCCAATAGCTCTTTTCCTTCAATGGAGCGAAGGAACGTACCAGATTCGTCTTGTTCTAGCTTGTAAAACTTCAAGTCGTTGATATTTGGCAGTTGATCCATACCTTCAGTTTCAGGCATCTCAAATTGCCTCACTGAAGCTTGTTGATAATCTTCAAAGCTTTCAAATCTTGTGATTCCTGGAGAAAGGCGAATGTTGGCCTTGACTGAACTACTCTCTAGCCATATCAGACGCAAGAGTATGAGTGCAAAAGCCAAAACAAGATAGTTGGCACGAGAAGAGGAAGAGTCTGATTTTTCGTCGAAAGATATTTGTGTTGGTTTGTCGAAGCCAAGACGCTTCGGAATTCCAGCTGCTGACACCAAACTGTCGTCTTGCGATGAAATCGACATCAAATTTGGACTACTACTCACACTCTCTGCTGAAGAAAGTGGACTTTCATTGACGGTAGCCGGAGTCGCCATGCCTTGCTTGTTAGACCTGTGCTTAATGGCTGTGTTCGGGTAATCATCATCATCTGAGTCTTCAAAATGATTTGGCTTCGATGGAGTGCAGAAGTTCATGAGATTGGACGGTAGCCCTCGGCTTGGTCTTTCTCGGGCAGTAGTCGTAGGCACCGTTGCCTTGACAGGTGTGAACAACGTCATTCTTTTCAAATTTCCAGATGTTCGGTTTTTGTGGAAGATGAATTTTCGTTCTTGTTGATTTCAAGAATGAATGATGACGGTTGGAATTCTTGTCACACGACATCTGTTCAAAATTCGTATTCGGATGAGTCATTCAATGATTCAATCGAATCAATCATTTCCGCATTCGTTTCCAATCAGGTAGCAACATCAACACGATTAAATTGAGAGTATCTTTATTAACAGGAGACAAGAGTCATCAACGACCCTTGCTAGTACCTTTGTACTGCAAAGAAGCCATGTTTTCGTCTTTACTATCAACATTGTCACCAAAGAAACTACTGGCAGCCTCAATTTCCAAGTCACTGGCCGAGTTTTTTCATGTAGACCCAGAACAGGTGGAAACCAATCTTGTTCAAGATGCCAGGGTCACGCTCAAGGGAATCAAAATCAAACAAAGGCGCCAGGGTCGGCTTTTGGTTTTTGGATCCGTTGGTCAGATTGAATTCTCTTGGGCTTGGGATACTGGGTCGTTCATAACGGATACCAAACTGACCGTCAAAGGTGTGGACATTCACGTACGCCTTATCAACGACAATGACCAAGTTGATAATAATCCAAATGGAGCAAGTCCGTCAACAGAATCATCATTGGAATCGAGCAGTCAAGCCACTCTCGGAGCTGAGAATGGAAAAGACACGGAGTGGAAAGCGAGATACAAACAACAAATTATTGATCACATGACATTGCTGATTACGGATGTGTCAATATCCATCCAGGCGATGGACGAGTCGTCCCAGGTTGTTCTGCAAGCAAAAAGTATGGAGCTGCAGACCTTACACCAAGTAGGCGACGGAAAAGACGGATCGTCTGCGCTTTTGCAAGAAATATGTTTGGGCTCCATCGCCGCTTGGATACACAATGATGCTAGTACTCGGCATTCTATTCTCGACCCAGTCGGTTATCGTGCCAGTGTTCAGAGAATCTCAGGACGGCGATTTCTTGATGGTGTCCTATCAGGTCTGATGGTGCAAGGAAATCCCAGGGAAAATATTGACGAAACTCATGCAGCATCTACAATTCGCGTGCACGCTGGCAAGCACCAGTTGGTTGGCTTGAAGTGCCTCCAAAATGTCTTGCAGAATGTTGGAAATGACACTCGTTCATCGCAAGGAGAGGAAAAGGATTCTGTAAAAACGGATTCAAAGGAACAAGAGTCTCAAGTTTCGTTGCTAAACAGCACTGCGGGTAGCATATTTCGGCTACCAATACAATCCATTGAAATCGTGTTGGATGATGATTTGAAGCTTGGTTTGGAAGAATGTGAAGTCAGATATTGTATGGATGGGACCGAACTTTCTTTACATTGTAATGGGGGGCTTTGGATGGATGGTTCTCCTATTCTGAAGAGTAGCTGTGTGGTCGTTGATTTTGCCAATTTCAAGCTGGAGTTGGATGCGTATTCAAGTGAAGAAGGCAGCGAAGTATTCTACAATGCACCTAACATCGTATCGCCTACTGATGCAGAAGGAGAGCTAGGACAGGTACGCAACGATAAAGAGAATGTGAAACTCATGTTTTCCATTGAACTATTTCGACGACTGTACTGCAGTATGTCTGCAATCCTACCGGAATGCCAAGAAGCCTTTGCATTGATAAAACAAACGAAGAAATCGAATCTTGAATTCCGTACAGTTTTGTCAACTTCAACACCATGGACTATACTTGCCAAACAGCCGACTTCGTTTCATTTTACAGGACACGACAATATGTGGATTGAAGTAACTGGAATCGGTCTCGTCATTGAACAAAAGTACACCACCGATAGCGACTTCCCATTCACAATTTCCTGCCGTTCAGCACGGCTTGAATCTTGCAATGGACTTTCGATCACTGTCCCGAGCATTGAGACCAGTGGCAACACCATTGTCTTCTCTGACAGGGTTTCTGCTGCTTTCGAATCTATCGATAGCCTCATACCATTGAAGGGTATCTGGGAAGATGTTTGTTGTATCATTGGAAGTCAACCGTCAAGTGATATAGCGTTCGACTATACAATTCCTTGTGTAGACGTATCTTGCTCGGAAGCAAACTTTGGAAATATTGCTTTTGGTAAGCTGAGTGGAACTGGATCGATTGTAAGGTTAAAATCACTGCGACTTCAAGATATAAAAGGTCTCTCTCTGGAAGCCAGGCATCTTGAGCTATCTTTGGAAAATAGAGACATCTGTCTACAAATCAAGGAGATTATGACCTGTGGCTACGGCGGTAACCCTATGATAAGTGTACCAGTGCAGAACTTGGAGCTTAAACATCATCAAAATTCACTTTCGATCGCTTGTGACGACCTCGCAATGATTGTCCCTTATCGACGGCACGATGATGAGCCAAAGACGACTAGCACCATTGAGGCAGCAATTTTTGAGTTGCGTCAGCTAGAGAGATATGCGAAATCACTCCACCTTCAAGCCAAGAAGCTGATACTTTCAACTGATGCCGGTGATGTACTGGCAACACAAAGCATGAATGTGTCCATAGGACTAGGTGCTTCGTCGAACTTTGGTGTAACTATGAGACGTGCCACTGTTCAGAATATCGATAGGGAAGAGATCACGTGCAGTGGAATCAAAATCACCGGAAACATTGACTTCCCCGCACAATGGTCGAGTTCCATTCCCCGTTTGCCAGTCTGGAAGTACTTTTCATCAGCAAAGCTGGCTGTTGAAAGCATAGATTCGTTGATGTTGCATGATTTTGGGCGCTTACATGCCCCAATCGAGAACATGATTATTCTGTTTGGCAACGATTTGGCAACAGTGCGTTGCAAGTCAATCAAATTCTGCCCAAAATTGATGCCAAAGGGATCTGGAGGTATTCAACCCCCTTCAGCGGCTCTGAATTGGCCAACTCTCAGATTTGAAATTGAACGGTTGATGTTGATGCCAGAGTTTCGACCTGGCAAACCTGGACTTTGCTTTGATCGATTGGGTCTTTTTTGTCGTCCACAAGGCTCTGCTTTGCTCGTCGTCATGGAATGCAGCTACCTTCAAGGTCGCGGCCCAAACTCGATAGACTTCGCGATCAAGCAAGTAAAGATTTCTGCAATGAAGGAAGGGGCAGGTGACTCGACTGGGAAAACGGATCTCTTTGGGTTTCGAGAGGCAGAAGTTTCCGTTGGTGAGCTATCCTCTTTCGCTGTTCCCGGCAAATTCAGACTTGCTAAACCAATTCCTAACTTCACGGCTCAGTTCAAGGATGGCGAGGTTGAGTCAAAAGTTGTCGAATTGCATGTTATCTGTGAATTCGGAAGGAACAGCCAGATGGCTAATCTGTCGATAGGAGCGCCTGACCTGACTACTAGTTTGCCTATTGTTCGGGTGGTTGTGCAGAAAGGAGATGTTGAATGGATTCCAGTGAAAGCTCCGGACGGCAGCCGAGCCTGCATCTCTTTTGAAAACAGTGAATTCAGATTGTTTCAAGACTATTCTGCTGGTATTCGTTTCGAAGTAGGAATTGATTCTATACATGGTAAAAAAGCAGATGGCTCAGCTGTAATTGCCTCTCAAGGCCAGTGCGCAGTGGTGATGCAACAAGGTTCGAATGAGGTTGCAGTGCTGGAGACACTGTCGATACCACTGATAGGTTCACTCAAGTCAGTAAAGCTAAGCTTTTCCGAGGTCGAGGTATTTCATGTTCCAAATTTCGTCAACCTTAAGAATCCAAGTCGAAACATCGAAGTAAAGTTTAGCAAAAATAAACTTGTTGTCACTGCTCGAGACATAAGTCTCCAACGATTCGTTCAAGATCCGATCTACCAGAAGAAAGCGCAAGCTCCATCCTTTGACTTCCCTTGCAACATCAATGTCTCGGTTGTCACCCTCTGCGTCGAGGATATCACACAGCTGAAAGTGACAAGCCGCATAATTCGTTGCAGTAACTTCTATGTGGGATTAGAACCGACACTCGCCATGATTGGATCGGGGATAGAGTCGCCAGGTGCGGGTGCCTTCTTCAGATGCCAATCATTAGAAGTCAGAGACTCTTCTTCTATTGTTAACATCCCAGAGTTATCTGGTTCTGGGTTGCTACAATGCAATATGCCTGATACAATTGGTAACCTCGTGATTGGACTTGAGAAAGCACAGTTAGAGGCAGATTTCTCTTCAATGGAGTGGTCTGGACCAGGACGGCGACAGAGCTTCAACATGAAGCTTCCCTTTGCTGCTATTCCAAAGTTTGTTCTTACATTAAAATGCGTTGGTACCCTGCTCAGCGTAGAGGACGCAACACTCGCCTGCGAGGCGTTCGAAGGGACTTCGAAAACGACTCTTGATGCCTTGAAAGCTCATTACGTTGGAATCGCCCGACATAGGATACCGTATATTTTGGCTGCGAAGACAAGTATCGCTGGTGCAAATATTGGAGATAGCGTAGGAATGATGGCTGGATCTATTGTCACAAACACTTCTGTCGTTGGTGCGGCTGTTGGGGTTGCGTCCCGAGATGCAGTTGGATCAGCTATTCGACAAGGGAAAGCTGCCCGTGGAGTTGATGAGTCCGAAAAGTACAAGTTTGGTGAGTCAATAACTATCAAGCTCTACCGCTCTAGTCATATCTTTGATCTCATCATCTCGTTTTGCCACTCCAGGTGACTTCACCAGAGGTGCGATTGCTTCTGTAAAGGGCGCAGCCAAAAGCGGAGCGGCTATGCGAAACGATGAGCAATATCAGTTTGGTGACTTTACGGCAGGGACAAAGAAATCAGCGAGCTCATATGCTTCGAAAAATAGGATGAGGCTGGCAGGTGCTGGTGGCTCTGCCGCTGGGATGATTGCTGGAGCGGCAATTCTTGGACCAATTGGATTTGTGGCAGGTTCATTCCTCGGATCATCGGCGGCGCAGTCTTCTGTCCGTTCTATCACGGGAGACCACAACGACAATGAGGAAACCCAAAGAGAGGAGCCATCTGCTACTGGCTCAAACGTAGAACATTGGTCTCTTGACAATCGGAGAGACCAAACTTCTGCAAGCCATGGTGGGGATAGCTCTGGTCACCCGACTGCCCCAGTTGCTCTGAATGCCGAGGCTCGAATGGTTGGGGGCATCGCAACGAGCGAGCAGAGAGGCGTCATGGCTCAGGCGGAGCTCGTTGATCTCTTGTCATCCGAACTACCGGCAGTTCCAGTCATATTGCCTACGAGTGGAGCAACACCACAGTGCGCTCAAGCAACTAGACCTCAAACTTCTGCTAGCAAAACTACCATGCCTGTTCCTCTTGGAAGACCAACCAGTGGCAATATGTCGGGATATTCGAGGTATCATGTTGCCGACACTCCAACGCCCATGCAGGCTTCCTCCACATCGATGTCGCAGTACCCAGTCGCGCCTGTAACGCTTGTGGCAGCTGCTACAAACACCGTGCCTCGTGCGCAAGGCGGTATTCCAAGACAACTCCATGGAAACCAAAATCATTTTAACGATGGTTATCACGAAGATAACGCGGCTCGTGCCCAAAATCCTAGCTTACAAGGGAACAGTATTGGTCAAATGCGTTCACCTTCCACTACACAAAACAACTCAGCAGCTGGAAGCCAACAACAGCAAGGGTATCGTTTTGGTAAGTTCAACCGATGTACTTTGTTCAAATTCCAAAGGCCTCCAATAGCATATACGATTTTTTATAGGTGATGTAACCAGAGGCATTGTTGCAAGAGGAAGACAGCTGGATGGAAGAGAAGAAAATAGTGGGTACCAGTTTGTAAGTGTTGTCATTTCTTGGAGTGGTGGTCTTGGTGGTTTCAATCTTCGTAATAGCATGCTCACTGCGTATGTCCAATCCTAAGGGTGACTTCACAAGAGGACTTTTTCGGTAGTTGTATTGTATAGAGTGCAAGTGTAATATTATGAAATTTTGAGAAAATTTCAATACTGTTATCATCGTCGTGGTATTCATTAACAAGGGCCTCATATTCGTTCCGGCACCACAAGTACCTCTACGAAGTACATACTTAGTAACTATTTTTTCAGAAGACACACTGGGAAAGATGTGTCGTGTTGCTTCGCCGCTTAACGGCTCTTTCTCTCCGTGGTGGGAGTTCTAAGTAAAAATTTCAATGGAACGAACACCAGCTGTAAGACTGGGATCTTGCGAGGGAATCAAAAAAATACTGCCAACATCGATGCCTCTGTTGTGATGGAGGATGACCAATACCCTGACTTTGGCAACCAATCAGTCGCCACTCCCAAATCCAATCAATATCAAACCCCATCGAGGTTGGACCAAATAGAATCTACAGAAATGGCTGTCGATTCTACAGAACAAACAAACCTTCTGCGTGCAAATGAAGACATTGAGCTTCAACACTCGGAAGTGTCGGGGAAGGCTGTGATCCTTCCAACCGGAAACATCCTGCCAGAACGACGTCTTTCTGATATTGCCCGAGACACGAAACGAATCTTGGAGATAGCCTATGGTTCTGAAGATGGTGATCAGATGAAGAGTGATTCAATGGAAAATACTGCAGAAATAGATGAAGAATCTGAAGACGACACTGCCAACAATCAAAGCAAAATGGGTGGCACTGGCACTTACAACGAGACTGTGGAGCTAAAGGAGGGACAGTTTTTGATCAATGGTTATGTTATCAACCCATTGCCAAAAAAGAAGAAAGCAACAACCAAAAGCAAGAAAAAGACAACCAAGGCGAAGAAGGACTCGAATAAGGAAATGAAAAAGGACTCGGAAAAGCCGAAGAAGAAGACTACAAAAAAGAAGAAACAGTCTGATGGCACCAATGTTTCTAACACCGCTGGTACGACAGATACTTCTAATGTTGGTCAGGCGGCAGACGCATCTATTCCAAATTCAGAAGCCGAGTCTCTCCTTAACACAATCGATGAGAATGCGGAAGGCGAACCTTCTGCTGAGGCGACCGACGGTGGCAAAGCGAAGAAGAAAAAGAAGAAAGGGAAAGGAACCAAAAAGAAGAAAAAGAAAAAGAAGAAAAAGGTAAGCTCTTTTGTTCTCCGAGTGTCAGTAGCTGAGTGGTTGCTAATCGCACACTTGATTCATCACTATTCAAAGATTGTTGTGTTGGGTATGCAACGAGATGCAGCTGGTCGGATTGTGAGGAAGAGAAAATACATCAAACATAGGCATAAGGTCGTGAAAAAGCATCTTATTAAGAATGGTAAAGATGCCAAGGTTAGCCTCGATCCGATTTTGGAGACCGACGAGGATATGGAGAATAGTTCGCGTCAGAGTTCCGTCCACAGCCGAAACTTTCGGAGCAGCGTACAGAACTCTAGCCCAGACGGAGATGGCTCGAATCATGGGCTAGAGCCTTCTGATAGCGGTTTCAAGGATGAACCAGATACCGAAAGATCCAAGACAGACGCTGGTTATTATTCTGACGAATCAGACGCTTCTTTCACATCTTCGGAGTACTCCTACTACGACAGTGATGATGAAGTATCATTTTGCTTCACTACCAGAGGAATCGTCCTGATCGCCTGTCTGGTCTGTCTTTCCGTCGGACTTGGTATTGGACTTACCTACTACTTCCTTGAGCGGCGTACGAGCGGCCCTCCTACCATACCCATAACTTCAGCTCCAAGCGGGAGTACACCGTCACCTACTGTGGTAGTACCAACACCAATGCCAACCTTTCTCGCACCAACGATTTCCAGTATGCCAAGTCTTAGTCCGACAACAGCAGAACCCACAGCAACTCCAGTCCCCACCATCGAAACTACTACCCTGGCTCCAACATTGAACCGTTTCGAGTACTTGTCCCAATTGGTTACATCCATTTCACCAGAGTACATGCTATCTGGAACTCCACAGGCGAACGCCTTTGAATGGATGACGACGAGGGACTTGATCAACTGGTCTGATCTTCAAGACCGCGAGTTGTTGGAACGATATATCTTTACCGTCTTTTATTTCGCAATGGGAGGCAGTCAATGGAATAGAGATAAGGACTGGTTATCGGATTTGCATATTTGCGATTGGTATGGGCTCGCGTGCTATCTGGATGTCTTTGTAGTGGACATTTTTCTCGAGGAGAACGGTATGATTGGCAGGCTGCCTGTTGAACTTTCGAATCTCATGGACCTGGAAAGCATATCAATTGAGTTGAACGTCGTCGAAGAGGGCTTACCATCAGAACTCGGCAGCTTGACCAAGTTGACTGATCTGGCATTGAGTTCCACGGCAAACTTGGACTTTCAAGGATCCTTGCCCAGTGAGATTGGGAATATGAGCAATCTACGACGACTTCGAATGCGTAAGTAACTGACTCTTTCTGTCGAGTGACCGTTGTTGTTTGAATGCAATACCTCAAATCAGATGAACTACAGGGAGTAACGGACTGACAGGAATGATACCAGGTGAAATTGGAATGTTGTCGATGCTCACAGAGCTAGATCTTTGTACGTCTTTGTCTGTTTGTATCATGTTTGGTTGTCAATGTCTCTGGCTAACCACCCGCTATTTAGCCCAAAACGATTTGTCTGGTTCGATTCCGGATACTATCACCAGTATGGACAATCTCCGCCTTATTAATCTCTGTGAGTCCGTAATGAAAACACTTCCAGCTGTTGACGTTGCAATCATTTTCTAACTCACTCTCGCTTGTCGACAGCATGGAATCTGTTTGATGGAAGCATTCCCAGCTCACTTTTCAACTTGACGCAATTGGTGTCATTGGATCTAGGTATGATGACTCGATCGTTGAGGCTTCTGGTCTCGGAGCGCTCTCGTTCTAAACTGTTACTTCTCTCTTTCCAGACATTAATTACTTCAACGGACCAGTGCCAGAAGACTTTGTGAAGCTCAGCAATTTGGAAGTTCTTTCAATTGGTACGTCGTCAACAATTGCTACTACTGATATTGTAAAACATCGGTGGTTCCTAACATCAATACCAATCATTCTCTTTCGTCAATTTTGCTTGCAGCTCAAAATACCCTGACAGGAACATTGCCCGAGAACATGGGTGAAATGACAATGCTCCAGTCACTACGACTACGTAAGTTCAATGCCTTTTCGACAAAGATTTCTTTTTGTGCCCTTCACTCATATGACCCTTCCGCCATTGCAGAAAATAATGTCATTCGAGGGACAATTCCATCAGAAGGGACTTGGGGACGCCTGACTAACATGGAGTACCTCTTCTTGTGTAAGTATGAAAGGATGAGTTGTTCTTGCTTGTTTTTAGATGCCACAATCATCTCTCTCACAAAAATTCGTGTACATCCTGCATGACAGCTTCGAATCAAATTAGTGGTACCATTCCAAGCTTTCTTGGAAACATGTCTGGTCTCTTATGGTTGGACTTGAGTAAAAACCTGCTCACTGGTATCGTACCAAGCGAAGTCAAGAACTTGACCTCTGCCGCCATCGATGTTTGTAAGTGTACAGAAGAACCATTTTGGTCTGATAGAACTACTTTCGGAGTTTTTGTTTCTAACGTCCCCACTGCCGATTGATCCCAGACGACAACAAGTTGGACGCACCTTAGAGCAGCACCGAACTCAACATGGTTTTAGATAGATATGATACCAGTACTGTAAACCACATTCTTAAAAATAATGTGGTCGGATCAGTCTATTTACTGCGCAACGTCACGCACGCATAATGCATAATATTCAATCAATACTCAATACACAGAGTCAGTCGTTTCATGTTCTTCCTCCTCCTCTTCTCCTTTTTGCGGCTTGTGACGTCCCGCTTTTGTCCTGGATCTGACCCACGAAACAAGGACTTGGGATATAAACGATATACCGGTACCGTGCCAGTACTTGTACTCACAAGAAGTGTTGAAGTCTAATCCCTCTGTATATTCCTCTTTCCTTTCAAATACGTTCCAATTAATTCCATTGCACAAAACCACACGCGTCACAAACACTTTCACAGTCATAATAATACCTACATATTCAATATTCAATATTCAATATTACACAAATACAAATACAAACACATACACACACACACACATACACAAAAGTGCCAATTCGAGTTCCTTGATGTGGAGAAGATAACCCAACGACTATAAGAGTCCGAATAAGCAGTTGACAAGTGGTTGTAGTACTGAGCCCTCTGCATATATTTGCAAACAGCAATTTACAACAATAATGCTAAGCGGAATAATGTACCGCTGGCTTTTCCAAAACGAATCGATTTGGCAATGTGTGTTTAGCTTTTGTTTGGGCGCCATTTCGGTTGGATGTGTTTGGTGCTATCAGAATTTGCCGGATCAACTAGAAATTGATCCCGAAAGTTGGATCGAACCCTGGAATGAAGCCATTAAACGACGTCCAAGTTGGATTGGTGAATTGCCGCGTGAGTTTTTTGCACATCGTCGCAACACCCATTGGCCCTGGGAAACGATACGGCGGAAACTCTCGCGTGGGAGCAGCCTGTATGCCATGCCAGCCGAGGATACATTGGAGACAGAGGAAACCAAAGAGGTTGAAAAAACTGAAAAGGAAACGTGTATTGGAAGCATTTTTGGATTGGATGTAGGTGGAACACTGGCTAAATTGGTTTACTTTGAAAAGAAACCAACCAATTACGACCCCGTCAGTCCTCGAGAACGTCACTATAACGTGGCCGCCTCGGCACAAGCTGTTTCAATTGCTCGACGAGGTCAGGATGCGAAGAGTCCAGTTCCAAGACGGCGGTCATTTCCCAATATGGGGACGCAAACTGCATCGAAAAAAGCCGCTTCCAACCACTCGACGCATTCCGACTCGAGCGACGAAGACATCAGGCATCTTGACACTTTGCGACAAGAGTCCGTGCCTGATGATTTGTCACAATACCGAATATCCGTTCATTTTGAAACTCCCGAACGGCCAGCAGCTCGGAAACGACGAGAGGAAGGGTCTGACAAGGAAAATAAAAACGACGAAAATGGATCTAGTGCTGAAATTGGTGGAAATATGAAGAAATCTCGATCAATGTTTGACCTTTCTGTAAAACAAAAGAAAGCAGAAGCCTTGGATCAATTTTATAACTTTGCACGTCGGTTGGATTCTTACCAAGACAGTGTCCGAGATCACAAACTTTCCTTTTTCTCCCGGGAACTTGGTGGCGAGTTTCATTTTATTCGATTTGAAACGAGGCGCATGCCCAATGCTATGGAACTGATTCGGGTCAACAATTTGCACAAGAATATTTGCGAAATGGGTGCAACAGGCGGGGGTGCCCACAAGTATGCAGAGGATTGGGAAAAGAGTCTGGGGATCCGAATGGACAAGCAGGAAGAATTGGATAGTCTTGTGGCAGGAATGCAATTTGTGCTGTCAACAGTGGTCGGAGAGTGTTATACCTTTAGACCCAAACAAACCAAAGCTGTGGATCACTCGGATTCTTCGGATCAGATTGGAGCCCCACTGTTGGACGATGCGGCCTCTGAAGCTTCAGATGATACGCTTAATGGAGAGAATCAAAAGAATCGAGTGGATGGCTGGTGGTGGTCCCGCAAAGTACAGCGGGATGCTATTTCCTACTCTTCGACCTATCCTTATCTATTAGTTTCCATTGGTACGGGAGTTTCCATTTTGCGTGTGGATGGCCCAAGAAAGTACGAACGTATTTCAGGATCGTCGATTGGTGGAGGTACTTATTGGGGTCTTATTCGGTTATTGACAGATGTCGAAGATTTTGATGCTGTCATGCGACTGGCCGAAAAAGGTGATCCTGCTAAGGTGGACATGATGGTGGGCGATATCTATGGAAACGATAGTTCGGCTCTGGAAAAGCTGGGGCTGCCATCGGATATTGTAGCTTCCTCCTTTGGAAAACTGGTGGCCAAGGAAGATCCCGCCAGTGGATTGAAACAAGAAGATTTGGCCAGGGCTCTTCTTCTGATGGTGACCAATAACATTGGTCAAGTCGCGTACTTGAATGCACAACTACACAAGACAACTAGAATATACTTTGTTGGGAACTTTTTGCGCAGCAACATGATCTCGCAACGGCGGTTGAGTTATGCCATTAATTACTGGAGCAAAGGAAAAATGGAAGCTCTCTTTCTAGAACACGAGGGATACTTTGGGGCGCTGGGCGCCTTTTTGGTGTCACAAAATGTACCCAATGTGGAAGAAGGACTTGGGGAATGGAATGATGACGATGGAAAGCGGAAACCGGACCACAGTCGTGAGCGACGTCAGACAATGCGGCATTTGCAAACATTTGGTGGATGAGGCGTAATGCACGACGATTATGAAGGATTGATAACATGTCAGAGACGCGGGCATTCCAAGTGTTTGCCAATAGCTAAAAGGCAACCCTCTGCCTTGACGCAACCAGTAGCTGTTTCAGTGGTGGTACGCACTTGCGCTATACTAGAGCCATTACAGTACTGATGAAACATTTGTTATGAATAGTTTACAGATGCTATGGTATCATGATAGAGACATCAACTACGATCCAGTTCACATGCCGTCACTGCTCAGATGCCCAACTCATCCGACGACGAATCAGATTCAATCGCTTGATAGTTAAAGTATTTTTTGCCAATCCCAGTGAGGTTCAAAAGACTAGCGGAAAAGTTGGAAGACCCTTCTGAGAAAGTATCATCTTTTTCTGCCCATTTCTTATCGCTATCAGACGGCTTTTTACGTGTGAGAAAGAAAGCACTAGCAAGAATGAGACCCCAGAAAGTGATTCGAAGGAGTTTGTCAAAGAACCCGCAGCCGCCGCTCGACGCAACGTGAGCTGTACAAACAAAATTGGTGTCTTCTTTTGTTGGACACCATGAGGAGGGCGCCGAATCAGCTTCCCATTTGAAGGAAGAAAGGGGCTTGAAAGCCTCGGGACATTGGCTTCGACCTATGCGTTCAGGTGGAACGGAAAAAGTTTTGACCGTCGTCAAGGGAGCTCCATTGGACTGATTGTACGCCTCTTTCAAAAACTCAAAGGATGGTAGCGGGTGGTACTCGCAAGGAATGTCAATATCATTGCAATTCTCTGGTTCAAAGAATCCAATCCCATAATTCTGTTCTCCGAAGCATTTGAACGGATAAGGGGATTCCTGTCCAGTATTTGCCTTCTCTATTGAGTATTCAAAGCCAAAGGCGCCAGCAAACAATGAAAGGAGCTCCGGTTGATTTAATAGCCATTTGGCTTGCATAAAAGTCCGCTGTCCTTGGTAACCTTCTTTTTCAGGGAAGGAATCGGACAAGCAACCAAACTCCGTCATCAAGACTGGTATTGAGTAGTTGTAGCTTTCAAACGATTTCTGCAAGGCTTTCAACCCCAAGGCTTCATCGTATCTTTTGGCTGTTCCATCGCACATGACGTAAGAATTCAAGCCCAGCCATTCAGCGTTTTCATACTTGTCCTTGGGATCACTCTCACAATTATAATAGAGTACATTTTGGGCCCGGTCTGTGTCTGCAATAATTAGCCCAACAGGAACCTTTCTCAGGCTTGGACATGACGCAATATATTTCCGCATGTCTCTCAAGAATTTCTTTTGACATACACCATTCCACTGTGGCATGCCAGGAGGTGCAAAATGGTTGACTTCGTTTCCTGCTGAAAACGCAAGTGTATTTGAGTATTTTGCAAAGGCGGCTATGACAGCTTGTCCTTGCTCTTTCAGTTCCTTAGGATAACAATGTGGCGCTTGATCACGTGTTATGGCACAAGTGGGACAATCCCTGGCCAGGGCCACAATCACATAAATGTTCGCCTCTTGAAGAGCACACATGAATGAGTCGTGGCTTTTTTTCGGATCGACCGCATAGAGGCGGACTGCATTGACGCCCAGTTCTTCAAAATATGCGATATCACGCTCCCATAGCTCTCTATGCTCCTCTGAGTAGTAGTCTAAAGAGTTGAAGTTCAGCAGTCCGTCGTTGGGCCTCGGGTAGTAGTCGATACCTTTAATGACAACTTCTTCACCTGAAAGGTGATCGAAGAATTTGTATCCTTTGATCTCAAGGGGATTCATGGCTTTACTCTGAGAAGCCATGAAAACCCCTACAGTGAGATACTTGGAGAAGTTTATCAGCGAAAACATTGCCAAGTGTGGAACATGGGATCATATGCGGGTGGTACAGTATAGCTAGCTTTGATTGTGGAACGCAACCAATTTTATGAAAAGCTGAACCGGGAAAACACACTACTGTAACTCGAATGGATCGATTCGTGACTCGACTCAAATCGATCGAAGAAGTCGGTGAGATCTGTCGTCTTCAACTTCGTTTTGTCAACTACATTCCAACAACTGTCGTCCGGTCGTTGGGATAAGCAACAATGAACTTTCGCACCTTTCTGTGTCTATTCGTATCAACCTCTACCTGTACGGCATGGAGTACACCATCATCACAATGTAGAACGGACCTATCGGTGTCAGGACCTGAGTGTGATCGACGGGAGTGGTTCCAAAAATCATTGGTTTTCGGATCTGCACTCGTCGCATCGTCCATCTCCTCGACAACTCCTGCAAGTGCAGCATCCGTTCCAGAACCAGCCGCGACAGTAACAGACAAAATATTTGTCGAAGTGAAAGGTCTGCCTACCGCAGATGCATCATCACCCACCACCCAGAGTATAGTGATTGGTCTGTTTGGAAAAGATGCACCAAAATCTGTAGACAAGTTGAAATTGCTTATGGGGACGGGTTTGCCAGCTGTATGTAAGGAAAAAGAAGAGCGAGTTTTGCAGCGAGAGCAACTTGAGGCAAACAAGGTATACAACTCCTGTGTTGAAGGCCAAAGCAGCGGAGTCAACTACGATTATGCTCAGATCTGGAGAATCATCAAGGACGAGAGAATAGACTTTGGTTCGGTTGCTGGAAGATTTATTGCTCGTGAATACCCTAACTGGGGGGAGAGGTTAGTTAGTGTGCCCACAGTTTCGATGTCCAATGGATTCTTTCGATCCATATCTCACGTACTTTTGTTTCTTGACAGTTCTGCAAGTGGACTAAAACACGACCGGGCAGGGCTTGTTTCAGTTCGAAAAGGGTCAAACAGTGGATTTGGTTTTACAATTTACCCCGGAGGATCTGAAGCGAGCACCGAAGATCTCGATAACAATCACATCATTGTTGGTCAGGTGCTCGAGGGAATGGATGTTATTGAACAAATAAATAAGTTGCCAGTCGTTGGAACTGCAAAAGTAAACTACAAGGGATTCAGCGGAGGAAGTGGATTCCAGGAGGGACCAAGTCGAGCATGTCGGTACGGTGGGTCACAACTCTATTGCAATGAGAACAAACCGCTGCAAAAGCTCACGATGTACCGAACGGGATTACTCTAAATTGTGCTTGAAATTAATTAAAATCAGAGCGCTCATCTCGAATTTTTTCGCTTCTTGGTAGCAGCACCTTTGTCTTCGTCCCTGGCATTGAACTCATCTGACGAGCTCAACTTTCCATCTTTCGTTTTCAAAACATCATATAATTCAGGTCTGCGATCTCGAAAGAGCCCCCATGCCAAACGTGTCTCTCGATTCTTAGACGGAGAGTACGATGCAGTTAACGTCATAATGGGTGGAGACATTTCGTCAGGTCGTGCTTCTGTGATTATTTCTCCGGTTTCATCGGTGATGAAGCTTCTGCCATAAAACGTAATCTGTTGGCGTTTAGAACCGTCGTCATGAAGCAGTATCTCTGTACCAAATCGATTGCTCGCCACAATTGGAACCATCTACACAATTGAGCGTTCAGAAGTGGCAACGGTACTTCGTTGAGCAAAGCCTTCGACAACAGCGGCGACGGCCCACTATACTTACATTAGCAGCTGCATGGCCTTGCATAACCCTCTGCCAATGATCAGCCGAGTTGATGGTGGCATCTTGCGGCTCCGTTCCGATTGCGGTTGGATACAGAATGAGATCGGCCCCCATCAAGGCCATAGACCTGGCTGCTTCCGGAAACCACTGATCCCAACAAATACCAACACCGATGGTGCCAAAACGAGTTTTCCAAACTTTGAATCCAGTATCACCTGGCGTAAAGTAGAACTTTTCCTGATAACCTGGCCGAGGACAAAATAAACTTGAGAGATTGGATGGAGCAGTGACAGTCGTGAATGATCGCCATTCCGCAAATGCTGGTGTGGTCTTTCTTCGTTACAGTGTTTCTAACTCGACATCGTCTTTTCGTACCTGGCCCATCTGGGATGTGCGACTTTCGAGCGAAGACAAAAAAATTGAGAGATTGGATGAAGTAGTGACAAGTCGTGAAACTTCGGCAAATGCTGGGATGGTTTTCCGTCGTTACAGCGTTTCTGACTCGGCTATTGTGTCTTCGTACCTTTCGATATTTCCCCATGACAGTTCCATCGGCGTCAATAACGACTATTGAATTGTACAGTACATTGCCTGACCGTTCAAAGAATGAGATGGGTAGAACGACGCCATGTGTTTTTGCGAGGATCTGCATACGCTTGATGATGAAGCAGTCGTCTTCTTCCATCGCTAAATTCATCAAGGAAGCTTCTTGAGTCTGACAAAAGTATGGTCCAAGGAATAGTTCTGGCAATAGAATGACATTTGCACCCTTTTCCACCGCTTGAATCACAGCCTCCTGGGCCCGATTCCAGAACCCTTCTAGCTGACTCGTTTCTAACCCGCCTGCCGTAAGTTGAATAGAAGCTACGACGAATGTATCATTGGAGACTTGATCAGATGACGATATGGTATTCGCGGCTTGATCTAGCTTCTTCTTCTCCTCGGCATCCTTGAGCTTCTGAAAGCTAGATGCAAGCTCAATTGGGTTGTACGAATAGTTGTGACGACTTGGTGAGCCACCACTTTGTTCCTTGAGAGAAGAGTCCATCGGGACAGAATCTTTTGTAATGCAACAATATGATGCTCATGAGGGAATCGAATTAATCGAACTTTGATAACGAATAGGTAGTTTAGATGATCGAGTAATAGACTCGATTCGTTCGACCAATCTCAGAAATCCCGTGTGCGGTATTACTGAGATCTGCTTTCCTACCAGGCACCGCCGATATGGTAAAATGGAGGCGGTGCCCAACAGGGCGGGTGAGGTTTGGGAGAGAAAAATTGAATTACCACGACACAAGTGGGTGAATTCAATCTCAGTCGATAAACTGGGCATCATTGCCTGGGCGCATCGACAACAACTTTTGACGGTCGAAGGCCGTTCGGCCTTTGTCCGTCTGTAACACAATGTAGTCAAAGAAATCGAACAGTGTGCCTGCGGTCTACGTTGGACTATGTGCCGTACTGTACTGTACGTCTCAAACCTCAACTCGAAACTCAGAAAAGACCAAACAGTCAGTACCAGTAGTGTACCAGCTAGCAGGCACTGTATTACGACGGGATACAATATCATCGTACGTGTTGCCTACTAGCGCCAAAGACATGGCGTCATATTCTTCACCTTTCTTCTACTGACCCTTCAAATGCGATTCCAATGTGGGTTCCAGCCGCCAGTGTTCGCAGTAGAATAGGTTTATTATTGTCTATAGCTTCGTGATCTAGGTCCGATGCACGTAGAAACTTCCCTCGCTCGTGACCCAATCGGACAGTCTCAGCTTGTTGGAGGAATATTTGACCCTGCTGATTGGCAGGTGTTTCGAGTCGAATGAGGACACACGGTCGAACTTCCTGCTTTAGTCTTCCCACGGCCACTCCTCTACTGGTTCCTGCGACAGAGTTGAAAACGAGAACTTTATCCCCTGCTTGTAATTCGCACAAGTACTTTGTAGAGTTGTCAGCCATGCAAATGTAACTATGCACTGGTCCAGCATTGATACGAAACGGCCGGGTGGGAACATAGGTCGAAGTTTCAGCTTCCGACAAGATAAGTGCCATAAGTTTAGCAAAGGATCCAATCCAACAACCTTCGTCTGGAGAAAGCATCTGAACAAGGTCAACACAGACACGATCAGCAAGGACTGGTTCTTTTGTGTCGAGTCTCGAACCTGTGCCGGTAACAATCGAGGGTTTAATGGGGACTGTCTGTTTCCTCTTCTTCAGTGAATCCTGCTTTTCAGTCCGTGCTTGAAAGATAGCTTCCCACAAGTGGTGCGAGGCAGTTGTACCATTGACGCATAGGGCATCAACACCCAGCTCAAGGGCGTGTGCCAAACCACCGACATCGGATGGCTTTTGTACCAGAAACGCCAATTTAGTACCTGTTGATCGAGTGGCAGCAATCAAGTTTTCTGCTGGAATCATTTGCCATTCATCACTGGAATGGTGTATCAAGACCCATTCAACCGATCCGAGCACTGCAAGGACCTTCTGTTGCCCATCCCTGAGGTCCATGGAGACGCCAACAATTCTCTTATTCCTTCCATCCACAATTCTACTTTTTTCATCTATGTAATAAATTTTTCCTTCAAAATCTATGTTGAAGTTTGATCCTTCCTCATCATTCCTCTGTATCAGCACATCAGGCTTCTCATCAAGCTGCAGCATTGCATCACCTGTATCCTGTGACCAGACTTGCATCGCAATACCTTTGTACGGTGGATGAACATGAATGCATAATTTTTTTGTAGGCGCAAATGAAGACGTATAGGTAATCAGAATGAGGCAAGAAAACAACAATGATGCTACCGCTAAATTGCTATGCATCATTGTACGAAATTTCAAATTGTGTTTTTCAAGATCCTTCAAATTGTCGCGATTTTGCGCGGGCAGGCGTCGAGTGAGCCATTTTTGACATATTTATAATATGCAATGTGTGTCCGACTAAAATTGTCCGACTAAAGATCGAGCTGCAACATTTTTTTAATACATTATGCAAACACAAACAGATGTCAATGAAGTGATGTCAACACGATACCGACATTATGCATTGATACGATGCGCCGTTGCTTCCTTCATCTCACTATTCTATCCTTCATTGGCACTCTCTTTATCTCCAAATGCGGAAGTCGCGTATGCTGGAGAAACAATACCCGATGTCGTTTTGGAATTTGCGACACCAGACGATCCCATTCGGAATAAAGATAAAGCTCGACAGAGTAAAGAAGGACCATTCTTCTGGACTCAGAATCTTGGTGCCAATGCTTCTGATGCTATTGCACGGAGATACGGGCAGTCGGTTCCAGACTTTACTTATTCGAATTCCAACAAAAAGCCTTTCTCTTTGCTGACATGGAACATTTTGTCGCAAAAGCTCTACGATGCCCAAATCAAACGCCAAAATGATTCTACTGGGATGGAACAATTTGGATACTCCTGGATGGAACGACTACAATGGATCGTTGAGACGCTGGCATCAGTCGATGCTGATATTGTTTGCCTTCAAGAAGTGGATCTTGAACCCTTCAACCAAGACTTGCTCCCATCAATGAATCGCCTCGGCTACAATGGAGCCATCCAAGGAGGGGAAAATGTTCAAGAAATCAACCGTCGTAAGGGGAAGGGAAAACGAGCCCATCTAGTTGCCACTTTTTGGAAATCTCGGTTTGAGCCTTTGGACGTGAATGGGTTCGATCAAGTTGACGGTGCCGTCTTGGCCAGGGGACGAACGCTGACTACCCTGCTACAAGACCAAAGAGAAGGCAATCCAATTTTGGCTGTGATCAACTGTCATTTAGAGGGGCATCCAAGACAGTATTCTGCCAGAATCAAGCAACTGCAGCACGCTATGGATGATTTAGTTGTCCGATGTGCTGGAGTTCCATTGAATGGTTTGTGCATTGCAGGTGACTTCAATTGTGAGTTGCAAAGCTCTGCTTGTTCGACGTACCTTCGCATCGGACGCATAGGACGAAAAGGTGGACTAGGTGGCGTCCACGGCACATCAGCAAATGCAGTTCCTCCAAGCTTGTTGGAATGTGATGAAGCTGCAAAATGCTTGGATCCTATTCTAGAATGGGGGAAACCCATTCCAAATGATGAACTGGAAAAGGTACAACCACATCCATTCCGAGCGAATAGTTTATGTTCTTGTTACCCAGAATTCCTCGGAAAACAAGACGCTCGAAAGCATTTTACATTCTGTGCTCGCCCCAATCGACCAGTTGCTGGATTGGATCAGATTTGGTATTCGAGTCTATCTTTGAAACGGTTAGCCCTACGAAAACCTCTTTCAACCAGTGCAGATCGTCTTCGCGTGTTGACAAACGGTTTACCAGCACAGCGACTGCCGTCTGACCATCTGCCTATCGGGACTATCTTGGATTGGAATGCCGTTCCTTACTCATCGATAAGCTCTTCATCAGAACAAATCCAAGAGATCCCCCAACTCCAAATAAGACCAAAAGACTTACCAGCAGCTCCAAAACCAAAATCTCCAATCATGGCATTCACAGAATTGGATATGCTTCTGGTTACCTGTCCATATGATTCTGAGAAACAACGAGAGGAATTGGAAGCCATTGTAGATGATGTTCCAGATTTGCCACCAGACAATCAAAAGCCTTCATCGGAACAACTGAAGAAGCTCTCTGAAATGAAAGAACGCAGAAAACAACTCCTGATGGGTGCATCGGAGAGTGCTCGAACTGTCATGCAACGTATCCTAAAGTTGAAGAAGGAGGTCGTGGCTTACGAGAATGCATTCTGAGTCGCAACTTGACATCACATTCTGGAATCATCTGGTCCGTGAGCTACTGTACGGTGTGTATTGTGCGACCCACCGACCGACAACCCCAACCTTTAATCACGAGTTCGGAAGTCACGAGATGTTTGACCATTGACGGACCACGTCGTCTGCACTATTCTGAATTCGTACCTTTCACCTCACCTTCCACCGAAAAAAACAAAAAAATTGACACCCTCACAAAACATGAAGATTGCAACGCTTCTTATTTGCTTTGTGAACGTCACGTTCTGTTTTCAGCTCAAAACTGCTGGTCCACGCAAATGTAAAAGCGAAGTATTTGCTACCAAGGAGCGGCGACGTGAATTCATCGACTTGAAAGGCTCAAAAGCACCTTTGCTTTCGAGAACTGTCGAGGTGACATCCGATCTCGCTCTGACAGTTTGGGAATGGGAAGAGCCTGCCGAAGTTGTGGAATCTTATTGGGAGGCTGAGCAAAACCAGCTAGGAGCAGTACGAGGAACATCGAAGATACTCGATCCTTTTGGAATTGTGTCCTGGCCAGGCTCCCTCGTGGCGGCGCGAGAGCTGTCATTTAGCAAGGACACTGCTGTGAAAGATCGAAATGTTTTGATTTTGGGAGCAGGTGTCGGACTGGAAGCCCAAGCTGCAGCCTTGTCTGGTGCTAGACATGTACTTGCAACTGATATTCACCCAACAACATTGCGACAATTGCAGCTTGGAGTAGAACAGGAGGATGCAATTGACGACAAATCCATCGTCGAAACAAGAATTCTGGATTTGTTTGCGCATGAAGACCAACCCCTTCCAGATTGTGACTTGTTAGTGGTGGCAGATGTATTGTACAATGAAAACTTGGCCAGTCAAGTTGTCCGTCGAATAGTTGAGGCATATAAGCGAAACCCAAAAATATTGGTATTGGTCACCGATTCGCAAAGATTTGTACTCACCTTTGATACACAGCTGAACGAGCTGATGGAAGATATTCGGGGACCACTCTGCAGTTGGACTGAAGAACAAATGACATTTACTGGGTCTGGTGTGATCATGAATGAAGATCAAACATACGATGTGACAGTGCGCAAAATGTGGATAGGTGCTTGAACCTTCGAATGAGAGATGGTCCAACAACAGCTTCATTTCATATGGATTGAATCGATTCACAGGTTTCAGTTCTGTTTAAGATCGGTGAATTGGTCCGAAACGATTCTGTCGTCACTTCGATGTGCAGTCGATGCCACACACACTTCCAGTTCACAATGATTAGAAAACTCCCAGAAGATCGACAACGACCAGCGGAAGTGAAAGTGAAAATTTTATCGCTTTAGCAATGCACAGAGAATGCTGTATTTATGGTCTAAGCAACAATTTCTATTATTAAATCTCTACTGTGGACAAAATACAGTTACAATAACTGCAGATGTTTTTAATGCCCCCCTCTGGTGAAAGACAGGTACATTGTCCAAAAAAAGCTCACTCCGTGTCGGACTGGAAGTCGGAGATAGAGGGGAACTGAAAAGCAGACAAAATCCGCTGGAAACCAAACTCTAAAAACATCAAACGCATCCTTGTATAAGCTTGCTTGGTATGTATCAAGTCCTGACGAAACCCAAATCGACGGATCACCTGAACCACTTTGAATCACTGCCTTAAAGATGTAAAAGGTTGGCAAATTTACGAATAGAATGAACATCAGATCAATTCCAATTTGTGCACTCAATGATTTCAGCCCTGGAATGTCCTTCAGCTTCTCTTCAAGACTTAGGTTCGTGAACTTGTCAACGTCAAACAGCTTCTTGAATATGTTGACTTGATACCAATACTGAAAAGCACCGAGATAAAAGAATCCATACATACAGAAAACCAAAGTTCTGCCCAAATCGACTTCAGAAATGGGTTGTTGTGCGATCACAGTTTGTGCAATAAAGTCGGCACTGGCAGTTTTGGCCGTTGCAATCATGAGGTTGTTTATCTAAAAGTGGGAAAGAAGAGGGATTGAAATTGAGGGTCATGAACATGAAGCAGTACCGCTATCAAGTATTCTCAACTTGACATACATTAGGATTATTTTTCGCAAATTCGCCGTAGGAAAATCCCTTTTGCAGCTGATTTCCATCGGTCCAAGGATTTCCTTCACCAATTTCACTGACATCTATTTCGGTCTTGGTGTCCGTTCTTGTACTCAAGAAAAGTGGCTCTGATGGCTTCACCAAAGCTGTTCGCCTCGCGGTCGGATGTTGTGTGAAGGCGCCAGTGGACGCTACAATGGCAGCAAGACAGAGAAAGTTGAAGATCTTCATGGTTAAGCGCTGAGTGTTGAACGCTGCTGTGAATTGTGAACGTTTGATACAGATGCCGAGCGAACATTGCGATTCGCATGTTCTCGATCGGAGCGTATTTCAGTGAGAAATTAAAGAATGGCACCATCAGCAGCTCAACAACGTCACACTAACGTGGCATTTCGATGTGACACAGTTTGAAATTATCTAAAAAAGTCGATGAGACAAACACTTGAGACGCAGAGAGGTTTCTTTTCGTGGTCTTTTCTGAATCATCGGACATGACAACGTCATCCACGTTTATCCAATGTGTCACTAGCCCAAAAAAGCTTGGATAAAAAAATCGGTGGTCGCGGGAGTGTGCGAAAACAGTTGGGAGTGTGTTTGGTGTTCCAGAAGATATAAATGGTGGGAAAAACACACTGTGCCGGGTTGAAGGCACGGGTACTGAACGCTACCAGGTACCAGTCACGATCGGAAGAGAATCATCCGAAGATTACAATCACTCTTCAAGGTGATAGGTAGTAGGTATCGTGGTACCGTAGCAGCATATCTTTTACCTCGTCTCCTTCAAATTGGTACACCAATTTGGACAACCATCAAGTGTTCGCAGCTAAGGGTAAATGGTGCACCCCTTTTTCTTTTGCACTTGGAACATTCGGAATGATCTGCCCAAGCACCGATAGCCAGATTTTCTTGATATGGTCATCTATCTACTTTAAAAATCTAAGCTGTTCAATAAGTCTTTCAACTTGTTTTCCATCGCTTCTAGGTCTGCAGCTGCCGGAATAGTGGCTTTGAAGTCCTGTTTGGTTCCAAAAATGTCAAAACCTAGACCCTCTAGCACGTCTATTGCTCCCTCGGCCCTGGTTATTGAATCCGCGATCTTGTTACTTAATTTGAATGTGCGAAATTTTGGAGTCCAAGGCTCTTTTGCTGCGTTTCGGACGTATTTGAGCGCTGTTGACAGCGCTTCAGTAGCTACTGACTGAGAGTTCTGATGACACAAAGTTGAAAACGCTTGATCAAATTTGTTCCCAGGGCTGTGTGGTCCGATTTGAATCGCCCTCCCATACAGTGGCCCCGAGTCGAGACCGTTTGCCATCGTCTTCTGCTCCTCCGAAACGACCCCAATTGCTTTTGCTGCAGCTTGAGTTGGGTCCATACCTTCTGCAGTATATGTCTCAAAGGTTTCTTTTATCCGTGATGCAGCATCAAATGGTTTCGGCTTCAGGTTTTCAGCAGAGACCAGATACTCTGTGCTTTCAACATTATCTCCCCGTTTATCGACCATGTCTTCCTCGCATGAAAGTTGAAGCATAGATAACAACTCAGTAGTTTCTGGTGGGACTCGTTCGAGCCATGAGTCCATCATTCTTTCAATTCCTTCTTCTCCCCTTTGACACGCCGTCGCTACGGCTTGCCGACTTTCGTTCGGCGAAACAACAACCCTGCCGGAAACAGCGTCCAGTACTACCAACGAAGGGATACCTTGAACTCCGTACCTGTGAAAAAAGGGGAGGCAAAGAAGCACAAGACCAATTAGTATTGATGTCGAAGTAGAACAAGCGACATATAAACAATATTACTCACGTAGCATTGAGGCTTTGCTTGACAAATGGCAGAGTATCAAAGGGTATTGCTTTCCAAGGCATCGTACTGAAATAATGTTGAAAGCTGTTTGGATCTCTATCGGAGCTCACAAAGACAATCTCCAAACCATGCGTTGGCCGCATTTCCTTGAGATGTTCGTACATTTCCGCCAGCATCGGGGTAAAACTTCTGCATGGTCCACTACAAAACATATGCAAGTGATAAGTAATTTCATGGCGGAACAATACACTGTTGGTATCTGTTGCTGACTTACCACCAATGCGCAGAAAAGTAGAAAGCAATCAACTGTGAATTTTGCAATGCATCGGAAATCATCAGTCTCGTGTTGCCACTTGCAAGTAATTGTGTGCCAACCGATGACTGGAAGAAGTTTAGATCCAAAGGAACATCAAAACTAGGTAGAGTAACCGTCGCTCCAGAATCTGTAGATTCCTTATCCGATTTTGGAACTAAGGGCGATGGAAGGTAATGAAAGGTGCTCCAAACATCATCACTTGACATGTCGATGGAACGAGGGCTGAGCCTCTGAAAAGGGTATGCTTTAGAACCCAGCAAATACACGGGCGCGTTTGGTTTTGTTGTGTAGCCCGAGTATCGATTTCGTAGAGGAAAAGATTCAAATGCCATCTTCTTTTGCTCCGCCGAAGCCATTAACTGTGTCTTCAATGGCATCGTAGAGTCTGGTAATCGCCCCGAAACTCGTCTAGGAGCTGTCTTCGATTCACTCTTCAGAAATGACTTTAACTCGCCTTCGTTCAAATCCTTGATCGACTGGAGAACAACCTCGTGGCCGCCCTTTGGACACTCGTCGATTGTGGTACAAAAGGACCAGTCAGGCTGAGCATCTACTTGTCCGACATAGACAACTCCGCCGTCTAAAACGTTCGTTCCTTTCCAACCTCCCAGCCGCGTCATATCAATTGGACCGCATGAATCATTGCGGCTTTCATCTGTACCACTTTCTTTAGAATCTTGGAGACGACTCGCATTCGGACACTTGCCATGGCAAAGAACAATTCGACGTGGTGGGATGTGGTTAACAAATTCCTGCGTATCTTCCCAGTTACGGAATGAACGTGATTGTAGAATACAACCCAAGTATGATTCATCGACAACGACCACGGATATGGTCTCTTCCTCTCCTATTGCACATGGAGTGTTTGCGACCACAATCGCATCGTGCCGATTCCTTGGGTTAGGTTTGACAACCAACGATAATTTTTCATCCAATATGGGTGGATAGAATGATTGTATCTGAAATCCTGCAACATGCTCTTTGTCATCGTCATCGCTGTGGTAGTCTGCATTGGTGTCGCCATTAGCTTTCGTTCCATCTTCATGTCGTGCTGTCTTCCACTCTAGGCTTCCACTGATTCTCCCTCTACCATATATCTCTTGTTCCGTCCATCGTGTAGCCTGCTGCAAAAGTTGCAACTCGGCTTGTTCCAATTGATTCTGCAATTCCAATGCTTTCTGTCGGAATTTTGGGAGTGACTGAAGCATAGTTTGATTCAAATGTTGAAAAATCTGCCTGGATATGCCTTCTGAGGACGTATGGGTCCGCCGTCTATTTTGAAATTCTTCGGACAAAAAGGCGCGGGTATAACGGGGGGTCACGTCGAGTATATGATCCTGAGCGATGGCAATCATGTAACACAATTCCTTTTTTCCCCAACCGTGCTCATACATGCTAGGCTCGGCAATAACACCCTCACATCCATCCGCCATGACCCAAGAATCCTGATCTCCGATGTACACTTCGGTCCACAAGTGATCTGATAAATCCAAGACGAGCCTTGTCTCTAGTCCAGTACTTCGACAGAAGAGACCAAAGAGATTTGAGTACTCCCCACATCTACCTTTCCTCGTCTCTAGTAGTTTCTTTGGACTGTTATAACGCGGGAATGTTGTTGTGTTGGCATCACATCTAGGACAGTAGTAGACTAGAATCATCAATGTATGGAATCGGTCAGTGTTGGCACCAGAAAGATGCTGTAGATTGTGCCGACAACAAATTGACAAACTTACCTTCGACACGCTTGGCGCCACCTTGCTTCTCTTCGTCAGTTTCCGGTCCGCGAACCACTTGGAACTCAAGTTCTTCATGTCTGCATACCTGACAGGGAGGAGCATTCACCCAAGTCATGTAGCTTTTGAACCATCGACAAAGTCGTTGGAGAAACAAAAGGTTCCCCTGCAAATTGTTGTCGTTGACAGGATCCGAGTAGGGACCATTGGGGTCCGCCAGCGTTTCCCAAGGAATCTCCTCGCGACACGCCTTTATAAGCTCAATGTCCTTCTCCCAGGCCATTACCGTCTGAATTGAGGATTGAATTCTGTCGATAAATTTCTTGTCATCTTCGTTGAGTCCTGGAATGCTCATCTTTTCAATAGCAATGGCGGTGGTGTTACACTCAAATAGTGTTTGACCTGTGCTATTTGTATCGGTAGCGCCAACGTCACTAGCACCAGTGTGCGTTTCTGTAATAACAGCCGAGTCAAGATATTGATGCTTGTGTGGTTGCAGTTGTGTCTTTGGCTGTGGATGTGCCAAAGAAGAAAGCGGCGTCGTTGTGTTGAATACCAGGAATAGACAGAGCCACCGTATCAATGATGGATTAAAAGACAAGGGGGAATGATACGGAATAATAGTCGATTTTAGAGTTGAAGGATTTGGAGGTGTTGTGGTAGGTGCTCTTATTAGTTGCAAAACCTCCCTTTGGATGTTGGGCATGGTGGGTGGTCGGTTGTGGAGAAGTTGAAAGTTCTGACAGGTGTCAATGGGGGAAGATTTTTCAAGCGTGGAAAATGTACTGTCGGCAAACTTTTTACCATCCCCAATTTGAAAAAATCTTAAAAAAAACTTCATCGTTTAGCACGGTATTGTATTATGTATAAAATAGCGTGTAGACGCATGTATAGAGTACAGTCAACGGCGCATTCATTCCATTTCGTACTACTTTAGAGGGTACCAGCTTCTTTGCGCTCAAGATACTCATTCAAACTCAACCCCTTTCTCACACGCTTTCGAACTGGTTTCTTAGCCGTGAGCCCGGCAATTCCGCTTGTATAGGACGATTGAGCCAATGTCTCCTCATCAATAGCAAACTGGTGAGACTGACTCAGTGCAGCTGCTTTTTGTTGCTGTTCCTGCACAAGATTTGGTGTCGAGTCGGCTTCTTTCTCTGCGTTTTCATCTGTAACCTGTGACGATTCTTTCTTCTCCTCCTCTTCCTCTTCCTTCTGTCCAACTTCCCAGAGAATCTTGGGCTTAACCTTTCGGCGGGCATATGGGTTAAATTTGGGCTTTGCTCCACCCTCAACCTTTTGTTCCTCAGGGTCATTGAGGGCTCCGCGATCCAACTTCTGGTTCATCTCCAAGGCACGCTTATTAACCTTTGCCCACTTTTTGTCTTTTCCTCGTGACGTCAACTTCTCCTTGCGGTTCTTGACCTTATCTAGTACGCGACGTTCTTCTTCCAATTTCTCTTCCAATACCTTCTCAGCAGCACCAACCGCCGAGTTGTCCCCATCGCCTGATTTGGCTTCTTGAATAGCCTCCTCGAGCTCAGCTCTGGCTGCTTGCACAGCAATGGCGGCCCGAGTTTGTTCGAGTCCAAGATTTTTCATAGCACCACCCTTTTTCTTGATTTTTCGCAAATTGTCTTCAATATCTTCCGTTGTGTACGTATAGTTACTGACGAGGCTATCCTGCTTTCGTCGGATCTTGTTAGCTTCTTTTCTCGATAGTACTTGTTGACGCTGGTTCTTCATCTCTGTCTTGTATAGATTCACATCGGTTTCTGTTGCCTTATTATCAGAAATCAACTTGATAAGGAAGATCCTTTCGTTTTTTCCGAACTGTAGTTTTAATGCCTTGTCCGTAACAACCTGAGATTGAGAGTTGAAAAAGAGGAGGTGAGCTCAGGCAAATTGAGAAAATTACTCTAGCATAATGAAATATCGAATGGAATACATACCGGTTTCTCCTTCTTCACAGCAGGAAGGGCATAAGACCCCTTCGGTGCTGGTTGAACATCCACAATTCTACAGAGACGGTAGCATCGCTTTCCCTGGTCGTTTTCTCCGATGAACAATTTTACAAAACATCCCACAACAGACTTTTTGAAGAAAGGCTCATTGCACCAGCGACCCAACTTCCTTCTTGAAACTGTAATCTTCAGGTAGTCTTCTAATTCTGCCTCTTGCACAACACGTTGTGTATCCTCTGCATACTTGTCGTCGTCATCTTTGACATCCGCGTGTTCCATCTCGTCGTCCGACTCTTCTACTTGGTCCAACCTCGATTTCCTGGATTCGGCAGCCTTCTTTTGCCATGGTCGCAGGGCAGCGTTTCCAGACTCCTCGTAGTCATCATCTGAATCATCATCATCGTCGTCACCAAAGCTAGATTCACTATCTGATGAATCCTTTCGTGTAACCTTTTTCCTCTCTTCTCGCAATGCTGCCAAGGCCTCTGCTTTCTTCGCTTTTGAGCCTGTAGCATCTCGATTTCGAGTAGATCCACGTTTTGATGCAAGTGACTTCGCAATAGTTTCGTCATCTGCAGTTTCAGCTGCTGCCTTGTTTTTCTTTGCCGGTGTTGTCTTTTTAGTAGTAGCTCTCGTCGACGCCTTTCTCTTTTTGCCGGCCTTTTGGTCTTTCGCAGCTTTCTCCTCTTTTTCTTTGCGTCTGGTAAACAACAATGGAGCCTTTCATTTAGTTCAGATTTCAAACGAAAAGACAAAAGGATCGGGTATCGGGTACTTACTTTGCATCTCGCAGCGCTTTCTTCATATCCATATCAGCCTTGCGCTTTTCGAAACGTTCACCAAGAATCGCTTCGCGCTCAAGCTCTGGCAAGGAGTCAAGATACTTCTGGTCTTCTTCATCGTTAACAAGCTTTTGTGGATCAAACGTTTCATTGTCAAATTCTGCTTCTTCCTCGTCACTGCTCTCTTCATCCTCTGATTCTTCTTCGACTTCAGGCTCCTTTGGCTTCGGTGTTATCTCCGGGCTGTTTAAGGCACGATAGTTAGATTATGAAAATCAAAAAACATTGGCGAAATGAGCGGTTCAGATGTACTTACGCTGGAGTTGTTTTCTTCGTTGGCTGCTCGTCATCGGAATCTACATCCATGCCATCCTCGTCACTGCTATCCTCTTCGTCTGGAGCTGCTGCGGCTTCCTCAATGTCTTCAGGTGCTTTCTTGTCCGCCTGATCCTCGCTGGTAGCAGCAGCCTTTGGAGGTTCTTCATCATCGTCAGAATCCGAGTCGGGCGCTTGCATCCTCATCAGCGACTTTCCACCTCCTCTACGAACGACCTGGACCGGTTGAGGAGCTTCTTCTTCCTCGTCACTCTCATCGTCGTCGTCATCCGCGGGCTGTGGACGTAGCTGCTTGCCACCCCCTCGTCGGAGCTGGTTCCCACCGGATGGAGGCCGAAGTTGCTTGCCGCCCCCCGTCCGGGGGACCACCCTTGTGGGTTCTTCCTCCTCGGACGATTCATCTTCATCGGAATCGTCTTGTTGATTAGCTTGCATCCTCATAAGTGACTTGCCACCGCCACGCTGAACGATTCGTTGTGTTGGGGCTTCTTCCTCTTCTTTGTCACTTTCGTCATCTTCATCCTCGTCATCGCTTGGAGCACGCATACGCATCAAAGACTTTCCACCGCCACGCTGAACCGGTCGGACAGGCTCGTCTTCTTCCATATCGTCGTCATCATCATCGTCGTCATCGCTATCATCATCTTGTGGACTGTTCAGAGTTTGCATAACGAGGTGTTCGGGAACGATGGATGGACGAATGTTAGTGACAGCACAGGATTCGAGATGCCCACGCACAATCTGCATCAACTTACGGTGGGCGCAACATCTTTCCAACAGGGGGACGCAATTGCTTGCCACCCCCTTGACGGAATGCGGGTTGTGGTGGCTCTTCATCCTCGTCATCTTCCGACTCCTCTTCGGAGTCATCGTCTTGAGGTGGTGGTCTTAGCTGCTTGCCGAAACCTTTTCCACCAGGCATACGCAATGCCTTCCCAACACCTCGTGATGGATGATAGGTTGGCTCTTCTTCTTCCTCCTCCTCGTCTTCGTCAGAAGATGGATCGTCATCCTTGAACCTTCGCTTGATGTTTGGCTTTTTCGGAACATTGGAAGGGACAATTCATTGGTGAGACTCATTTGGATGACTCTTCGAACCTCTTCATTCCTAAACGTTCTTACCATTTTTGAATTCCAAAGACTAAGAAGCCAATGCTTTTAAAACGTAGATCTGAAGTCGTTCTCGAGCCGGTGTTCAATGCGTTTGTCCGGTTTGGACGGAGCATTGAAAACAGCAAGAAGACATCTTTTGATTTGATTTCTGACTGCCGGACGGACGATATTGTAGGGATGAAATTGTGAAAGGGGGGTATCATATGTCCTCTTCTTTCTTCCCCAAGACTCACTCACGTTACGACTGACTGGAAAACGATACGAAAAACCTTCGCATAGAATACTTCAACTACATCGTCTCTACTAGAGCAATCTGAAATCAAAGAGGCAAAAGACACGCAACAGCAATAACAGGGACAGGAAGGACAGAGCTCAAAACTACGCACACCGTCAAAACTAAAAGAGGTCCAAAAGCTTACCACTCTACACGTATTTTGAATCACAACACCCGCATTGCAATGAAAATTTCAACTTTAGTTTTGCTTCTATCTCTGCTCGGCTTTGCAGATGCATCGTGTCCTTCCGTCGATGAGCCCTGTATGAATGAGAAAAACCACGCTACTTGTCAGGCGTTGCATGAAAACGGCTGTCAGAATATTCGACTGCTGGAGTCTTGCCCACTACAATTCCAGTGTGCGGATTAAGCCATCGCTCACTCTTGTCTGTTGATTGGTGACTTGCAGTGAGTTTTCTCAAAGAACCCGTCTCCACCTCGAGAGATTTGTGCAAGAAATTCCTTGGGAAGAGGCATGGTATATATTTAAAAAAATTGAAATAGATACCAGACGCGTCGATTTCGCATATGAAATATTTTGAGAAACAATTTCATTTGAATAGATTTGTTACGAAATACATCGAACGAAGCAATGTTTCGTCTTGCTAGAATCTATAGTGAAGATATCTAAGCTGTACAATATTTGAGAGAGGCCGTTTGTCTTGGAGCGTGCTCTGCACTAGCTATTTCGGGTATCTTGTGAAATACTGTAGAAATCAACTTTTTCGTCCATCTCCATTAATCCTTTAGTACCAGAACTGGTTTTTGTGTCATGTCTGTAACTTTTCCACCCATGGCCTTGACATTTTCAATGCCGATTCTGTTGTCTTTCTTCAAAGCCATAAGTTCTTCCCCACTCACCAGCAGGAAGGTTCCATCCGCCTTCTTTACCATCGTTTTTCCACTGACAGCAAATACATCTGGATAGTTCTTCATGTAGAAGGAGTAAAGAGCATCCTTTCGATATTGAGAAGAGGTCATTTTGTAGCATTTGAGAAAGTAGGGAGGACAATGATGAGAAGAAGTACTAGAAACACAACCATACTGTCCGAGATGTCGCATATTAGCAACATTCCACTAGTGCCTCATTCAGCACGCTTTGCTCGTATACATTTCGTTGCCAGTCGACCATCTGTTGACATACCGATTCATTCTTTTCCTTGTTGGCTGCAGATTTTGCCTGCAGTTGACGAATAAAGTCATTTCCTTCAGCAAGATCATCGCATCCGTCCCCCGATCCATAGGCGCAGTACTTGGCAGAAAGCACAGCATTCGCTGGTTGTTCCGGTATCAAGATGTTCGCTGCAGCGGATGCAGCCGCAAATGCGAAAAAGTTACGTCGGTTTAATTGAGCATTGTTTGGTTGTTGTGATGGCTGATACCCAAATGCGACCGGGGCAACAAATAGGAAGAGAAAGAGTAGAGATGTTGCTCGAGATGAAAGAGCAGAGATCGTCAGTGGCATTGTGCTTTCAACAGCAGTATCAGGCTACTCTATCGCTTTTTGGTTAAGATGACAATGATAGATACAGTACTGTAGCTTTTGCATTTAGAATCCATTTCAATGCTTACGTCACATACCGGTACTGTACGAACCGTTCCCAACTGGCCAAAATCAAATGGGAGAGTCCAGAAACGACCAATACGATTCATTCAGCATTGTGTTTTTAAAAAACATTTACTTTGAAGGCTGTGTGATACGCCGATTATTAGACGAGCATAGGACCATCAATGGCCTTCAGAGCTGACTGTTTGTTACCTTTTTGAGAGGGAATTGGTGGTAAATTGTGATCCCACATAGAATTCTGCGTCGTTGCTTTTAAAGTCAACTACACACGCTTCAATTCAAAATGTCTGGATTTTTCAAGAGTTTGCTCTCCAAGACCCTCACAACTTTCTTGTACAAATATTTGTCGGATGTGGATGTGGAAGGCATCGCTCTGCCATCTGTGTATGATGGGTCTGGGTGGGGTGTTCGGCTCTCGAACGTCAAACTGAGAGAAGGAGTTCAGCTCATGAAGAAAATGCCAGGAAGCAAAATAGGGAAGCGTAAACAAAAGAGAAAACTAACGCGGAAGAAAACGAGAATAGTGAAAAGGAAGCGGAAGCAAATGGTCAACCACAAACAAGAGATAAGCTCCACCGCGGCCATATCTTTCAAGCCTGATTCTACAGAACAGGGTGGGGACGAGAATGATGTTCCAACGGTGCCAACTCCGGGGTCCCCCAAACAATCCGCTGATGGGAGCGATGATCAAGGTGATGATGACGTATCGATAACACAAGAAGAAGCAGTGCAAACATACTATGATACAGAGTCACTCACGCCACCGCAGAACTCGAAAAGTATACTCTCGTGCTTCTACAATAGCAAAACGAGTAAAAAACAAACAGTTGGACAGGGCCCAGACATCACGCACCTACCAGAGATGCCCGATATAACAGGCCAGAAGCCTGATCAACATGGGGGTAAGTCATTTGAGGATATGTAAGACAATGCAAGTTAATGCTAATGTTGACGGCACATTTTCTCACGGCTGGTTCTCCGAAGAAGTGGAGGTTGAAGAAGATTGTGAAGAGGAATACGAAGAAGAGTATGAGGAAGAATATGAAGAGGAGTATGAGCAGGATCTAACATTATGCTTAGGCGAAAATGGTCGGATCGGTATGTTAGATGTTCGGTAAGTTTGCGGGGCATATTACAATGGAATCAATGTTGTTTTGTTGTCTCACAGTCTCTAAAATACTGTAGATTGGTTGATAAGGAACTCCACATTCTTGTAGAGGATGCAGTTTTGACACTGGAGGCGATACCAATCCCCGTACATGACGCAATGGGCCATGACGGTGATGAGAATCATGAAAATGGAACAGGGGATAATGCGGAAGAGGGATCAACTACCTCTGTTCCGCAAGAGATGCCACACACCCCACTTCCGAAACCAAAGGAAGATCCAAAACGCGAAACCGCTGGAGATCGTGTTCTGGCAAAAAATGGTCTTGCCAAAGTGATTTCTGCAATACCACACCTCTTTCTGCGGGATGTCCGCGTAAGACTTATCATAAGAAATGAACCTCCGAACAAAGATGATACAGGAGAGCCAAATCCTGACGATACCATGATCGAAATTGGTATCGACTTTTTGTCCGTCGCATCTGTAGGAGATATCTTGTCGCGATTCCAAAAACAAACCAACGATGATGATTTGGGCAATTCTGCTGCAGATGATGGGAAATCATCGTTGAATCGAAGATCATCTCTAGCCAATGTTGAGGATACAGTTGAGGAAAATGAGTTCCTGTTTCGTCATATACGCACCGGAAAAGGACCTGATGCAGGGATTTGGATTCGAGTGTATATCCCAGAAGCTAAGATGTCAGCAGGGAGGCTACGGCGGCATCAAGTGAGTGACGCTAGACCTTGTACGTGGGCTGCGGAGAGGTGGACCATGGCAACCGACTATTATTTGCTGAGATGTTCTGGACTTGACATCCAAGGACGCATCTACTTGGGAACGAAAAAAGAAGACGCTGCATATTCCTGGTGGTACGATGATCAGGATATTGAAGAATACGATGAGCTAACGCTAGATTCAGTACTCATGGGAGTAGATCACATTGCACCGGGACCTCAGCTCCCCTTGCCTCCCATGCAACCAAGGATAAATCGAGACCTTACTCCCACTCCACAAAAAGGGGAAGAATTTGAAGGTAGCGAACGCCCCAGCGCCACTGAGTCTGTGGTCCCTCTTTCCAAAGCAGATCTTTTCTTCAAGGATAGAAATGGAATACAAAGCTGTCAAGTCAAAAGTACCTTTCATAGGGTATCAAGAGGAATGATCCCTGGCTCGGCGAAAGACTGCCCTAATTTACCATCAGAGGACAACTCTGATTCCTGGATAGCACCACCTGGAATAGATAAGGATTCGCTGCTTGATGATTCCATCCCCATGCCTGGTTTAGCTCTTCAATTGACGATTCGTGACCCTTTTGAAATCAATGTCGACAGATCATCACTCAATACGATAGGACTTCTTCGTTCCATATTTCAAAAGAGCGTAGCGGATAAAAATGTTCAAAAGATAGTAGAAGCGAACCTTGAAGATTCAACGACAACAACCGATGCAACGACCAATGACGAATCGACGGAAAATATGGACACATTTTCAAAATTTGGTTGTGTCATGCCAGATATTGAAAAGGAGGAAGGAAAGGAAGATTCGACCGAGGCATTCACTCATCTCATGCAACCTGAGAGCATTCAAGTACTTGGACTCCACCTTTCTGAGATTCAGCTCAGGGTTCACATCATGCGTAACGACGACAGAGAGAGCAATCATTCATTCTGCTATTGGGAAATTGAGACCGAATGTCTCACACTCGACCAGAAGAAATTTGTCCTTTCACCTGCCAATATCTACTCTGATCTTTTAGTCGAGGTTGGATACTTGAGTTGGGACGAGTATGTTGGAACTGAGCGACGCACCTTGCTTTCGTCTGGATTCAATGCCCTTGCAACCCGAGGGAGAAATGATTCGCAATCATACGCTACCTTAAGTTTCGATGGTGAAGACGCTAGTGAAGCCCAGGAAATATGGCCATGTACTGCAAGTGTATTGTTGAATATCCCACCTCCGCACGAGACTCTCATGTTTAAAGACAAGCAAAATTATGGAGTGCAGCTTCGGTTTATTGGCATGGGTCCTACTGCTGCCGGGATTGCGAGAAGCTCATTGCACGGCCGACTTGGTGTCACTGCAGTTGATGCACAATGGTCCCTCACGGCGCAGATTGGTTCTGTCATGCGAGAGATGACGAAAAGCATTTCTCCGAAGCGCTTGAATCGTAATGAAGAGACCTCTGATTCGAAAGCCGCTGCACGTGGTGTACCGACTACAAGTCCGAAAACACTGATGGTATATTGTGTTCAAGTTGACAATGCTATCTGCAAGATGGAACCCAAAATGAATGCAAGATTGCCCCCAATGTGTGTGGCCGGTGAAAGATCTTCCGAAAACGGATTGTTTATTGAAACAGTTGCCGAAAAGTTAAGATTTGCTTGGGGTCAACCAACCCCTTCAAAAGCGAAAGGGCTCTCTTTGTATCAACTAGCGGCTTTGCCGGAAGATATTAGAATGCGAATTCTACTTTGTCTTGAAGATCTTCAGCCCCTCGAGGCGAGTTTGTTCCTCAAAAAGGAAAAAAACCCTTTCAAGAGATGTCGAAATGTCAACAAAGGGATAGCTAAACTTGCCAAAAGGATGGCCAAGGCTGCGAGATTGCCCACAATGTACTCGTCGCTAGCAGATGGTGGCACCACTGATCGCAAAGACATCCTGAGGGAGATCCTTTCTATGGATGAAGCCGAGCTGAAAGAATTGTGGTTCCTGCATCAAAAACAGAAAAGAAAGCTGGCAAAGAAACGATTGCTAATATGAGATAGCATGTCATATGAAAGAAAATAGGCAGCACAAATATACCCTTTTTCTTAAATTGGCGTATTGATAATTTCAGCATGTGACTGATTGACTTCCACTGTATGTACTTCACAGTCCTCTTGCCCACTCCGGTCGCAAATTGATACTGTCATCGGACGGCGGGGCGTCCAAAACGCGTTGGAGTTCAGCAGTCAGCCTTTCTTTGTCACGTCCTAATCTCCCCTTGAGGACGAGATAGTTTGAAGCATGATCAGATCTGAAAATTGTTTTTTCGCCCTGAGGAATATCCAAGGTTTCCATAAAGATTTTTAATTCCTCCAAAGACTCTCTAGCGTTTAGTTCCTCAAATGCAATGGTTGATTCAATATTTTCTTTATATCCCTGTTCCACCCGACTCTTCCCTCTTGGAAACGAGGTTGTGAGAACTGAGAGGTATTCTGGTTTCGCTTGACTACAGAGATCTGCTGAATTTATAGCGTGATTTGTGCTGTGCTCTTTCCCACCAAGTCCAAGAAGAATCATTATCGAGCGTTTTATTCCAGCTTCCTTTAGCTTCTCCAATGCTTCTAGTGATGTTGCAGCAGTCTCGCCTTTTTTCACTGCAGAGAGCACTGCATCGTCGCCACTTTCGCAACCAACATAGACGAGGGCCAAACCTTTTGATCGCAGCCTCGACAAAGCTTCTACTGACTTGCCCCGAACATTGCGAGGGAGGCAATAGGAAGAGACTCGTCTAACTTTCGGAAGGCGGTCGTTGATGGCATCCAGGATGGCTTCGAGTTTGCCAGTTGGGAGTGTCATGGCATCACCATCCGCAAGGAAGACATCTCTCACATGGGGAGCCCCACCAGCAGCAACTAATTGGTCTAATTCTTCAATAATATCATTTATGTGTTTTGCTTGAAATCTTTTGATTGGTACATTTCGCAAAATGTGCATGCATTCCAACTGCAGCCGATAGTGACCTGTAAAATTAGCGATCTCCATTCTGCTGGTGCTCGGAAGACTGGTTCTACATAATCGATTCCACAAGCATCGCCGATGGAAGAAAACAGCTTTGGGCTTTGCCGTTGTTGACCCTTAACATTGGACCTGGTACGGGCGGGGAAAGCACTACCCTGAGACACGTAAGAAAGTATAATAATGGTATCTGTAACAAAACCACGTTGATAAGGCTCAAACTAGGTTTTGGGGCGTTGTCAATTTGGGGTTGAATATAGATTCGTTTAAAAATCGATTTTAAAATATATTGTGAGCAGTTTGAAGACTCAAACTTCTTTTAGTCGTGCTACATTCGTCTGATCTGATCTGAACCAACTCCAACCAATCCCGCTGGATTGTTAGTTATAGAATGTTGGAGATGTAGCGTGATAGCCGTAGCTTCTACGCTGACAACTTCCTCTGATCTGATCAAGTTGGATTCGTGTTAAGTTTTCTCACCGAATCCGACTCACTCGATCACTCAGTCATTCAGTCGATTCGATCAAATCTCAGACCTCAGAATCCCTGGTATTCGTTCACTCCCTCTTTTGATCAAATCGATGATCTTCCTACCAACCCAGGATCATCTTTCTGAACTTGATGAGTAGCTCAGCGTTCAATGGTTTTGTCAACATGTCAGCTGGTTGCTCTTTTGTATCTATCTTGTGAATAGTAATCCCATTACCAATGTATGACCTGAAATGATGTAGCCTGCAGTTTAGGTGCTTTGTTCTTGGTCGAAACTTATGCACTCTAGCAATTTCCAGAGCTCCGGTATTGTCTTCAAATACTCGGCAGTGTACCTCTGCAATTGGGCTTTCAATCGGGATTTCATACTTGATCATCTCCTTGAAAAGGTTCATGATGGGTATTGCTTCACGAAGTGAGTAAGAGATTCCAGTGTATTCTGACTCTGTTGATGATAACGCAATCTCAGTTTGCAGCTGCGACTTCCAGACGATAGGACAACCTGCGAAATTGATGAAGTAGCCATGCCTTGATCTTGCTGTATCGCAATCCTCATATTCTTTGGGATCCCAATTTCCAGCGAAGTCAGCATCGACGTAGACCTCCAATCCTTTCGTTCTATCAGGTCGTAGAATCAATCCTTTGTCTTTCGTGCCCTTGAGATATCGCGCCAACCATCGTACTGCCTCGCCATGCTCCTTTTTTGGGCATGTACTAAACCTTGCACACTGGTGAACAATATAAGCGATGTCCGGCCTTGAACCCTTCTCCAGGTAGTTTAATTTTCCAATGACAGATCTGTAGTGAAACGATCCATCAAACTCTGGAGAATCAGAATGTTTTGACAACAGCTTTGATGATGCTGCTGGGATTGGTCGTGTCGCCGTGTCCTCCTGCATGTTTAGGTCCTTCAGAATCTGATCAATCAAATGTGGTTGGGTGAGGTGTATAGAACCGTCAGGCTTCCTTTCAATGTTAACCCCAAGAAAGTCTTGAATGTCCCCTTCATCAGTAATGTCCAGGATTTCCCCAATTTCAGCCACAACTCGGTCAATCTCGGCTTGATCGGGTCCCGCAAGAATGGAGTTGTCTGTGTACAAAACTTACATCACATTTCCTTTGTAAAAGACACATTCATCGTAATTGGATTTCTTGAATTCCAATTTATCGACGAGAACCTTCGTCAAATATTGATACCAGACTCGGCTTGCTGCCTTTCCTCCATAAATGTTTTGATGCAACTTTAAAATGTATTCGTTACTGTTTCCATCGACAACTTTGAAACCAGCTGGAAGTTTCATGTAGAGCTCCCTCTCAACTGGTGCTTGCGGAAATGCCAGGACATAGTCGATCTGCTTGGTTTTCCACCCAAGCATTGCAGAGACAATCAGAAGAGTTCGAATCGAGTTCCAACTTGCGACCGGTGCATATGTTTGGTCGTAGTCTCGTCCATATTTCATTTTGGACCCATCAAAGTTCAATCTTGCTTTGTACTTTTTGACTTCCCTCGTTCGAATATCTCGTTTTCGTTTCATTTGCCATACCGTTGGAAAGATTGTGGCTCCCTCTGGAACTGATGTCCGATGGATGATTGAGAAGTTCTCGTTCTTGAGTTGGTCTTCCCATTCCTTCTTCATCGCCTTTCGAAATTCACCTGCATCCTTCTCACGCATAGCTTCATGCATGTACATTGTGTCAGGGTCAGAGGTTGCCTTGAAAATCTTCAACGGATCCTGCTCGGCTTCTCCAGAGTAAGCTGGGAACATTGCTTCAAAGCAGAATATTTCACCTTCAATACCGTTCTTCGTTGCGCTTGACAGCTCCGCCGCCATTACTTTCAATATGGTCTCTGCCGGATGAGAAATCGAAGATGTATTGGGCACCTGTTGGCTTTCAGGTTGACGCTCTCCTCCATCCTCCATTGGTGGATCTGAGCGGCCAGCTTCCTCTTCATTGTGTGGGACTGGACTTGTAGATTCGTCAGGTTGCTGCAGCTTGTTGGTTTCTCCAGGAGTAGAATTTCCAATCATGTCATCATCATTGATGTGCATCGGCTCCGACACTCCAGTTTCCATTCTAACTCTCTTGTTCGATTGTTGTGGAACTCCCTCTGGCTCTGGCATCGTCCTCTTCAACTTGTTGGTTGACTCATTTGAGGGATGCATGGCTCCTTTCTTTGGTACCTGGAGTCCAGCTCTCATTTGCCAGTGAGTATCGTACTTATCTTGCTTCACTGTATTAAATCCTTTGTCAAAAGTGACATGGAATTGCGGCGATACCAAGCCTGTCAATCGATTCAAAACAAGGGCAACGTTTCTTCCATGATTCGGTGATCTACCAAGGTAGATTCCAACTCGAGATCTAGCTTCCCACTTGTTCAAGAATCCTTGTCCTGTTTGCAGTTTCGGATCCAATACGTAGACAGGACATCCAAATGGAATCCAATGCTTGTTGTGGGTTTGAATGTCAGTCTGACTGAAGAGTTGCAATGGCGATCGCCCTTTCTCATCCCTCAGGTTTGGCGCTTCATTAATTGCGTCATTTGCCATCCTGATTGCATACGGCCAGAGGTGAGCAATCCCAGGCATTCTCCACCTGTTATTCATGTGAATGAGCATTGACCTTGCCAAGTCTTGTAGTGACCGAATCCTTCGTTCAGCTAGTCCATTTGAATGATGTGCATTGACTCCTGCAAACGTTAGTGTCTGCTCAAGTCGTCTGCATTCATCGACCCATTTATTCGCACGGAACACTCCATTATCTGCATGGTATGCCTTGATTGTTGCTCCATGTTGTTTTGCGTAGGCTTCAAAGGCTTTCTTTCCCATAATTGTTTCATCCGCACTCGTGGACTTCTGAAGATAAACAAAGCCGAGACCAGAGTATTGGTCCACGTAGATGGTCGCACATGTGTAGCGCTTCTTCGTGAGAATTCCAGTCATCTGGGCTACCAAGCCTGGAGTGGGAGAGATCAACTGATCGACCGATACGACTTGTCCTGGTGTCCTCACATCTGTCTTCTCAGTCCAATGTTTTCGACGCTTGTGTCTCCATTGTCGTCTCGTTGCTTTTGCGAAGAGGCATGAGCTGCATGTAGGTGGGTGTACATTGGCGAGGCGCCTTGGTATGATGCCTTGCTTAGCCATGTTTTGCAGTTTTGCCATGGAGATGTGTGCCATCCGGTGGTGATAGCGAAGTAGTTCTTGGGCTGGCGTAGTTGCCTGCTTCTCCTCCTCCTCGTCGATGACTACCGGTGGTCGGTCTCCAGTGGTGGTCCTTCCATCCAAATCAAATGTAGTGTGTCGCGGTTCAGGTGTTGTTTGCTTTGCCTTCAGTGGATTAAGTTGTCTGATTGGGCGAAGTAAGTTTGGCAGGAATGATGTGTTATTGTCGTTCTTTTCGGTTGGTGGTGGAACATCGTCGTCATCATCTTCACCACCCTCATCGTCGCTCACAACTCCAGCTGGCATGGCGTATATTGGTGTGTCATCATTCGTGTCAATCTTGCACTCCTTGCAGAACAGATCAAAATTCTTGAATCCAGGAGCAAGATAGAAAGTTGCCACGTTATCATGTTCTCCAAGGTAGACATCCATTGTATATTGTCGTCTATCCCAAAATACCTGACAGCGATTGTAGAGTGTAGATTCTCCAATGCCATCCTTGGTTGTCTCGGATAGCTTTTTCATAGGCGTGACTCGTCCTCTCAATTGCGTCTGAGCCCAATGTTGTGGACTCAAAAGGCGGCATTTACCATGAGGAACGTAATAGGAATTCGGTATGGAGAACCGATGTAGCTGTCCTTCATTGTCGTGCCACTTCCAAACAATTGTCCCCTTGAATACATTCCAAACTCGTTCTCCACCAAAACCCTTGATCGAACGCTTCACAGGTACCAACGGTCCCTCAAAATCAGTAGCAACATGGGAGATGCATGCACTTGCACGATTGTCGATTCCAACCTTTCCAGAATCCGTATCAAACTTGCAATTGTTGTGATGAGTTGCTTCTCCTTCTGAATTTGTAGTCTCGTGAACGTAGATCAGTGTCGTCTTAGCATACAACAGCTTATTTCGAACTCGATAGTGGGGGTGATTTAGTTTTCGTTTGTTCGGATGCACCCTGTTCAATTCCCTTTTGATCCAGGTCTCCTTAGTGAGAGGCTCGTAATCCTCATTCATTGATTCAGCTAGGTAATGCATATGTTTTGCCCTCTTGTACGCCGCTCTAGTGTAGTAGGCGGTCCAGTTGTCGTCCATAGTGTCAAAGAACTCCATAATCGGACTGATGTAGTTTCGAAGTGTGTCAGTCAACCGTTTCGTTGCGTCATTCCATCGATTCCATCTGTGAGATTTTGGAACATATCGTTTTCCTGTGTCATAATTCTCCAGGAATGGGTCCAAAATTAGGCAGAAATAGACAACAGTGAAGATCCAAACAATTTTCCCTATACGTATTAGGTGTGGCGTGATGCACTCCCAGATACATGGTAGGAGGGAGTTGTTGTATGATGTCTTCGTCTTCTGCTTGTAACCCTCTCTTGGACCCTTGACATGTCATTCGCTAGTGCTGTAGACATCCGATTCGTAGCCTCCAGTCAAACCAGCCAAGTATTCTTCGTCAACAGCTGTCTTCAACTCAATCTTCGGGGCTGCTCCTCCAGAAGATCTCTTCTTTGGATCGAACTTGTTCTTCTTTTTGAACGGTTTGCAGTCCTTTGGCTTGTGAGCTCGCCAAACTCCTCCACAGTGTCCACCAGTCGCTTCACAGCACCAATGCCAATCAATCTTATTCCAATGCTTGGTTTCATTGATTTTATCGTGTGGTGGTGCATGGTTGAACCAATCCGGCCTTTCCTGTTTCTGATTCTTCTTTCTTGGAGCTGGCTTCCTGTCATCGTCGTCTTTCTTTCTTTTCTTCTTGGTTTCAAGCTTCTGCTTCATATCAGAAATCTTGGCCTGCAATGCCATGATTTGCTCATCAACTTGCGTAGGAGCTTCCCACTTTTCTAGCGATACCATGATCTTGTACTTCTTCTCCGCCAGTTTCATAAGCTTTGCTGCAGTGATTGGTCGGTTCTCCATGTCATGGTCCGTCTCTAGATCGGTAATGTACTTGACAAATTCCTTGTCACTGCACACCATATATCCTCGAAAGAGGTTCGTCAACAGATCCAATGTTTGCTCTCCACGCGCCTGCAATCCTTCGAGTAGCATCTTAACGTGCATGTTGAACTTGATGATATCGTTGTTGACCGTTGGCAGGTAGAGATCCAGAGTGGCAAGTCGTTGACGTAGCATACCAGTCGTTGCATTTGAATCCAAATAGGACTCCCGAACTACCACCTTCAGCAAGCAGAGCCCAGATGGATAGCGATTGTATTGTCCAGACATGAGCTTGTAGTCAGAACTGTGAATGTTGACCTTCGCTTTTCCAAGAGTAGAAAGTGATTTCATGATGCATTCGTAGAGCATCCGGTCGTCTTGGGACTTCCTGTATCCATTGTTCCAGTAGCTGCGTTCATGAATTTCAATCTCTTCAAGGGTAATAGATCCATATTCAGTCAAAAGGTTGACCATGGTTCCATCAGCTTTTGGAACATGTAGGATGCCTCCACGAGTCGACCATCCAAATTCATCGGCTCTTTCACCAAGGTTCTTCATGAACTGGTAAAAGTTATCGGAGGTACAATCGAAAAGAGTCTCCTCGTCCAACCTCCTTGTTGCGCTGCGAAAAAGGTAATAGTGTTGCTTGTTTCCAGCGTACTGGAGCGTTCCCCTTGTTGCTTGTCCAGGAGTCAAACTTCCAGGTCCACCATTTTCTCCTCCTCCTGGAGCAGGACCATCTTGGTCGCCTCCTCCAATTGCGCGATCATTGGCTACTGGGATCTCAGCGTAGTTCTCCTCTTCAGCTTCGGCTTCCGGTTCTTCTTCCCCAGAGTTCTCATCAGAGGAAGATTCACTGTCTTGTCCATCAGGTCGTAGACGAAGTCCCTCCGCCGTGCGTCGAACGTCTGCACTGCGTCGGGTTCCAACCATACTTGCGTAGTCTCTTCGAGGTAGATTCCTGAGTGAGCCCCTGTCCATTCAGCAGAGTATGAACGTACCTGCTAGTTCCTTATCGCAGAGGGAGCGTGTAACAAAACCACGTTGATAAGGCTCAAACTAGGTTTTGGGGCGTTGTCAATTTGGGGTTGAATATAGATTCGTTTAAAAATCGATTTTAAAATATATTGTGAGCAGTTTGAAGACTCAAACTTCTTTTAGTCGTGCTACATTCGTCTGATCTGATCTGAACCAACTCCAACCAATCCCGCTGGATTGTTAGTTATAGAATGTTGGAGATGTAGCGTGATAGCCGTAGCTTCTACGCTGACAACTTCCTCTGATCTGATCAAGTTGGATTCGTGTTAAGTTTTCTCACCGAATCCGACTCACTCGATCACTCAGTCATTCAGTCGATTCGATCAAATCTCAGACCTCAGAATCCCTGGTATTCGTTCAGGTATCAGCAATGCGAGCGTTAATGTGCACATTAATTAATACCGGCATTTAAAAAAATATATTATGGTACAATACCTCCCCCGTATTTTGAATGGCACAGGGAGGGGAACACCAGTCGTGCTCAATTTTCAGACGTGGATTCAAAGTGGACCGTCCTCATCGCAAACGCAACCGACTGCTACTGCTGCCACTCTAATCGCCTCTGAAGCTAAATCCTTGGACAACGTCGCGGCCTCCAACCGTCCTTCCAATTGAAGCTTGTCATCGTTCACCATCATATTAATCATTCTCGATATTCTGCAACATTCGAACTCATGTTCAGCAGCGGCTGCTTCCTCATCACTTTCGACGGCTTCTTGTGCATTGAAACTTTTCAGCAGTTGTGACAATCGCCAAAGAAGCATCAGAAAGAATGATGTGATGTTCAATCCCACACAGCCCCGTAGCATGGACTCTGAAGCCTCGAGAAAAGTGTCACCAGTTTCGCAAATACCCCACCCTTCTAGTTCGCTATGAATCTCCCTCAGTTCTACCAGCAAGCAACCGAGCGTTTTATCAACGTTTGCGACCGTGATCCAGTTGTGATTGATGGACAAAGTTGTTTCCGAATTCTCCACTTCGTGTTGCCAGGTGCATGGGACAAACATTGCTTGACCTGCCTTTTGAATCACAGTGAATTGTTGATTGCAATCTCTTCCTCCGAAAAATGTCCATTTCTTCGTACCGTGTACATTATAGCTCCACGAGAAGGAGTGGAGGACATCTGAGTGTCGAAGAGTTTTGGAATAAGATGGACCCCAATAGCAGAATTTATAGTCCCCGTTTGTAAACTCTGTCAGGAAAGGATTAAGTAAATCATGTTGGAACACTTTCGGGCATGTATACAACGGCTTTGTATGTTTCTTTTCCCGTAAGAGTGCGACGAGGTGCCAATCCTTGAGGTAATACGAATGATTTTGTTGCTCCATCGACAAGAGATCAGTCCACTCGCTCATAGATACCTGGCGAGTTTCACATTCTGCAGCCCGGCCTTCCGAATCGAGTGTCGCTTCGTCGCTCATAGAATAATACCTTAATGGAACTTGGATTTCGGTTCCAACATGATCTAGAAACCATCGGGAGTTTATATGCTGTCGGTCGTTCGTTCTCCATTCCTCATTAACACGAGCAAACGGATTGGAGCAATTCGGTGACTCGTCATATTGAATTAAGCAAGGAAGGTTCCGAAAATGATAGTCTTGACGAAACTTGTAATGGGAAGAAATATCACGAGCTGAAAGTGTTGGAATAGGTGCTTCACTATCGTCTAGCGTGTGCAGTCGGTCCCAAAACTGATGGTAAGCTTTGTCTCTTTGCACATCCAGAGATTCAATTGAATCGATTGTCTGTCGGCGAACCCTGACACGATGTCGACTGCTATCTTTCTGGAAAACATCGATCAATGCAACACATTGTCTCAACGCTGAACGCATAGATATAGCGTGCTCGGGAAGGTCATTTTCATCATCGTCCATTGCTTTCGATTATTGGTTTTCAAAGCAATATCTCCCTTTCAATTCAACAAACCGTCAGTGAGCATGACGATGTCTATTACACCTTACCAGCACGATAGTTTTTAATTTGCGATCACGACTTCACTTCTTCGCGTTGTCCCTTGAGTTGGTCGGGACTGATGAACTGTAGTCAGTCACGCAGGACTCACTCCCTCACTCCAACCATAATTTAGTCGGCCGAGTGAGTCAACAAATATCTTACTTTTTGACACCAGCTGCAAGCTTTGTGTGCTGCATGACAGCTACAAAAAGTATGTCGTCAAACAAGTCTACTCTTCCTTCTTCATCATCATGCAGTCGGAGGAATGCATCACTCTGGACTCTGTCCATCTCTGCAGTTTTGTTGACTGCAATCTGGGGCATGGCATCATTTGGATTTGAAGAACACCATATAGACACCAACCATCGAGTTTCTGCTACACAACCGCGCAACAATACAATCAGCTTTTCGGCATCTCATTTCCCTCCCTCCTACTGGCCTAAGTTTAAGGGTCAAAGATATGTCACACTGCTTGATGGTACTTGGGGCACTGCAAATGTCTCCAGCCACGACCTTGCTACCTTTGATTCGATGAACCCAAACTTTGATCCTTCTACAATCAAATTCAGTGCAGATATGCCCGTTCCATCCTGTGTTGACAGCTCGCCTCCGGGATACATGATACCACGTGGAGTGTATTTCTTTCGAAGACTTTTTCACTTTGACCTTGCAAGCGCAGGGGCTCGACTGCAGTTCCAAGGTTGTTCCTTCTACTGTCGTGTGTGGGTGAACGGGCAAGAGGTTGGCGATCACCGTGCCGGTGGGTATGTTGCTTTTACTCTAGACATTCCACCACAAGCTTCTGTCGACAACGAGATCTTTGTGCTGACGGATGACCGCTTCAACAAGACAACGGCACCAATGCATACAGGTGGTGACTTTTTCCACTACGGGGGAATCATGAGATCTGTCGAGTTGCATGCGCTTCCTCCACCTCGCGAAGGTACCTCGGGATCATCACTATCACTATGGCCATGGAGGGTGTATGCAACACCAAATTCGCTGGAGACCGTGAACGTCACTCTGCATCTAACAGATAGGACGTACACGGGTCCCATCGATACCGAAATTAGGGTCTCTTTCGATATGGGGCCGGGTGTGGCATACGCTCCAAAACTATTTTCTGCCGTTGATGGTGTTGCTAGTCTGGGTAACATGAAGGTCCCAAACCCAAGGGTATGGTCGACATTGGATCCTCAGTTGCACACTTTGTCGGTGGAGATGGAGGGAGCTGTCTTGGTCGAGCGGTTTGGGCTGAGAATGTTTGACATTGATGAAGATAGCCTCCGTATTCGACTGAATGGAGAAATAATCAAGCTTCTTGGATGGGGTCATCACACACAGTGGCCTGATACGGGAGGATCTCCAACGGATGAACAGTTGGATGAGGACATTTTGCTACTAAAAGCTGCTGGAGCAAATTTTGTTCGTGGAGCTCATTATCCGCAGGATGCACGCTGGCTAGATCGATTGGATGAGAATGGGATGGTTATGTGGTGCGAAACGCTAGGACCAAACATTTCGGCTGCAGATACCGTTGATCCTTATTTTTTGAAGTATCAGGCACAGCAAATGAACGAGATGCTGGACAATGCCATTAATCATGCATCAATTGCCATTTGGGCATATTTCAACGAAGGCCCATCGGGCGAAAACGCATCTTGTCCAGCTTATCAGATGAATACAGACCTTATCAAATCACGAGATACATCTAGGCTCGTTTCCTATGCGTCTAGTGAAGCTCCACCAAAGGATGTTTGCTTCCCTGTTGTCGATATTGTTTCGATCAACGGATATCCAGAATGGTACGATAAACCATCTGCAAAAACCTATTGGAGTGCTTTCGCAAGTTACTACAAGGCACTAGGAAAGACTTTTTTGATCTCAGAAAGTGGAGTAGGTGCTATTTATGAATGGCAGGACAACGAGACTGCAGTCCCATGGACTTGCGCATACCAAGCAAAGGCCTTGGTTGATATAGTCGAGGAATCGATTTCGGATTTCAATGTGAGCGGACTCGCTCTATGGCATTTCTTTGACTTTAAGAGTACTGGTAAGCCAAATTTTCAGTGTTTGTCTTGACTGAAATTGGTGTCGCTTGGCTGACATCCTTGTTCTCGCTATTTATAGACTTTGTAATCACTGGCAACTGGGAAAATAATACCCATTGCGACTACTTAGATAATGTCTATCCACCAACATGTGGGTATATTGACGTGAACATTTCCACGCCATTTCAGAAACCTGGAGGACAAAATTGCAAAGGAGTTATTGACTTTTGGAGACGAAAGAAACCAAGTTACGGAGAAGTCGCAAAGCGCTTCACAGCAATCACAGCAAAAACAACTCAACACAGATAGTCGCACCCACATATTGGCCAAAATTTAAGGGTCAAAGATATGTCACACTGCTTGATGGTATATGGGGATTTGCAAATGTCTCCAGCCACGACCTTGTTACCTTTGATTCAATGAACCCAAAATTTGATCCTTCTACGATCAAATTCAGTGCAGATATGCCCGTTCCATCCACTGTCGATACGTCCCCACCAGGATACATGAAATCTCGGGGTGTCTTTTTCTTTCAGAGACGCTTTCATTTTGACCTCAAAAGCGTTGGAGCCAGGCTTCAGTTCCAAGGTTGTTCCTTCTACTGTCGCGTGTGGGTGAACGGGCAGGAGGTTGGCGATCACCGTGCCGGTGGGTACGTTGCTTTTACTCTAGACATTCCACCACAAGCTTCTGTAGACAACGAGATATTTGTGCTGGTGGATGATCGCTTCAACAAGACAACGGCACCAACGCACACAGGTGGTGACTTTTTCCACTACGGGGGGATCATGAGATCTGTCGAGTTACATGCGCTTCCTCCACCTCGCGAAGGTACCTCGGGATCATCGCTATCACTATGGCCATGGAGGTTGTATGTGACACCAGATTCACTTAAGAGTGTGAATGTCACACTGCACGTAACAGATAGGACATATGAGGGTCCTATCGATACACAACTTAGAGTATCCTTCGACGAAGAACCATTTGTGGAATACCCGCCAAACTCATTTTCTGCCGTTGATGGTGTTGCTAGTCTGGGTAACATGAAGGTCCCAAACCCAAGGGTATGGTCGACATTGGATCCACAGCTACATACAGTGACTATCGAAATGGATGGAGCCGCGATGGTGGAGAGGTTTGGCTTGCGTATATTTGATATTGACGAGGACAGCTTGCGTATTCAATTGAATGGGGAAGTGATAAAGTTCGTTGGATGGAACCATCACACACAGTGGCCTGATACGGGAGGATCTCCCACCGAACAGCAGATGGACGACGACATATTGTTACTTAGACATGGAGGAACAAATTTTGTTCGTGGAGCTCACTACCCTCAAGATCCGCGTTGGTTGGATCGACTGGATGAGAATGGGATGGTCATGTGGTGCGAGACATTGGGACCAGATGTTTCGGTTGCAAACACAATTGATCCTTACTTTTTGAAGTATCAGACACAGCAAATGAACGAGATGCTGGACAATGCCATGAATCATGCATCAATTGCCATTTGGGCATATTTCAACGAAGGCCCATCGGGCAACAACGCATCTTGTCCAGCCTATCAAATGAATGCAAACATTATTCGATCTAGGGATACCTCAAGATTTGTTTCTTACGCTTCGGACAAGCATCCGCCAAGCGATGTGTGTTTTAAAGACGTCGTCGATGTTATGGCAGTGAATGATTATCCTGGCTGGTACAACCCCGCAGCCCCCAAAGAGCGCTGGAGCAGCACTGCTAAATACTACAACGAAGCTGGAAAGCCGATGATCATTTCCGAAACGGGAGCTGGTGGAATCTATGAGTGGAGTAGTAACAGCACAGCTTCCAAGTGGACATGCAAATATCAGACGCAAGTGCTCGTCGAAGACGTTGACATAGCTATTTCTGATGCAAGGGTGTCTGGCATAGCTTTATGGCATTTCTTTGACTTCAAAACGCGCGATGGGGACGAGAACAATACACATTGTCAGTATCTATTAAACGTTTATCCTCCGGTTTGTGAGTACATCAACGTCACGAGCAACAGGCCCGGCGGAGCCAACCACAAAGGTGTCTTAGACTTTTGGAGAAGAAAGAAGCCAAGCTTTGATGAGGTGGCGAGAAGATACAAAGCAGCCTCGAAATCAGTTCCTATATCTGTTGTTTAATTTTTATCCTACTGTTAGCTAATTAGAGACAAAGACTCCTGTCTCTAGATGCATCGAATACATCTCAAAATTTCAGGAAGAGTCCGCTTCTAAGGACATGGAGAGGAAGAGTCCGCTTCTAACGACATGGAGAGCAGCTACTAACAGTTCGATCACGCGGATTAAACTACTACATAACGTGCATGTAACATTCTTCTTCGCTGCCTGGAGCCTAGCGATGACGGCTCACTTATCAATATTGGTTGACTTGCTACGTTTGTTGACAAATCAATTAAAATCATCTCTCCTTTCTATCCCTACAGTATTTACCAATTAAAATGAAGTGGACGCTCGACAGTGCCCAGTTGATGAGTAAAGTCTAATAATAGCCGGCCCGCACATATACCGGCATGACCCGTTAGACCAGCTTCTTAGGAAGAAGGCCTAAAAGTGTCCGTATATACTCTTTCGACGGACAGTCACGAATGATTTTTTAAAATTAATTTACGTTGGCAATAACACGACCAGAAAGGGTTTGGTGCTTCTTGAGAAATAACCATTGATTGGCAGTTTGCAGCACTCAATCCAGCAAAGTTTGAAGCTCATAACATTTCTCTACGCTTTCATTCACATCCATATTAGAAAGAGACAAGAAATTTCCTGCCCAAAATGGATCACGAGAATGATATTCCTTTCATGGATGATAGCGAAGATGATGAGCCACCAATGTTAGTCGATTTGAACCCGCCTCCAACTCCAGAGCTCGATCCTCCCCCTGACGAAGCGTCTGAAAACGAGCTACCAGTCTGTTTTCCTTGTCCCGTGACAATACTCTCTGGCTTCCTCGGGAGTGGAAAGACCACACTGATTCAATATATCTTGAAGTCTCCAGATCATGGGAAGCGGATAGCAGTCATCGAAAACGAGTACGGGGAAGGGCTAGCTGTGGAATCTATGATTGCTAGAGATGGTGTAGGAAACAACAACTTACAAGATTTGATCGAACTTCCGAATGGATGCATCTGTTGCACAGTCAAGGATTCTCTCGTCTCCACTCTGGAAAGCTTACTCGACAAACGACAAGACCTGGACTACATCCTTATTGAAGCTTCTGGAATGGCAAATCCTGGCCCAATTGCGAGTGTCTTCTGGCTCGATGAAGAATTAGAATCTAGGCTGCAGTTGGACGGAATTGTGACGCTCGTGGACGCCAACAAAATCCTTGAGCAGCTTGAGACGACGGAAGAAGCGGCCCAACAAATTGCTTACGCTGATCGCCTCTTAATCAATAAAGTGGATTTGTTGCAATCTAAGGGTGGAGGGTTGGACAAGGTTCTTGCTGCTCTTAAGCAGCTTCATCCGACAGCACCAACGCAACAGACGAACTATTCAAAAGTTCCAAATCTTGATTGGATTCTGAATACGAATTGTTTTGGGGGCACCGACAGATTAGCAGAGCTCAACACCATTTGGCAGGATTCAATTCCGCAGGCATCTACGCATCACCATGATCACCACATGGTGGATGGTGACCATGGCAACGAAGAAAGTCGTGAGAACCACAGCCATGCACAAAATGACAGTGGTCATGACCAACAATCCGAGAATCACGAACACACCCACACACATAGCCACGACCATAATAGCTCCGATCCATGTGTAGTCTGCGAGGCGGTGCAACACCGACATACCGCGGGTGTGTCAACTATTGCTCTCCATCAGCATGGCTCGGTAGATCTTTCAAGGTTGAATAAATGGCTCGCACATGTACTCTGGCCAAATCAGGACGCAGAAGACACGGTGTTGACTGCCATGTTACATTCATCTTCTGCACCCAAACCAAAACAAGACAACGAGACCGTCATTTTTCGATGTAAGGGTATCGTATCTGTAAAAGGAAATCTGGATGGTGACGAGGATGACAAGGTACATTATGACACCAGTACAGGTTTGGACAAGCGTAGATTTATTGTTCAAGCTGTGCACGATCTCTGGGAGGTGCACCCTGCAAGTGCTGAATTAAAATGGGGGGACCAAGAAGAGAGGGACTGCAAGTTGATTGTGATCGGGAAAAACCTGAATGAACCTGATCTTCGACGAGGGTTTCGCTCTTGCTTTTAATCAATTCGGGGAGCTATATAACTTAGGGATCGCTACACCACCCTTTGCCTTTCGCATCTTTTCTAAAGATCCGATTTGGCGCCATCATGGTTGGATGATTCATCACAAACATAAGTTAGAACTTTTGGTAGTGCAGATTGCAAACTCGTAGCAGCAGCTCCAAGGTTTGCCATGAATTCATCCTGCGTCGGAAATTCACCATCGACAATATCAGTAACAACCTTGAGTCCAAGGTATGGTACTTTGTTCATAGATGCAACCCAAGCAACTGCGGCAGCTTCCATATCCTTGAAAGAAGCGTCATTGTTCTTCATGATTTCATCGTCCTTGTCCGTCTTGTCCAAAGAGTTTCCGGAAGTACAGATTCCAGTCTTATAGCCAAGCTTTTCTGCCATTGTGGTAGGATCCATGGTTACCAACTTTCCAATCCCATAGGCATCAAATCCAGGGATTGGAATGCGGCGATCGTGGTTGGCAACTCCCGTTGTCAAAAAGACATCGGCGATTTCGGCACCCTTTCGCTTGAAGCCTCCACAGGTCCCAGCATTCAATACCAGGTCCACAGATCCTCCATACTTTGCGAGAGCAAGTTCTGTTGCCATACTGGCGGTAACAGTTCCCACGTTGTCGACCCCAGTTCCATAAACTGAGTCTTTGCCAAGAGTGACGACGGTAACTTTGGTCGCGTGATGTTCACCAGAGAAAGCCACAAAAGGCATATGCGAAGGGAAGAAATCAGCTATCTCTTCCAAATTCAGATGTTCTACGAACGGTTTGGCTTCTAGTTCCATGGCAACCAGGATGAGGACGCTGGGAGTGCATTGTGAGAATAATGTCTTTGATTTGATGATCTGCAAGGAGTCGAAAGAGGAAGGTAGATACAACTTACTGCTCGATTTTCATGGTTTCAACTTGAAGAGATTGTACAGAAAATATTTGAGAGAAAATGAGAGAAACTGCGAGACAAAGTCGGAATAGCATTGTTGCAATGCAGCGGAATGATTGATCAAGGTTGACGAGTACCGGTACGATGAGAAAAGCAATGCCAACGACGCAATCGAACGAGTCGACGTTCTCCAAAGATACGATCCATTGCATTCACATGGCATCACATCGCCATCGCATCGACGAAATCGATAGATTTTCCAACGACATCGCAACAGCATCAGAAGATATATGCAAAGATGCTGAAAGCTTCGTACAGCTTGAATTCATACGGGCGTACAGTTTTCGCTCTGTGCATCGTACTTTGTTTCACACACAGCGTTTCTTCTACACATGCTCATCAAAGGAAGGCTGCTTCGTTGATTTCGCCGATCGGTGATCCAATCGACGTATGGGACTCTGTTGACACCTGGAAGCGGTGCTCAATCGTCGACGTTCCTGACATTCCTAGTCGCGTGTATGCTGAAGCCAAGGACAAGATGCACATGATTGAAGGTATGGTTGTTTGTTCAAGAATGATGTTTCATCGTATTTCCAACGCTAACAGTACGTACTCCTTGGCTCTCGCCCCAATTCGATCGAAGGTTCTACGCACTTCTTTCCCATGACTGGTGATTCCATTTTTAACTTCACCAGAAGCTGCAAGCCTGCGTGGAACATGACGGGAGATGGTAATCCTGCAATGTTCGCTGGAAACGAGTTTTTAGACTCCGCAATTGCTTTCTCAAATGGAACTGTCGTCTCTCTAATACATACTGAGTTTCCAGGGAATAGATACAACATGTGCAACTCAACTGCCTATCCATTATGTTGGACAGTTACCATTGGTTTGGCCATCTCTCATGACTGGGGAGCGACCTGGTCTCATGTCCGCCCTCCACCTCACCATTTGATGGCTGCAGTTCCATATGTGTACGATGAAAAAAAACTGGCTTATGGATGGGGTGATCCCTCGAACATTGTGCTCAATCCACGCGATGGATACTACTATGTTGCAATGTGGAATCGGCATCAGATTGGAAAACAGAAGTCAGGTAAGTAGATTGCGCTGGAGGTTCAGTCGGCATGCCCTATATTGTGCTCAGTTCTTGTCGCACTACAGGGATTTGCATCGCTCGGACACGCCAGCTTCTAGACCCTTCTTCATGGAGGGGATGGGACGGCAAAGGATTCAGCACTACTTTTGTCTCTCCGTACTCGTTGGATCCGAAAGCACCGAAAGAGCAACACATCTGTACGGTGATCGAGAATGTACCTACTCTTTGTGCTGCGTTGAGCATGGTATGGAGTACTTACCTAGAGAAGTTTGTTATGACGATTGGTTGTTTCGATGAGCTGTCCAAATCGTTCTACATCTCCACAAGCGATGACCTCATACATTGGACTACTATGCGTCCTTTTTTTGATGCAGATATACTTCCGCCAAGGGTGAAGAAAATGATAACTTCTATTGGGTATCCTGCTCTTCTCGACCCTATCGCTTTTTCGTCATATGGCGATAGAAACTTTTACACAATCGGAAAAGAGCCATACCTGTTTTGGGTTTCTCTGGGACATAGTCCTTATACAGATGGCAGGCATTTATGGGCATCACCAATGAGATTCAATAGCGAGGAGGGGGTTCTGAGCAACGTGTCCTCCAGTTATACAACAGTGCTGTAAGTACTAGTGGATTATAGAGCTTCCTCTCATGAAAAACGATTTAAAAAACATTTCTTGATAGTAAAATCGAACCATAGACCATGAGTCTTCCCATTTTAATTCACCTTGGCGATCAAAGACTGAAGAAGTCGCGGAATGTTGATTTTTGCTGCCGGTCCCATGGATACTCCTCCTTCTGCAAGCACAGCCTTGGAAGCCGCTTCCTTGGACTCTATCATATCATCGATTTGTTTGTCAAGCTCGAAACCTGTCATCCAGTATGACTTCACATTTTTAGTTTGCCCGATCCTGCGGATCCGATCTTCGGCTTGCCGGGTATCACCAGGAGTCCATGGCCTATCTAGAAGGATAATAGAGCATGCAACTGTCAACGTCAAACCAACTCCGCCTTCGCAAACAAAAATGTGAGACCAATAGGTTTCTCTCCCAAGCAACGACAGAAACACAACATGCAAACGTACCCGCGCCAAAGGTGCTGACAAAAACAGGAGAATTACCGGCCTTCAAATGCGAAAAAAAACCGACTAAGACAATGAAAAACTCGACATTGCAATTGGCTCTGACATCGAAAACTGTACCTGGAACCTATCCACCAGAGCTTGCCGTTTCTTTTGAGGCGTCTCCCCAGTCAACAACTCTCCTTCCCATCCATTCGAGGAAAGTTGTCCGTAGATATTCTTTGCTACTTCGGCAAAGCTAGTAAATATCACAACTGATGGCTCTTCTTCAAGAATTTTCTGAGCTAACTCTACGGTTGCTCCAACTTTGGCGAAGGAGCAAAGGCAACGTAACTTTTGAACACCGCCCAGAACCGCTTCTCCCATGTCCGTCTTTTCAAATGACGCTTCTTGAAGACTAGCCTATAGCGTGAAAACACAACGTTAGATATTTCCTCCAGAGTGCAGGGCTGGGCTCTGATATACAAACTTACGAGATTCTTTACTGCTTGGATGTATTGCAACTGGTTTCTGTGACTGATTGGTACTTCATATCGATGACGCTTTAGTGGCGGCAATGTGAGGCACTGTTCCTTGGTTAGGTGAAGCAGGTTTGAAGAAACCAGGCGCTTTAGTTGCTTCAGGTTTGCACAGCCGTTTGCGTCCCAAAGAGGCTTGCCACGACCAAAACTCTTCAAGATTCCACCACAAAAATGCTTCTCGTACGCCATTTGGTTCTTTCCCAATGGGTGTCTTACCGCCCTGAGAAGTGGGAAAAGGTTACTTGGTTTTCCGTTTTTCATCGGCGTACCTGTCAGAAGCAACACACCTATGCATCTATAGCAGTGTATCAAAAGGCTTAAATGAGTGGCATTTGGGAAGTCAAGTAGAAGAAACCAAGATACCTTCGTACCTTTCGTCTAGGACAAGCTTCAACGAGTCCTTTGTGCGGGAAGAAGTCATGGATTGCATGGAATGAGCTTCATCGAAGACAACTACGTAACGCTTGGCACACTTGGCCACTTTCGTTGGCACCTTAGCCCAACTACAGATTCTAAGGTCCAGCGATTCATCATTTCTATTTGCTTTTTCGTCTTCAACCTTGAGACCAGTTGCATCTTCTGCTGTTCTCTTCCATTCCGCTTTAAGGGAGACTGGGGAGACAATGAAAACTTTAAGATCATCAAAAGTTGATTTGAAAGAACGCGCCCAAACACAACCAATCAGTGTTTTCCCAAGACCCATATCCAAGGCAAGGACCATTCTTCGTCGAATAATTCCCTGAAGAACTGATTTCTTTTGGTGAGGAAATAGCGTCCACCCATTGAGAAGCGGTTTTTGTAAGCTTGCATGTCGAACCAGATCCTTGCGATGCCCATCTTCTATAGGCTTAACATCATTCATCGTAAATGATATCTCTTTTGGTAAGCTTGGCTCGCCCGGTAACTCAATTGGTGGCTCACTCGATCGCAAAGATGCCGATTGCTGCTTTGTCAAATTGTCTTTCTTCTGCAAGTCTTTCGAGTGCGAATTGTTTTCCCATCCTTGGGGACGAATCGACATCAGACTAACTGGTCTAGAGATCGAGACCTGCTTAATCTGTTGTTGATCTACTGTTGCGTCTGCCAGAGGCGCTCGATCAGATGAGCCCGAAACATGATTCCTTTCCTCTTGAGGAAGTGAAGGAGAAGGATAGGTTGGTTTCATTGACGACCCATTGTTTTCATTCACCGTTGACACGCCTATCAAGTCCCGCTTCCGGCAGGGGTTTGTCATTGCTGACACCGTTTGTGACAGACACCGAATTTCAGGTTCACGTCGTTCAGTCGGCGCCGAAGGTTTGATTCCAGGCTTCAGTTGCGGTCCTTGTAAACAATTGTGTGTTTCTTGTCGCGTTGCTTGATTGCCATCTGTATTTTCCGCCGATTGCGGAAAATGAGGGGTTGGGGAGTTCATTTGATGTGAAGTTGCGATTGTTGTTTTCTTCTTGTATGGATTTGTTATTAGCAATGCTGCTTTTTTCGTTTGTTGAGGTGCCTGTGGTGGTCGATATGGTGGTACTGAATTTGATTGCAGAGCTTTTTTCTGTGTATCACTCCCCCTACCGGTAGTTTGACAAGCATTCGAGGATACGTGCGCTTTTTGTTGATATGCAGTCACCATGGATGGCCCATTCTGCGAAGAGACTAGCGAATTGTCTGTTATTGATTGTTGCCCATCCTCGACAATTGGTTCAGTAGGTCTTGGACGTTTCTTTCTTGCATATGGGTTGTAAGTCAACATGATCTAGGTGCTCAAGTGCTTCTTGCATTGTCATTGATTGTGTGTTTTATTCATCCCATCCACGACCGTTATTTCTTTTGAACTGTTCGAATAAAAAGCAATGATAAAAAAGTACCTTTCAAAACTATTCAAAATAACTGATTGGTGTCAATTTCCAAGTTGGAGATGGAGTCAGGCGTGCGACGCAAGAAGAGCGTTCTTAGGGTTAGATATCAAGGCCTCGATGCATTGTGTGAAGTCCTCGCAGAGAATCTAGCAATCGAGACAAAAGGGGAATTGCTCAGTATATTCCCACGTACATTTCTGACCCAAATTGTAAACTGCGCCGTTATTGCAATCAAATTCTTTAGAAGGCACCGCGACGAAGCTAAAATGAGATTGAAAAAGGCCCCTTTCTTTCATGTAAATCGCACTGACTCATGAATACTGTTCCCATACAACATGAGAGATGCAACATGCCCCATCTTGGCGTGTGACCGTTGACTTAGCTGTCAAGTCAACAATCAAACCCATATCGTTGTCATTTCGCCCAAATTTCTCTTTGTCACTGAGGCTTAGTGGCCGTCCATCAGTAGACCTTACCGATCCCAAAGGTGTGACCTTCGCATTCCCAGGTATCGCCACAGAAACACAAGTTTGGCGTTTAAGATATTCCGCTGCCCCCTTTATCTGCTGGATATCGCTGACTTCTTCTCCACCAACGGCAACGGTTAGATCTCGATTCAGTTTACAGGCCTTGTCACTCCGCTTTTCATTCGCCTCGCAAATAATGATGTTTTCAAACCATTTCTTCGCATTGTTTTCGTCATATGTGGCACTGCCTTCGTAAGGTAACCAAAGACGTAGCTTTCCGCTATCTGGTATTCCATACAAAGCAATTTTCATATCGATATACCCCAGTCCACCACATTGTTCGACTTTTCGTTTCGTATCTCTCTCTACTTTGCTGACATCCAAGACCCATCCCTCTTTGTAGTGGTCGTCTGTGCGATCAATCATAATGTCTAAATCACCCTCAACAAAGCCAGAAACTGTCAAGCTTGGTAGCACTTTACTATTGTCTGTAGCGGGCAAAAACGAAGTGCGACAGGAGAGGTCCCCAACGGTGTATTCCCCGTTATCTTTTTTGTGGCCGTAAAGGACTTCCATTACTCGACGGTCATTTTCAGCAACTTTGGGGCTAAGAGGTTTTCCGTAGGCCACCGAATTATCTGAATTTTTGCTCTGCACAGGACTGTCGCCCTGCATGTTTGACTGTTGTAGCTCGTATGCCCGTTCTAGAGCCTTCAAGAAGTGCATGGCCTGAAAAACGGAGACAAAAGGTGAGCTTGCGATGAGAGTATTCTGTCATTGGGAAAGCACGATATTTGACGAACCATCAACCAACCAATCATATTGTGTTCTTGCCGCTTGGGGTGCCAGCTCCCTCTCCCTGGACATTGCCTGGGGGCTCCGAATTCATCCCAATCCTGGAATCCTTCTGAAATTGGATTTTGTTGAAAGACCTTGTCATCAATCACTTCTTTCTTTGAGACCGCAATCGCATCTTGTAAATAACCGCTACTTGTGTATTTTTCCAAAAGGCTGGTTCGCTGAACATTTCGATCCAGCATGATAAGCATAGGGCGTTTTCGAAGTTGCTGGGTTGCTTGGCGAATGAATGCCTCTAGAACAGACGAATCTCTAGGTCCTTCATTCATGCTATAATCCCACCCAATTACATCGGGGTCTGCACCCAGGAAATGTTCCAAACAAAAGCCATAAGGGAATGAGGGAATACCGCCAATAGCAGCATTGCGAACGACCAAAGGAATGCCTAATATGTTTCGCATGGGTTCCTCCAGTACTTGCTCAAGGACAAATGGAAAACTTTGATTGAAAAAGTTTCCTCTCCCCACAGTAATACTGTATCCTGAAAAAGCAATCACAAATGGCCGGTTTTCTTGTGCAGCCTCTACCATCCGAACGGCAGTAGCGTCCAGAGAGCCGAACGACTGAACGCCTTTTTGTAACAATGTCTCAGCGTAGTCATGCCCGTATCGATGCAAAAATTGGTTTCGGACTTGCTCGATCCACTCTTTCGCTTTTGTTGGAGGGACCTGTGCAAAGTGACGGTTGGGTGGTGGCTTGTCCATACCACTAGTGACGTAGAGCATGCTGTAGATGCTCACGAAACCAAGGCAAACAATGACAACCACTAGCGCTGCTGCCAAAAAAGAAAATCTCGCTGTTGTCATCTTAGTACGACGAACTGCTCGCCGTGGTAGATTCGAGCGAGCAGAAGGACTGCGAGATTCAGCAACACTCGTTATTCCATGATTACCACGGGCTGCATTGGGACGTATCATTGTCAGTTGTGAAATAATAATAATAAGTTCTGGGAATTACAAAAATAGTTTTACTGTAGTCGGACGAAACAATCATGACACGGAATAACGGACAATCTACTGTTCAGTATACAGAGCGTTTGAAAACAAGAGTAGGTTTTATAATAAACCTTCTATCCTACCGACAGTCAAAAACTGACTACAATATTGACAATTCCTATTCTACGGTATCCAACGAATGAAACTACCCTGTAACCAGCACGTACGTTTGCTTTTATCTATTGGAAATGTTTTACGATGTTGGCCAATCTATAAAAAGTACTGGTTTTCGAGGACAAACTCATCAAACATCAGCGACGGCAAGACCATCTCCTTTTGGCCGTAGACAGTGTTCCGAGGGTGTTTAACTGGATTGATACCAAAAATGGAAAACGGATGTGAGACCATTTTCCCTAGACAAAATTGAAACTTTTCTTCTTTTTTACAGTACGTACCTGATGCCGAAAGGGGAATCCATCGCCATTCTGCATGAGTACTATTCCTTATATCGATTCGACCATAGCCAAAGAAAGATGCATCTCTCGCTTCAACCCAATCTTCTGGTTCTTCGTTTTGAAACCCGGCAGAGCATTGGCGGCCTCCAGCACCGATTGTAATATGGACAGGCCCCTTGTCATTTCGCTCCCCCATCGCAACCTTGGAAGTTCTCAAGTACGCATGAATGTGACCAGTTAGAACGAAATTGACATGATACTTCACAAGGAGAGGTTCGATGTTGTCTTTTGCTGCAATGATTTGTGGATCGTAGTGGTGCTTATCAAACGTGTTGTACAGCGGTGTGTGGATCGTGACAAGGACCCAAGGCGTTATCGATCGATCAACTGACTTCAGCTCCTTCTTTACCCATTTGTATTGAGGGGAGTCAGGTTCCATGGATGAGTATGCGCTCAGTACAATATGCTTAGCCAAACCATAATCGAAAGAATAGTAAGCATTCCCCCAGTCATAAGGAAGCGGATACGATGGTGCATCCATGTTAAGAAGCCCAGGAAAGTCAAAGACTTCGCGTTGTTCTGGTTGAACTTGCGGCATTCTGAATCTAGTTTCATATGCTTCGAAAATCACGTTGCCATCCTCTCGCTTTTCGATATCTATCAGTGGGCGTATGGGAACAGTGAGCACGACGACAGCGCTAAGAAAAGAGAGGTCAATCGTTCTTACCATGGTTGCCGGTAGCAATATGCAGCGGGATCTCGTGAAAAATTTCATAGTCGTCAAGAAAGTCAAAGAAAGTATCCCAACGTCGATGATCAAACTCGTTGTAGGAGATATCTCCTGCCAAAATTGTTGCATGAATACCTTCCTTGTTGTCGCTCAAGTGCTGTAGTGTCTCTTCACTAAAACTAAACTGGCCCAAATCGCCGATCACGGCGAAGGAAACGGGACCCTCACCTCTTTTGGGAGCAGTTCTAAACGACCGTACTTGCTGTCCTTCTATACATGGTAGTTCCGAGCCATCATAATGTGGTGGAAGCAACCGTCGCCGTCTCTGATCGCCACCATCTACTGTTTTCTTTGCATTCAAAACATTCTCTTCCGTGGCAGTACTGTAGAAATGCTTAATCGGGCGTTTCTTGAGTGCTTCTATTCCATCGTCCCTCTGTCCGACAACAATTGCATAATAGTAGGTAGTGTCTGCTTCCAACTCATCTATCGTAATATGATGTTGATACGGAGAGTTGTATCTCTTTCCATCTGGATTTTTCTCTTTGTAGTGCAAGGGATATTCCTGCTCCGGCACGAATCTATCCAGTTTATCCGGCTCAAGACCGATATGAATACCACCAAGCGGAGCGTTGTCCCCTTCCGAGTTGCTGTATTTGGTGGCGAAACTTATCGTCATTTCATGAGCAGGATCATGGCCAACTGCAAGGTGGATGTGCTTCGCCTCTCCTTTGCAGTGGCGCGGTCGTGCTTTGTTGGCTGTTGCAGTCCCCAAAAGAGTGGAGGCAACAGCAAGCAGTATTGACAAACGACAGTGCATCCCTTCTTCGTTTTGATTGTTGTTTAGTTCTTTGCTTCACTGTGCTGGGCAATTCTTTTGTTTCTCGTATGGGTCTCTGTTTTTGAGTCAGCTGATGATTCTAGCGCTCCACAGTCCCACTTAGACATATTTACGTAGAATCAGAATTTCCTGGCTACATCATTTCTCGGTCAATTGGCATGTGCTGAATTGAGATTGAATGTTGCCAGTCAATTTGATTCGGTGAAAGGGGTCGAACTGAGACCATTGCGTTTAAGGATGTAGATGGATAAAAATTGTTCGCGTTCGCATTCGGAGGGAGTGTTAATTCAAGTTTTTCTGCGAACCTCCGAAAAAAATAGCATTACTTAGTACATCAATGTCACCCTATTTATAGTAGCTTGTCCTGCCGATTTCAAACTACTTATTGTCCAACGGAAATCAAATTCATTTGAAATAGCTGAAACTGGAAACACATGATCCATCGCATCCAAACTTCGTCCATCGTGTCCACACGACCATGGTCACGTCACGGAATGCTGGGATGCACTCCCCCTTTTATCTCAAAATATATCATTCCGCAGCATGAGGCAACAGAAAAGATTGAAGAGCAAGCACCCTTGTGCTGGCAACGGCGATAGAGCTCAAGATAATCATAACAGAAACGATGCTGATGAAATCTCACTAGACAGCCTTCCACCTGGTGTGCTCAACCAGTATGTACTAGACGAAGACGATGAATGGTCGTACAATGATGGTGATGATGGTAATAATGGTGATGCGAATGACGATGAACCATCGATGAGTGAGCAGCCAAACGAAGACACAACAGAAAGCAGTACCAGAACTGATCAACCTGGACACGAAAGTACCTGTCTAGACATTAACTTATTCAAGCTCCCATGCCTACAAGAGGCCAACCTTGAATCACCAAAGACCCCATTTGATGTTCTGGCGGGAAGCTTGATTGCTCTCAACAAATCCTTGTCGTCGCGTCACTGGTTTCAGTTGTTCCACCGTGAAATGGAAGAAAGCAAGGTTCATGAAAGCATCGGAACATTCCATGAAATACTGGGATTGGACCAGAAAGAGTGTTTGGATGTTCTCGTTGCTTCCGGACTTGTGGCACCTAACAAGAACGGTAAAATGCAAACAAAGAAGAAGATATTCGGGATGCTTAAAATTTTTGCTGATGGCTTTGACTTCAAGATCAACACCACAATCCAAGGCTCCACGCACTCATTCGTCTTGATTGGTCCACCAGAAGCAAAGATGCCGTCCCTTAGTGAACAACTGGGCACAGAGAAGGGCATACCATCTTTTGACCAGTCAAACATTGCCGTCATCCGAGATAGCTTCAAGCAGTACTATGACTCCGATGAGATTCCAAAGCAATACGCAAGAAGCACGGCACCAGAAGAAGATGCGGAAAATCATTTGAGTGAAACCGACCAAACCAAGCCAAGGGGGATCCTCTATAACAGCCCGAGCCTGGGAAAGAAGAAGAAAAATAAGAACAACAGACGAATGAGAACCACACTCTTGATTGACGGGGAGCGGGTACCATGCCCAAACAACTACAAACTCGTTTCCAAGCAGAAATTGAATCATTACAAGCGGACAGAGAAACTGTACGAAGCGATCCGGAAGGCAAGCAAGAGGAAAATCTGCGTCTTGGATGAGCAAATGAAGTTCTTTCTCGGAGCAGTTGTTGGTCTGTGTGTTCAGGTCCCTGGTGTTGCTTTTGAGCAAATCTTTTTTTCGGCTGCAATTATTTTTGCAACCATCCTCAAGCTTGTTGACTTCGAAGATCAGGAAGCATCTACTATGAGCCACCTTCAGATCTTCAAAATGATGCCATCTCGAACCACAGGCAACAGATATGCGCAAAGAGCAGCAGCACACAATGTCATCCGTCAAGGCGCCCGAATGATGCAAGCCAAAGCGCTTTTCCTTGGAGCAGACAAAGGCGGCGGTAGTTTGATAAAGAAAATCTGCTATTACTCTGAAGAAGATGGGATAATTGACACAATCGACCTTGATTTCGATGGTTCTGGAGAGGACGCGGTAGCATGTGCAGATGCTGTCTATCATTCGATGTCAAGGTATGTCTTTGGTGATGATAAGCATATCCAACTGAATAACATCATCAAAGGTGGAGGAAGCGATAGCGGCGGTGGATTCACAAACGCGAAGATGAAGGAACAGCTGGTGAGAGTTTGTTTGGCTAGCAATGCTGAATACATCCACTGTCCATGCACCTCTCACAATGACCAGACCAATCTTCGAACTGCAATTGAAAATATCTTTGGTCAAGGCGGGCTTGAAAGACGCAATGTTATGCAACTACTCCATGCCTATGCTTACTTTCAAAGAGAATTTTCTGACAAAGACGAATACTTTGATCTTCTCAAAGCTTCATACCATGGGAAATTTCCCGACAAGAAAGCGGTGCCAAAGGATTTGCTTCGATTGATGCAGGAACCCATTTTGACGAGGTGGAAGACAGTTGGAGAAGCTGCAAGGTACATTCACAAGTATCTCGATGTCCTTGTCTACTTTGTCAGCGCCATTTGCAATGTGGAAAAAACCGACTCGAAGAAGAATAAGTGTGGCAGTAATTTTCTTTCCTTGGCAAAAGAGCCAGTGATCAAGGGTGATTTGGCATTTTTGTTCGATTTTGACAAGAGCTTTTTTAACAATCACATGGAATTCAATCATGCCCTGGACGAGAATATTGGACGAACCGGTTTCCTAGCTCACCATCACCTGGTTCGCTACTTCTTAAAGACTATCGAGTTGAAGGAGTTTAAACAGGAGGTGGAAAAAGGAGCACAGTACATCGCTCAATCCCCACAAACTGCAAAGCTTCCTTCCTTTTGGCAAGCAATGAGGGACTGTGAAGGCTTGGACACCAAATACCAGACTGATCGTGCTAGAAAATTCCTTAAGCTGTATGAGATATCGCTTCACAAGCACAACCAACACTTTTGCAATGAACTCTTGTTTCTTGGATGCTTCAGTGAAAAACCAACAGCAACTATTGTTGCAAAATATCTGATGCTAGTGTGCGATGAAGATGGTCTTACTGCTCAAGATTTAGTGGAAGGCCAAGAGGCTAAATTGTTTATGTCTTCTATGCACCATAATAAAACAATTGATCTTGAGGCGTTTGCAAGGTTCTTGATTGAATATGGAAAATCGGATTGTCTTGATACAGTGCACTTTGAACGACTTCATGATATCCTATGTAAGATATCAAACGGCGCAGATTTTTGGAACCCAACGACTGAGCAGGGTTGGGATGATCTAATTTTTTATATGAACTTCTATGCTCCGCTTCCTTCGACAATGGAAGAGATCGAACGGAGCGTGAAAACGGCAAGATTGTGCAAGAGAACCGGCAAGAACGAACAAAATGTGAGCTCGTATGGTATTGCTCGAGCTCCGCTTCTCACCAAGTGTGATGAACCTAATCTACTACTAAGTTCATACGGGGACGCTATGAGAGAACAGAGAGCGTCCGAAGCATCTGCTGCATCTGCCGAGGGGAAAGAGTCCAGATATAGTGGAGAGTACAAAGAGGATCTGAGCCGTGGTCCTGCAAGAGTGGAAAATGTATTGAAACATAGCCTCAATATTTACAATTACGTGGAGGAACAGAAAAAACAAAACAAGGAAGGATATGAACAGAAACTTGATATCACACTGGCAAATCTTGGCGATAAGAGTGCGAAAGAAAGTGCAAGACGACAACGCGACTATGCTGCAAACGTGGAGAAACAACATGGAAAGAGTCTCAGTGGCTCGGCGCGACAGAGGCAGCAAGGGGTAGACATAACTCCATACATGGCTGGCAGAGTCGTCTTCGCAAAGTGTCTGAAAGCCAAAAATATGAACGCAATGGTAGTTGAGGCGGTCGCTCGAGAACTTCTCGATGAAAGCGACAAGGCCGCATACAATGAAGGCAAACCTGTGTCTATCACGTACACCAGTATTAGGGCTCTGATTGCCAATGACGTTGTCAGAAGATGGAAGGAGGAGCACAAGGACAAACCACTTAGTGAAGAAGACGAAAAAGAGCTTCGAAAAACATTTCAGCCAATATCTGACGCAGAATTTGTTCAGAAGGACTAGGCCCATTTCAAATACTTAAGCTTATTATCTTATTGCTGTTCCATAGCTCTTTGTTGATTGTTGAGTGCTGTTCAGTTTATGTGCTGTCCTCTGGCGTCGGTAGATTGCAGTGTTAGCCGATACATCACTATTTTTGTCAATTCTGTCTGTGACACATAAATCGATTCATACGACTACAATATACGTTTGCGCGCTACAATCGCGCATCAAAGTTCTCCAAGTGGGACTGTGGAGCCCTAGATTCTTCGTTTTTTGGCGCCAAAAAAATAGCACAAAGGGAATACTTAGAGGAATATCTATAGTTCTTCGGCCGCAAGCCAGATACATAAATATTGTGAAATTTTCATATACATGTATGAATATTTTATTAGATGACAATCGCATGTGGGTCTTCCATTTGGGGCTCACTGTTTGTGAAAATGAAATCTATAATTAGCAAGGTTACTTGTATCTACGCGGCCATGACTTCCTCTTCTGTAGACCGTGAAGGAGATGATGTATTTGGCTCCCCAGATGACGATTGCCACTTTGGGAGTAACCTTGGTAGGTTAATCATCCGTGATAGTACGATAAACATAAGCAGCAAGAACATTCCTGCCCAGTACATCCACCATGTCGTTTCATTCATGCTCGAAAGTAGGATGGTAGACAGTATCCAAAGTACAATCTGCATGGGAGTTCCAATCACTAAGAAATCCTTGTATTTGTAGCCACCAGGTCCATAAATCAGAAGATTGGTTCTGCAAATTGGAGCGCAGTTGTCAGTTAAGATTTCGGGATTGAGAATGCAGGGCTCACATTTGAAGTTCTTACGTGTATCCGAATGGTGACATGAAACTTGCCGACGCGCCAAGCATCAGACAGTAGCTCATGATAATTCTATCTATTCCAGTTTGATCTGCAGCATCGAGTGCAATTGGGAATAGAAGAGCAGCCGCAGCATTGTTTGTAACTACATTACTGATCAAGAATGTTGCAAAGTAGACGGCACCTAGCAAACCAGCCTCTGGATTGCGACGAGAGACAAGTGAGTAATATCAGCGTTGATAAAACGATGAAACACAATGCACATGCAACAAAACGTACCTCCGATGCCAATTGCATTCCCAACATCAACCAAAAAGTTAGCAATGCTAGCCGCAACTCCTGAGTTCACTAGTGCTGTGCCGATTCCAAAAGCTGATGCAATGGTGATGTATACCTCCCAATTGACAGCGTCTCTTGCTTCTTGCTCGCTCAAGATCCCAAGCGCTACCATCAATATTGAAGCGACAAGAGCACAAACAAAAAGCGATGTACCAATATCGGCGGTGAAGACAGCAAGCATTGCCACAGCAATTGTCAGTGCTGGAATCAAGAGACGAAGCCGTGGAGGTGCAGAGTCCTTTACTTCAGCCAATAGAGCAAACGATCGATCCTGATCCATACTATTCTTGATGAATGTTGGACCAGCCTCTAGAAGTAGCACGTCACCAGCTTGAAGCTTGATTTTTCCAGGATGCTCTTGAACTCGATTACCATCTCTATGGACAGCGATAACAGCGGCACCGTATCTTGTTCGGAATCGAATGCTCTTAACTGATTTTCCAACGAGCGGCCCTCTTCGAGCAACGACAGCTTCAACCAAACGGCGATCGTGAATTTTTTCGTTCATCTTTTCCACCTCCTCACTTTCGTATGAAACAAGACCGGGAATCTTTCGAAGATCCCCCAATGATGACGCAGAACCTGCAAACCAAAGAACGTCTCCCTCCATCAAAGGCGTTCCGGTGGATATTGCTGTTACACCAGGTTCGATGGACTGTATTGATATACTAGTATCGTCTACATCTGACTTCCCATCGCTTGCTTCAGCTATTGAGGCCAAAACTTGGGTCGTAGCGACATCCCGCTCCGATTGTGGTTTGGGGCGATCAATGCTGACAAGAAACACTCCAGACAGCTTGTCCAAACCAGATTCAGTAACAGCGCGACCAGCTAGTCTAGATTTCGGAGCAACTTCCATGGCAGTGAGAAACTCTCTCGAATTCACATTGTCCTCCCTGTTTTGTTCATCCATGATAAGCACTCGAAGATCATTCCAAATGCGCTCTTCCTCCTTGATCGCATTTATTGAGTTCGTCTACCATGATATGTGAGAAAGTATCGTGCCTTTGTGTCATGCAGCAGCTCTTCTTCACTTACCATGTCAATGATTTCCGATCTGCGATCATCATTTGTGATAGGAGTATCAGCGGCTAGGTCTGCAAAAAAGAAAGAATCTTCACCTTCAGCTGATCGTGCATCGGTACCTGATTTTAGTGACTCGAGATCCCCACTTGTTCCCGGTCGTAGCTTCTGCTGACTTGAGGAACTCCCAATTGTCTTTGAAACCATGTTTATAAGGGACGATACGGGTGTGATTCCTTGACGCTCACCCTCCTTGTTCGAATCTGCTGGGCGTTTGTAGAAATCAGAGGGAGGAGATTTTAACAAAGGCGAGTCATCGTTTGCTTGGAGTACGATCACGTCGCCCCGTTGAAATACAACGCTCGAGACAGCAACGTTTCTGCCACCTTTCTGGACTGCAACGATAGCTGCTTTGTAGACGTTTCGGAAATCTACTTCAAAGACTTTCTTCCCAATAAGAGAAGACGACTTTGTAACTGCCGCTCGAATCACACGTAGTCCACGTTTCTTTACAGCTTGATTCCCGTCGTTTTCCAGAAGTGCCTGTGGCAAGAGTTGACTAATTGAGGAAAGGAAACGGTGTCACATAGTGATCCGTGTACAGTGTACTCACATTGAGAACAGACCATATCTCTTCCAAGTCTGGAATCTGTGTCTCGAGATGTTCACATCGCCAAATTGAAATCGATCTTTGATGTACCACCGAGGCTTCTGTGTGTCTAAAACTCAAGTTCAGGCGCAACAGGCCTTTCGAGATGTCCAACAAAAGACCAGGTCGATCATTAGCGTCAATACCTATCACTACTAGCTCATTTTCAGATGTCACGACCACTTTATGAGGACCCTTTCTAGGAAGCTGTCTTCGGGATCCAATCTTATCAAGAAATAGCTGCTCCTCTGCAGTTGGCTCGTCCCGCTCCAATCCACGAACTTTGTCTGAATGGTCATATTGTAATTCATGAGAATGCATGGTGTATGCAACACTAAAATGCCAAAATAGTGCAACTCTTACCAATCATCCTGGTAATGCTCTGTTTTCGTTCGGCTTCATCAGCTTGCATCAAAGACTTTGCAGAGACGCCAACCTCAACTGGAATGTCACCCGATTCAGCAATGTCTTCAGCAACTACTTGTAGCTGTGAGCCACTACCACCAAGATTTTGGATTGCGGAAGAATAGGTAGACTTCTTCTTTTTGTGTCCGCTTTTAGTCGTATCGATCGAAATGAAACTACTGCGCTTTTTATTGTCAGGCTGTATATCGCTGGTCAATACCTCCATTCCATGTTCTTCACAGAACTGTCCAAAGCCTTCCACTAGGCCAGTAAAATATAGAATATCTCCCACGTTCAGAACAAAATCTTGTCCTACAGCACGGTGGATGTTTCCTGTAGCCGCACGGTGAACACCTGAAAACAGAATAAGGTTTTTGCATAGTGAAAATGTAGATATTCGACTAATCCGACTCACTCGTCAAATAGATGCCCCCTGTATCTCTTAACCCTGATCTCTTTACAGAACGAGAGCAAGCGGGAGACCAAGGACTAAGTCTTGCGCCCAATAGAATTTCCTCTTGGCTATCAAGTGGGATGGTCGAACCACGGTTTGAACTGCCTGATCCACCAGGAAGCAGCCAACGAGATGCTACTAGAATGTAACAAATCCCGGCCAGTGCGACGGGGACACCATAATAGCCTAAATCGAACAACCCAATCTTTAAATCCGGATCATCATACCGTGTAGATAAAAGCTCTGCAACCACAAGATTAGTACTTGTCCCTATTAGCGTGCAGGTCTACAATGATCGTGAGGACGGGTAAAGTATGAGGAAACCACTCAGGGCAAACAAGCAATAGCTTACCCCTCCCAATATACTTGCAAACGATAGCGGAATCAATAGTTGTTGTGCCGAAATACGAACGTTCTTTGCCCAGCGCTGCACAATTGGGATCATGACAGCCACAACTGGAGTGTTGTTTAGGAACGCAGAAACTAATGCAACGGGTATCATCAATCTCAATTGTGCTGATGCTGCCGTGGTCGGCCGCCCTAGTAACTTCCCCATGTACCAATCCAAGGCACCTGTCTTGGATATACCATCTGCCACCACAAACAAGGTCAACACCGTCATTAAACCCTCATTTGCAAATCCCCCCAGTCCTTCCTCGACTGTGATGATTCTTGCGGCCATAAAAGCTGTCAATGCAGTCAACATAACGGAGTCCGCACCAAATTTGTCCGAAATAAGAGCCACAAACATGGCGAGCAAGACAGCACATGTGTATATAATTTCCCACAACAAAATACTTTCATCGTCCTCTTCAGTTGTCTCTTCTTCGAGCCATCGATATTGACGTCTGCAGGGGCAAGCATCTTCTTTCTTGGAAAACCAATCAAACTCCAGGGCTTCCGTTGTCGACATCGTGCCGTCTCTTGCCTATCTTTCGTCGATAGAATGAATCAAGATCGAGACCGTATCACAGATAAAACGATATGCACAGAGCTCGCTCTTGCTTTCTGATGTGATGATGACGTCGACCACTTCGAATCATAAAATGATTTTAGTCCATTCACATGTCCAGTCAGTCCCGACCAAACCAGAAGCCAACACCCAACACCCAACTAACAACCAACCGCACAACAAGCCATTGCATCACAGCATACATACCGGTATTTCCAGAATGCAACACTGTGGTTTCCTTTGTGTCTTGATAGTTACATTTCTTGTCGCTATATCGAATGCCTTCTCAACTGCACCAATAGCGTACAAATGCCAAAGGCACACTGACGTGTCCGTCATTTCCCGAACGCCTCTCAAGGTTGATTCATCCAGCTTTGTGCTTCGTTCATCCTTTTTCGATAGCTTTGAGGATTTTAAAGACGAAGATGATGACGACGAAGATGAGGATGATGAGGACGACGAAGACGAATACTCTGATATGGATCAGCAGTCAATTGCAGCGTTCCGATCAAAGATGGGAAGCTTGTTTGGAGACGAAGGATCCGAAGATGAATCTTCATCGGTAGACGAACTCATCAACTATGCTCGCAGCCAAAGTGAAGGTGACAAGAAAGAAGAACTAGTTAAAGATTGGGCAACTCCTGCCAAGACTATCAAACCAGGTGTCGTTCTCTTGGCCAATCCAGATGCCTTTTGTGAATTGCCAGACACTTCAAAAACCTCTGTCTCTCCAGATCCATCATTACTTTCAAAGTATGGGCTTGTACGACCACCTCCTCGAGATCTTGGTCCTGATCGACAAGCAGATCTACTTCCAGTCATTGTGGTAGTCGAACAAGACCAATTCACAACTAAAGGTGTTTTGCTGAATCGACGTACAGGATACCTGTTGGGGGATTTGGAGCAACCTGACCCCAAGGTTGGAGAATCGATGCAAATACTTGAAAAATTCTGCATTCAACCACTCTGGTTTGGTGGTACGGATAATTCTTCCTCTGGATTAGACATGCTTCATCGATGCGAAACAGTTCACGAAGCAACAAAGATTACCGAAGACGGAATGTATTGGGGAGGTGATCCGGCGCAAGCTCAGGAAGCCATGGAAGATCCAAGTTTGGGAAGAATTGTCACAGGATTCGACTTTAAGTTTTTTGTTCAAAACACACAGTGGTTGACAAAGTCGTTGGAGCAGCAATATGAAGAAGGCATCTGGATTCCATCCGAGGTATCTGCAGAGGTTTTGTTCAAGAGCAGAGACAGAATGGGAACCCAAAAAGCTAAACCGCTGTGGACCGAAGTTATGGAGCTCATGGGAGGAGAGTATCAAGATATGAAGGACACGTTCTACCATGGGGACAGTGACTAATTTGTGTAAACCATGCAGAAGTCCTATGTCATTACTTTTATGTAATTCCAAATCTCTCTGATGGGACTCCCACCCCAATCAACTGTGTGGTGTCTTCTTGTGTGATGTTGATGAGACCGTTCTTCTGATTGGCAAACCACTTGTAGAGGTCAAGTCGAAATCCTTCAAATGGAACGAATAAATCAACAGGCTTCACTTCTATGACTCATTCGATCACCAACTCAATTCAAAATGACAATGCGATGATGATAATCGTGACAATAATTTTCATCAACACGGCACCAAGCACACGTTCTCAAGACCAAAATGGCTAATTCTGTTTCATTCTTCCATCCTCATACAGATGGCGATGATGATGCTGTCGATTTTCACTGTTATCTCGACCTTGATCGTACTGCAAACTGCGAGAGCCGCTGAAGGAGCGCCACGAGTTTGCAATGCAGCTGTCAAGCACCTTCATCTGGCTGTTGGCCAGAATCCATCACGAGAGATGACGATCAGCTTCGCATCCACATGGACTGACATAGATAGTGGCAATGATGTTGAAAAACCAGTTGGTGGAGTCTTTGTGGGGCTTTCTCCAGACGATTTGAAATTTATCCCACAACAAGAGTTTCCTTTCCGCTATCATGTATTGATGGAGCACAAAACAAAGCCCAATACAACGTACTGGTCCCCCTTTCAACACCACATCACGATCAATGACCTATCCCCGAATACAATGTATTATTATGTGGCCGTAGTAGGCAAATCGGGTGAAGAAATAGAATCGATGGCTGGAGTCAAACGCAAGTATTCAAAAACTCGGCAGGAAGAGAAAGACTCACTCTTCGGTAGAGAATGGAAAAGAGGTGTTAACGGAACAGTCAGACGTAATTTGACCCCTTCGCCGTACAATGGGACCGCGATGCCTTGTTTTGACAATAGAAATGTCCGTTCATTTAAGACTGCGCCCGAACAACATATAGATGAAGTGACATTTGCCATTGTCGGGGACCTTGGCCAGTTTCAGCACTCAATTCAGACACTCAAGCACATGACAAGTAACCGAGATACAATCGATGCAGTGATACTTGTTGGTGATATTAGTTACGCCAATGGGCATCATGAAAACTGGGATACCTTTTTTGATTTTCTTGATGATTCATTGATCTTCCATCAGATTCCACTTCAAGTTGCAACTGGTAATCACGGTAAGACCAATTTTGTCGGTGAAATCTCCATCGAGAACGATCCTTGCATCGCGGTCCTCACTTTACTTTCTATAGACATTGAAAAACAAGAAAACGGCAGCGATATCTTTCAAGCATACGAAGCAAGGTTTAGAATGCCCCGAGTCAAGCCAGCAAGGCTTGAAGCATTTGATGTTCCTGGAAAGCTCAATCTAGATGCACCACCATACCCATTACCATACAATTGGGGCAATGCTTTCTACTCATTTACATATGGCCCCGCTCTGCACGTTATATTGAGCGCATATTCGTCTATGGAGCCCGGTTCAGAACAATACCATTGGCTAGAAGAGAAGCTTGATGATGTCGATAGACAAACAACACCATGGCTGCTAGTCTCTCTCCATACACCCCTATACAGCTCTTTTGCAGCGCATAAACACGATCCTCAAATATTTGCGGGTCGAGAGCATCTGGAGCCACTCTTCGTAAAATATCAGGTTAACATTGTGTTTACTGGCCACATTCATGCTTATCAGCGCACAGCAAATGTTGCCATGGGTCGAGTTGATACGAAGGGACCCATTCATATCACAGTTGGTGCTGGGGGGCGTCAGTGTGATGCCCCCTTTAAGAGCTTGGAGGTGGAGGATTGGCTTCTTGCAAGAGATGCATCGTTCTATGGCTACGGTCTTTTGTCAGTGCTCAATCGGACACACGCGGAGTGGTCTTGGGTCCCCCTTTCCGCTTCAGGTAAGTCAATTACTTTGCCTGTGCAAATTATGCCCGTGCTTTCCTGTTCCACTAAAATTGAAACGCGAAGACAAACATGACTACAACTATGTCAAAGACGATAAGGATACAAAGCTGCCACCGTTGAGAAAAGACTACGCACTGATTAGCAATCAATTCTTTATTCCATAGTTGCTGATGAGAAGATAGAGACTTCTGTTGACGCGTAACCCCTTAACATCGTTTTTACTTATAACAATGATGCTGTGACTTAAAATAATACCTGGTACTTGCCACGAGATTTCTGCTATCTAGTCACAAAAGGGGCTTCAAAAGCGAACAACTTCCGATTTGCTAGATATATAATACCTCGGATGGTCTCTTTGTATGGCTTGGATCACTAGATATGTAATACCTCGGATGGTCTCTTTGTATGGCTTGGATCATTCGATACTGCAAGTACTTGTACGCTACCAGGGTGCACAGTGTCTGCACACCCATCGAAAAGCTATCAAATCTTTATCGGTCGACTACATGGATTATAGTTTTTGGACCCAATTTGAAAAAGATAAACCACAATGAAGGCACCCAAGTTGTCCCTATTTGGATTGCTTCTTGCTCTCCTTTCCCCAGCGCAAAGTGCCTCTCCGTCGAGAATGGACAAGGGCGAAAGGATCGATCAAGAAACTGCAGTAATAAAAACACCAACAATTCGATTGTACCTGATAAGACATGGCGAGACGTTGGCCAATATCCAAAAGGTTGTTGTTGGGCAATTGGATTCGCCCTTGACGAAATTAGGTAAGCGGCAAGCAGCTGCGCTTGGGAATAGCAGCATGATCAGAGGGGTCAAGTTTTGGCGTCGCTACTCCAGTGATTTGCAGCGAACACAACATACAGCGCGTCTAGTCGACAGTCATCATCATTTCACTTTAGATGAACGACTAAGAGAAATTGCCAAAGGGGCACGCCAAGGTTTTCCAAAAAGCTATACAATGGATCAATGCATGGAAAGCTTCAAAGATCGGCCGGAAGAAATCCCGAAACATGAATCTTCGGATGATGCATGGAAGCGACTTTCGTCATTCTTGCTCCAGCTGGTGCAAGAAGCTGTCGATGACGAAGTAGCATTTCAGAATGCTAAAGTGGGAAACAAGGTTCGCAATGTTCTAATTGTTAGTCATTCTGGAACGTTACGGCTATTACTGCACAAACTGGTTCCTGGTGCGCACCCTTTGCTAAAAGATTCTGCCGAAACAACTGGTGCTCTAGACGACTCCAAGCGTTTCCAGATTCCAAACACAAGTCTCACCACACTGGACATATCAATCACCCCGAACCCCGTATCACGCGACAATGAACTACACTGCTTAGGGCAAAAGCTGTCAGTTGGGCTTATCACCCTCAATTCGATTGACCATTTCAGCAACTTGTGAGCCCAAAAGTGACACAGAGCTTGGTTGAAATTGAAGATTTTGCTTTCGTGATGAGCCAAGTATTCGTTCATTGCATATCTTGGAAGCAGAGGTATTATGGACGAACAACCATAGAAAAATGCCAAGCGCCAGTGTGATAATAATACGATGATAAATGCAAATGGCATCAAGATGTTATGATGATCCTCTCCAGACAATTTCTCCGACCACCTTGCCACTCTCCAGTTTACCGTGAGCTTCCTTTATCGCTGCTAGATCAAACTGACCTAAAGTGCATGTCAACATGATAAGACCCAGATTTGCCCAAACTTGGTATTGACGCTACAGTGCGGTATCTGTAAGCTACTGGTACCTGGTACCTGTACCTGGTACCGTGTACAGTAGCTTGCTTTTCGAGTTCGTTAACTCGGGAATAAAATCAGTCACGACAAAGCGGACACCTCGAACTTCCAGAAGAAAAAGATGACGGAACCGAATGCGAAATCGACCACCGCCACAAGAACGACACAAAGCTCTTCTCAAAATTGAACTCAGTTGGGGTGAGAGAGCCGAAGGAAAAATGAGAGATAAAGAAAATCAAAGTAGTCAGGGAAAAATACGAAAACACCGAATACAAAATTCTGCCACACTTGTGTTTAGTCTACTCCTTTCCCAAGCTCCGTTTACATCAGCTGACATCCTGAAGCAGCTCCATGTTATTACCCGACATGGATCTCGCCCACCTTTGAGCAAGGATGCCAATACTTTATTGGAAAGCGGAGGTGAAACATTGACGCCACTAGGACAGAAGCAGCTCTTCGACCTCGGAAAATGGCTTCGGGATCAGTACGCAGTTGGTGATTTTATGGAAATATATGACCACAAGATGGATCGCCTGGAGTCCAGCAATCTAGATAGAACTTTAACTTCTGCAAATTCCTTGAGCTTGGGTGTGTTTCCAAAAGAGGCAAGGCTCGGAGGAAATGCTGATCAGTTCTTTCAAAACCCCTTGCCCCACCCACCGGCTATCCCAATCTTTTCTCGTCAGGATAAAAATGATATATATCTTCGAGCATACCACAACTGTCCGAGGTTTAACCAAAACTTAAAACGGCTCTACACATCCGGAACATGGATATCACTAGAGGAAAACAGTCAAACTTTGTTGCAGAAGCTAGCAGAGAAATTGCCTACGTTATTGGACGACAATATCACTTCTGTTGTGGCTTTAAAAGATGTCTGGAATTTTTATGACCTCATCCACGTCGCAAGGACAGAATGCAACCCCGATCCGACTTCATATGCTTGCCAATCTGCAATCGAAGACCCAAATATTCGATCAGCCCTCTCAGATGATGAATTCGCAGAGTTAGAATCTGTGGTCCATCAAACCGAACAATTGAAATTCGGCCTTGCAACAGCAGAAAGCTTGCTCGGTAGCAATCTATTGTGGGAGATTCTCGATCGAACAACGCAATCTGGGCGATTCTTTCTCTACTCCGCACACGCACCAACGATACTTGGTCTTTTGAGCACTTTGAAGACGTGGGGTATTGGTGAATTGTTTGTAGACTACGGCAGTGCGATTGTCGTGGAGGTATATGAGAGCTCATCACAAGCTGTCTCCATCCGAATAGTCTACAAGGCAGCTTCCAACGCAACTTCCACCCCTGTCACTCTATCGGATATCGACTGTAACGGAAACAATCTTTTTGTGGGCCAAGATACGTCAACGTGCCCCATTGAGAATGTTATAAGCTGGGCAGAGAAAAACACCCTCAAAACAGTTGAAAACTGGTGCAAAGTCTGTGAAAACATATCCTCTGATGTCTGCCTTATGTCGGCCGCCGGTCCTTGGGCCTTGTTGGAAGAAGAGACGCAAGCGACGGAGCCAGAAGTGATTCTCGGAACATTCTTCGGAGGGTTTGCTGCTGGTTTGGTATTTATGTTCCTTTGTGTCACATTTGCCAATGCTTTCCGAGGAAATGATCAACGTGAGACAATTGTGCCATGCAATGTAGGGCATGATGGACAGCCACCACAGGAAGAGCCAAATACCATACAGTTGGATGAAGCGGACCATGGCAGTGATGAAAAGAGCCTCGCCAGCATTACATAGACCTGAACTTTGACCACCAATTTTTGATGCGCATAACAATGCCAAGAGTCAAGATGATGCCCTTTAACTCAGTCCATAATTTCGTTTCTGTAGCTCAACTTTCAATTGTGCATCGAATCTTGATGGAATGATGAGGAATGCGGACCTTAAAGATTTGAAATTCTTCGGCAAAGAAACTGCCTGTTGGTCATCAAACCAGCTAGTGAACAGCACTTCACGATTTCGATGCAATGCATCAGGTAGACGTTGATTCAGTGCAAGCTCAGAGTCATCGCATTGATCCTTGCATTTGGTGGGAAAGAATATTTCATTGTCTTCTGGCCAAACGTAGGCCCAGCTGGAACCAAGCGGCCAAACAGAGACTGTCTGCCCCCATTTACCAGCTTCCTGTTGATTGGAGGTGGCGATGTGACCCGTCGATGGTCTGACAGGAAAAGCGCAGAGCACTTTTTCTAGACACTCAAAGTACTTCAGTGCTAAAGGATCATCATAGGTTCCTTCCATCAATAAATCTGGCTCTGGGTCAACCACCTGAGCAACATCATCGAGAGGAATAGTGTTTCCACGGTATAAGAAGAGATCTTCTAATTTGATATCTTCACGAAATGAAACTGGTGTATAGTTGCATATCAGATCTGAGCAGTTGCTGATGGCTAGATTCCCGAGGACACCTTTCGCGAAAGGCGGCAGAAAAATGGAACTTGTAACAATCGCTTGACGTCGATCCAAGATCATGCTGTCATTCTTTGGATCAGCCAATGACAGTCAACAGGATGATTTGAGATTGCATGCAAAGTACCTACTGGTACAAGTACTGTACGTACAGTATGGCGCATGAAAAAACGGATTCATTCGATTCAATCTCAGTCTACGATAGACGTACCGTACTCGGTAGATAATACCTGTGCTGTACGCTGTACGTACAGTATTGAATACCGGTTATAACTACCGGTATAATTGTAATGGTAGCATCATATATTGCATCAGATAGGTAGTTGCATGAAGCATTCTTCAGCAATCCCAATACCAGCAACTGAATAGAGAAGACAATGGCAGCAAGAAAATCATGCACCCATCTCACGTGGTCCGAAGCAAAGGCAAAATCCGGTGAAGGGAACGGCAAAGGAGGAAAGAAAACTGTTGCAAAAAATGTTTCCCATGGCAAGATTCTTGCAGACAAGATCATCATGAAACAGCAACCATCTAAACAAAATAAGATTTCTGATCGTCAAGCCGCAAGAAAAGCTCGTAAGGAAGAGGAGAGGGCCAAAAAGATTGAAGAAAAGCGAAGAGAAGAAAAAGAACAACAACTACTACAAGCTGTTGTAAAACCTCACCACCAATCATTAGAGAGGATGAGGATGACAGCATCAGCATTGAGCAAAAAGATTCAGCAAGAAAAACCAAAAGAGGCAAGAGAAGAATTCAATTACAACGAAATTGATATTCTCAAGACAATTGCTGACTGCAAGCAAAGTCAGCTAGACGAGATTTTGGCACTGGAGGCCATGTGCACCAATGATGAGTTTCGTATTTCGGAAGGCTGCGAATTGGAGAATCTCCGAAACAAGATGGAAGCACTTGATGAGACAGATGAAACATCTCTAAGATCAATCGCTCGACATCCTCCGATATCATTCACGTTACAGATGACTGTTGAAGACGAAGCACCGTATGATTTGGCAGCTCATGTGCTAATGAGCTTGGAGTTTCCAAACTTATACCCTTTGGATGGCGCAAAGCCACGCTTTAAGGTTTTATATTTCATGATCACAGATAAGACAGCAGTGTGCAATGCAAATAAGCCTCTCGAATCCTTAGGATTCTTGGATGAATCAAATCTGATCGATTGCATTGAAAGTGAGGTCGAAACACTATTACCCTACCCCTGTGTCTACGAGATCACCTCAACTTGGCTACCCGATAACCTTTTTTCGAAGTTCATTACAATGAAAACAGTTTGAAGATCGCGTCTTGGGGATTCATTATTAGTGTGGTAGCATTGCTTGTACCGGTTACTGGTTAGTACAGACTGTCGCACGAAGCGCAAGACTCTTGCTAAAGTATGCGTGTGAAGTGGAGTACTCACATAGTCTCTATTGAGTCAAAGCGGTCGGTTGCAGTACTCATACGTGTACGTACATAGTACGTGTACTATATGTGAATGTGATGTATCATACCGGTACCAGTACAAAGTACCGGTACAAGTACAGTAGTGCTGTTTTGTACAGTACTTTATCGGTACATGCTGGTATGTACGCAAACGTACCGGTACGAAGTTTAGGTGTCAATCCGAACCCAAATGTACCGTACGAGAACCCTATACCGTTATTTGAAAAAATCAAAGAAAAAATCACAATCAATCAATCAATCATCAATCAATCATCGTGATGTATCGCTCAACTCAACTTGCACGGTCTGCAACGCGTCATATTCGCAAGGTACCAACACCGCGAAGACCATACAGTTCAGCCCTTGATCCAGTTGGCTTGACACCCAAGGAAGACTTGATGTTAGACGCCACAGCTTGGTTTGTGGCCTTGGCACTCGTCTACTCGCCCAAGCGGAATTTTGATGGTGCAGATTTTCAGAACACAGGCAGGCTTCAAGATAAGGCAGATAGCCGGAGTAAGAAAAGAAAGGAGGACCCAAACGAGCACTAAAAAGGTTCGCCAGCCACACTCAACGATGGTTGACACGACGACAGTTGGTACGGTGATGTAATTGCGGGTTCAAAGGAGAAGGTAGATACGGTCAATCTCGAACGCCTGTATCTGCTGTACTCCCTATCGTACTTACTCAACCTAATGACGTATAGTATACTACGAAATTAGACACTGGAAAATGGACACAACACCAAAAGTGATGATGGCTCAAATCAACAACCAAGGTAAGGGGAAAGTCAATCCATCACATGTTCAGCTCTTCGGTGCTCTATCAGACGTTACAGCCCAAGGCGTGAACCAAGAGCGAATGGTCCCATTACACCGTTGAGCAGAATAGCCCTCCAAAAAAGATTCCCTTTGTATCGAGATCAAGAATCAAACGGGCTGTCGAACAGTCTCTTTACATTTTGATCTTTACGTGATTGTCGTCGACAGCTTCTAACGATTCCTTTCACTCTGTATAGGCAAATGATATAATCAATCAGGAAACTTGACTCGAAGACTGTAAGTGCCAATATAGAAACTTTTTCACGGGGTGCAAACAAGCAGTGTGGTCTAGATGTTTATTTCTCCGGGGTTTCCTAGGGATATTCCTGTATCATTTGGAAACCTGTTTTTGCAATGCTATACTATGACAGTTTACCTGTGCGTGAATGCCAACTTTATCGGGACTTTTGGCGTTCCTATTGTCACAGTTCTTCAGCATGTTGACCACATTTATTTCTCATTGAATTTGCGATCCTTTTTTAGGCATCCAGAGTCGTTCCTAGGAGAATAAACGGGCAAGATGTAATTTTAGATCCTAAATACACGTTTATTGCTCATTTTAAAGCATTTTGTCTTGGGTTCATGCTCTTCTAACTGCCCTGTTGCTAATGTCAACAGACTAGGGCAACCATTTAGTTGATGCCTTATAACTTGCAGACACCCTCCAAGACACTATCCTTGTGACTAGGGCTGGCGGGATCCTCGCCGTAGTAAACGTCGCACAATGCTTCAACGAAGCGCTGAGATTGCAAAGATCCCACTCCACCAACTGCATTCTTATACAGCAGAGTATCACCTCTGATAGTCATTTCAATCTCAGCACCTTCTACGAGATCAACAGATGGGTTAAGTTTCTTGAATTCCTCCAGCTTTTCCAATTCTTCTCCCTTCATTCGAGGTTCCAGGGCTTCGACGATTGCAGAAGTGTACTTTTCAATGCTCAAGCCACGATTCATGACAATTCGAATGGTTCGAGGGTAAGTGGGATCAAGTAGGGCCTTCTGGATATCCGCAGCAGATCCTTTCTTTACTGCCATCATGGCGACAGGATCCTAAGGGAGGAATAATACGGTGAAAGGTGATTTTTTATGAAATCACGAGAGAAAAAACCGTCAGCAATCGCCCAAGGTATCTGAATCGAGAATCAAAGCAAAGTGATGTTGGAAACAATACGTACCATGTATGTGCCAACTGCATACACCTAGTAGATATAGAACTATGAGTTAGATTGATTAGAGACGGGGTTGCCAATGAGTATTTATGCGTACCTTTACAAAGACGTACTTTACTCTCACGCCCTGTCCGACGAGACGGAACCCGTTGCAGAGCTGAGGAAAAGCAATTCCGGTGGCTTCTTCCATCACAGGCATCCCAACGGACAATACGTCACCAGAAGATGGGACACGCGCTGCCATGGAAACATAGTTTGGCTCATTCTGCATGAGCAATCCTAGTCCAACGCCTCCAGAAAGAAGACAATAAAATGTTTTATTTCCAGCCCGAGAAGTTGCCAACGCTTCGGTAGAAAGCCATCGTCGACCATGCGACGCTATGATTCTCTTGTTCAAGAGATGGTTAAAGGTGCGGCTAGAAGATGTAAACATTGCTTTGAAGTTCGTTTGGATTTGGAAGTTTTAATGTTGGGTTGGGTGACACCACAGTTGCGAACAGTTGATGTCCCCGATGACGATGCTTCTCCATTTGAATCGCATGAGTCGTCGAAACACATTTTAAAGATACCAGGCAGACGGATGAACCTGGGGTACTTGTTGGCGCATGTATGTGTGCGAGATGATGCAAGGCCATAGTCAAGCTGCACTTGGAATTGTGTAAGATATCCATAAAAAAGATTGCCATCAGGGACTGCACGAGGAGAATTATTACCCACATCGAGAATTGCTGGAGTTTAAAAGACAATTCCAGAAGAATCATCTAATCCATTGAAGTCACCAGAGATAGTAAGAGTTGAGCCCTCGGCTTTCGAATTGTCTCCCTTCCTCCGGCTATGAAACGAAATATCTGGTTGCCCATCATCTACAAATATCTCATAGAAAAAGCATCAGTACTCATTCGGCGTGGAATATACTACTGTGCAGGTGCCTCGCACACGCCCCCGTATTGACTTCATGTCCACACTGCGGAGGTCAACATCGTCATAGACAATTACGTTTCCAATCGCCGAATCATCAGAGCTCGATGCATCAGCGTACGATGTCTCCAGTTTCCTTGAATCATGAAAGACAGAAAATTGAAGGACACGCTGTGCTGAAGAACCGATGACACAACTATGGTGGCTGTTTTGTCAGTTGTGCTGCATTGCAAAAACCGACAGCAGTCTGCAATTTGAGACTCACTCGATTTCTATACCATCTATACTCTCTCCCTGATTATCACATGGATGTTGGAGCCTCCTACTACTCCTGCTTTCTTGGTTGTTTGAGTTGGATTTAAGTTTCCTATCCACAAATTCTTCAATGCTTTCTATTGCGTCCTCTGCTTTCGATATCGTCTGCGTTCCTGCCGAATGCTTCAGGTGGGCTCTTCCTGAGAGACATTGTGCGGAAAAAAGTGCTATTGTGAGAATAGGCTTCATTTTCGTTATCGTTGCTTTGTAGTACATGTGTCCCGGTATGAAAGTAGATCTGTTGGTATCGCACGAACGAGTAAGTTCTGCGAAATATACCAGAGGGATGTATAATATAAAATCATATGATTCACTCTCATCAATTTATTCATTCATTTTTAAATACACACTTTTTCGCTTAGACTACAACTTCAATTTGCCTTCTCAGTATCACGCAATAATTTGTTTGTACGTTTCTGCATCAACGACACGGGAGTCCATGTAGAGATTTCCAATGACCTCAATGTAGTATGACATATCAGGTGCTGATGCCGGGGCTAATGAAAGCTCTCCGATTACTCTTCTGAAGACACCAGTTCCCCCAGTGACTGCCAGAGCAATAGCGAAAGGATGTCGCCCGCTTTCTTGCCGGGCTACGCCTTCTGCTGTCAAGTACGTGAATTCACCATTGTCTTCAAATCCGTATGACAGCTCGCAGTACATTTTCCCCTCAAAAAGCGCACTGCTTTGGTCATTTGGATCAATTCTAGTGCAGCGCCCCGTCGAAACTCCGACAACATCACTTGCCTGGATTGTGTAGTTGGAATAATCTAGAATGAGGCCCCCGTTAGGATCAGTAACAACAGGAGCCGATTCTGCTGCGACAAAAGCACTTCCGTCATATGTGTATACTGCCCCCCATGATATCTCGCCTGTTTCATTTCCAGGGGGAATGACAACGGCATTAGCACGTTGTTGAGCGAAATATAAAGATATTGGAAGTAAGTCCACGGCACTGAATCAGCAGAATTGTGTGAGTTGAAAGATTTGCGAGGGTTTCGAGAATGACATCGAGGACTTACCCATATCCTTGTTGTGAGTGTGAGTATGAGTATTCCGAGCATTTCTTGCTACTCTTCGAGCTACTTGAGCTACTTGAACTACTGCTTGAACTGCCACCCTTTCCTTTCCCTTTCCCTTTACATTTCTTACTTTTCCTCCCGAATCTGTATAGAATCGATTTACATGGATTAAAAGAGATTTCTTGTGTATCACGATTTGGGAAAAGGAACTTACGTTGTGTGCTCGAGCTTGTGTGTGTGGCGTCGGCTGCTGTCGGAATCAGCACTACCTTTCTTTGATTTCTTGGATGATAATCTCCGGCGCATTGGTACCGGTTGTGGCTCATCATCATTGTCATCAGTGTTAGAGCGTCTGAAAATTCCACGGTTAAATAGAGTCATCAAGAATTCATTTTCTTTTTCATTCAACGGCGTAATGGTATCAAGTTCATTTTGTCTTTGGGAGGAAAGCCCTTTCGTAGCTTCAACGGTATCAAGATTGAGATAGGTCACAATGAAGATTGCTGGCAAAAGAATATTTCGAACGATCATCTTCAAATTTATTTGTAAGCTCTCGGGGCTTTGTTGTGTTCCAATTTGTGCCCAAGGGAGCAACGAAAGACTTTGGAGACCGTTGGGTGTCGTGTTGGTGCGGGTCCGAGTTTTGCGCGCGTTTCAGATCCTATGTAATTTGGTCTCAACGCCGCCAGTGTGCAGCTTCATAACATTCGGATTAGTCGAAATACGGTGAAGTTTCGTCTACCGGTATCTACCGGTACAGTACCGGTCTACCGGTATCTATTCTAATCTACATGTATCTGATCCATCATCTCTCATCCCGTTCCAATCCCGCCCCTTCAACTACATCCTATCTTAATTCCATGCACATCAGAACCAAGTTTGTTCCATTTTACAACATACGTATGGAAAAGGCATGAAAAAGACGCAAGTATCAACTAAATTGCAAATATAGACTAGGCTTACATACAGCTGTTTTACGGTGCCGCTGATGGCGAATTGGATTGCGACGCTGTGGGTGTAGTTGGCGCCATAGTTTCGAAAACACCGTTCGTCGAGCCGTTTGAGAAGGCATCATCGGCATACATTCTGATGGCGTGCAAGTAGCCATCTACTCCTGCAAAAGGATCTGTTCCGCTTTGGGCAACGTTGGGAAACGACGCACTATTAACCGTAGCGCCGTAAACCGTGACAGATCCTGTGGCACCAATCAACATACCAGTACCACCCTCAATGGCAAGGGTGCTCGCTTCAGAGGGATCTCCCAATCCTCCAGAGGCAACGAATGTACCCACTTCATCGATGGTATATTGCCAATGGCAAACCCCTCGCACTGACCCAATCGTACTTGTTCTCGTGCAGTATCCCTCATGAGTGATGTAGAGGGAATAAATTGAACCATCAGCATTCGTATTAACGTAATGGTCGGTCGTATCAGAAGCGCTCGTCACTCTGCCTCCAAATGGATAAATTTCTCCGATTCCCTCTGCTCTTCCTCCCAGCCTAGCTGGAGAGAAAGCATCAACTGTAATAGAATAAAGTGGACGTTCGTCGACGTCGTAACTGAAAGAATGCGATCAGATTAGCAAAAGACTTTTCATAAGATTCAAAAATGGAGTAAGCATGACTTACTATTCGCCACCTCCATATGACGTTGCTTCAACAGCGACAATTTCCGGTTCAATTTTCGCTCCTGCTGTGTCGACAATCGTTACATTTCCTGTGCCCGCTTCAGCGGTGGAAACAGTCATAGAGTCCACTTCAATATGGGTTGTCTGTGCTCCATAGTGGACGTCGCAATCTGCGTAGAAGTCAAAACAGTATGACCTTGGATCACACTTGTCGCAGCACGTTTCCTCGCTGAAGCATGACGATTCCTTCATACATGGATCGCAGCAGTGCTCCATGTCGTAGCAGGTTCCTTTGACATCGCACGGGTCACAGGAGCAGAGATCTATATCATAAAATCGACTGTCAGGGAATGCACATGCTGGGCCGCAGCACTCCAAATCATATTTGTAGTTGTATGGATCACAGTCACAAGCCTGGGCTTCGCGTTGATTTGCTCGTAGCCCTTGCCCTGCCACAAACGGCAAAAGTGCCAAGGTGGTAAATATTCTGTTTGTCATATTCCTTTTTTATGAAGCAGCACAATAGATTTTGTTTTCAACGCAATTGAAACTATGGTTGGGATGTAGTGGCGGTATGAATCGCCAGATTCGATGAATGACGAATTTGTGAGGAGCTGTTTGCTGAGTTTCATTGAAAAAATGCGTTGGGAAGGCTAAATTCGTCGCATGGAGTGCGCCACTGCGCCACTATTCAACAATAAACACTACATCCGTACCTCGAAAGTTTGGCCGGCGTGCCAGAACAATAATTCAAATTCATGAACTCCAACATCATCTTTCGATGAAATTCATTTTGGATGTTGGCATTGATCTTTGCTGTTTCTACAATATGCCTTCGACTTCAGCGCTAATGTCGAAAACCTCTCGTACACGGAGAAAGCAAAGAAACCACACATCATCAAAATCGAGGAACTCTGTGGATGACAACTTTTGCGACAAGGAAAACTGGTCCCATCACCCCAGCACAAAGTCAACAATTGCAAAGCAGAAGCGAGCGGAAAATTCAGGACAGAACGATACGGGTACTGTGCAGTCTTCGCTAAAAGATGTCCTTCACCAATGCGTGCCAGATATTTCTGAAGTCGACGGCTTTTGGAACAACGACCCAGAACTTCTCGACTGCATCGCAGAGGCTTCGCTCTCCGAGGATGAACCTACTATGGCTCTGCATCTCTCATTGGGGGGGAAGGAATCTCAATTACTAGGCGATAGCCGTCGAATTATCAAAGAAGCAACAAGTATCCAAAAAGGCGGTTTTAATGCGAAGCACACTTCGCGCCTCTTTGGCTGCCTTTTCGTTGCTTGCCATACACTTCGTTCCATAAGGTCTTTGGTAAATGGTGTTGCTGATTTCAAAAGCCTTGAGACGGCAATTCGACTGCTACACCATCTAATTCAGATTACATTCGATGCAACCAAGACTGACAGCTCCGATCTGCGGTTGTTGACAATTCTGATTTCATCATACGACACGATGAGTCATTTTATCCGACATTATACATGCCAATGTCCATCAAAAGTTAGGATTGTTACATTCGAATACATAGAAGGAGACTTTGCAGTCGTACCGACTTGTAACAATACCGAAGGAAGAAACAGTCTGGGAACGATGACGCTTCGTCAAGTCTCGTCAATATACATCAAAGCAATCCATGCGTTGGCCATAGTGACTAATCGTCTTTGGCACCTTTCTGGCAGTCCACAATCAAAGCATTGGTCCTCTGTGAGTCAATGTTCACCTTTGTGTGGGAAATGTTGTACTTCGATTATCGCACATGTTGAAATCAACTTGGATCTTCGATCATTGCAATTAAAATCGCAGCAGCAACCTATCGAGCTACTTCGGCAGGCATACCTGAGTTGGATGGTATGCTTGCTGGAATCAAAGGATCAGGAGTGCCTTAAGGATGTTGCGTCGTACTGCAAATTAGGACACAAAATATTATGGGATATTGCTTCAGAGATTAAATCTTCCAGGATGAAAGAAACTCACAAGAACGAAGCAAGTTTGAACACGCGAATGTATGCCACTCTATTGCTGCTACCATTGACGAATGACCAAAACAAAATTGCACAGGCCAACTTTAATGGTGCTTGTAGTTACGCTTGGAAAGCAGCCTCGGTGTACGCGCAATCGATGACATCTGCCACTTTCCCTGTTGAACCCAGGTCTCCATTGAGTGCCTACCACGAGCAAATTGGGAAGGTGCTAGACTGTACCGTTCTCAAAGTACCAAACACACGTATCCCGCTGAACTATGTTGAGTATTCGGCATATAGGATCCTTCATACCTGCATACTACCTCCGACTGAGCTTCTTAATCAAGGCAGAAACAAAGGGTCATTCTTTCATTGTTTCTTGAATGTGATTGTACTCGCAGTTATGGTTCGCAATCGTCTTGAAGGAATAGGTGAGCGTGTTGAGAATGAAGACCTTCTCACCTTCTGCGAAGACACGATACGGGATTTTGAAATGACTTTTGTCGGGGAAGTGAACAATCTAAATCCAGAAGAGTTTTCAAGGAGCGCAAAGCTTCTGACCATGGTCTCGTTGCACCGCTCCATATTCATTGCCACGAGGAGAGAGAATGGCGCCGGTGACGAAAAGAGTCTTCACTTGGCTGGAATTATTTTGACAAAGTGCATCGCTCCGTATTTATCGCTGCTTATGAATGTAGTACCTGAAAGCTCCAGTTCTCAGCAACTTTTCGAAACAATCATTGAGTGCTATATTCGGCCACTTTCCGCTTTTGAGAAACTCAGCAATCATTATATCCATGAAGAAGATTACGAATCAGGGACTTATTTTGCCAATTTGTGTGATGAGGCGATCGAAGAACTGCATAGGTTTGTCAGCAAGGCACAAAGTAAACGATCGGCAGTACTCGCAAAGTGCGCGAAGGTAAGTTGGGATAAGCGTCTCTACACATCCTTCTACTCTGCTGCACTCAACATATGACAGTCTATTTCAATCATCGGGAGGCAGCGAGTTGAGAATAGCAGCAACGGTTCGTCGATCATACCTTTTCTCCGTTCCATCGCTCTGTATAATGATACCATAGCAGCAGAAAAATCTGAAGGCTGCGGTGATAACTGCCATCATCTTTCAACCAGACTGACCCAGCTGGCAAACGTGTACCATGATATGGGTAGACTAGAGGAATGTTGCCTCGTCTTAGCAGCCGTTCTTCGAGTAGAAGTAGCAATGAACCAGCACACGACAAAAGGAAAGGTACCAGAACAGGATTTTGCCGATCTCCTGGCCTCAAAAAGCAAGTCGGTGGTGTCCCCACTACAGGTTCATTGCGAAATGAATCCACTTCTCACGTTGACAATTAAACGGCTTATTTCGATCTTCCCAGTGTCACTCGGAGAATCCGCACTGGAATCGCAGAGTGCTCGATCGTGTCTTGATCTACGCGGTATACTGGACATACTTCTCGATACAGAGAGAACTGGAAATCCTGCATTTCAATCAGTCGCTGGATGCCTCGGGAGTCAAGTCAATCTAAGCAGTCTTCTTTGCGCTGTCTTTCAACCTGTCACGATGGCGGCCAATAATGAAATGACTTCTGGTCACCTCACAATGCTCCTCGAGTCTATTCTGCAACTTGGAGCGCGGATATCTCGCGTGACAGATGAAGACTGCACAGATGATGTTATTGGCCTCCTATCAAACCATGATGACTTAGTGGAGCTTGCAGTAGTCTCAATTGCTCATCGATTTGAGCCTTTGGTCACATCGGCACTCACGTCACTGTTGTATTTGGTATCTTCAACATCGTTGCTACCGGTGCGGACCTTTTTTGAAGACACCACCCATGGAACCAACATAAGGGTGACGAATGATGTTGTCATGAAACGTACCCTCCGTCTGGCAAGTCAAAGTATGCTTGGTATTCGAGCAGTCAATTCATCAGAAATGAAAGACGAATGGGACGGAATCAGCGCAGCAATCAGATTGTCGGTAACGCAGTACTACATCTTTCTCGAATTGGTTGAGTCACCCAAAGTGTATCCAACACAAGGTATGATAGAGTTTTTGTCTCTGTGTGACAATACGACAAAAATTGTACTTTGCAACGATTGGACACGACGAGAAACAAAGCAATGGATGATGTGGAACCTGATGAACACGAAATCAAGATTGGATTTCGAAGGGGACCATACAAGAGCCGCGAGACTAGCCTTTCTCGTACTTACTCTCGCAGACAAGAGTGAAGCTGCCGAGATGGAGTGGCTGTCTTCCGTATTCATTGAATCGTACCAGAGAATTCCTCGTCTGCAACGTCGTTTCGACCTTTCAGTTAATAACGAAATCTTCGAAAGCGCGAATAGCACTGACCACAAGTCTTTGGATTGGTTAGTTTCACAAGGACTTCGCTTGTCACTGTCGATGCTCAATGGGCGGAATGATGAATACATCGACAATGATCGACTGACCGAAATTGCTAAGTGTGAAAATCAGCGCGAGAACTCCCTTCTTTCCATGTGGTTACTCTCATCGCTGGCGATTGCTCAGACTCAACTTGCACACCAGTCAGGCAACGTGGTGGTAGCATTGAAACAAATACAGCTATGCACAATGCATTGCCAGCGGATATTGGCTGAAACAAGATACTCCTCCTCCAAAAAGATTAAGTTTCCATTCTGGCTGCAAGTTGCTAGAATGACCTTGTTTATCCAAGCGAGCCATCGCTACGCAGAATGTCTCATAATGAAATCACAAACATTCATACAACTTGGGGATCATCGAAAGGCATGGTCTTGTATCTTGACAATTCCACGCGTTTTGGGTGTTGACGCCAATTTACCGAAAATCACCGATCGCACCCTCATGCTTCAGCATACGATCTCCTCTTTGATGTCATCGAAACCTTTGATACTTCGACGTTTCAATCGATTACGAGTGACTATCAATTGCCTATTTTCACCCTCAGACCTTGTTGCGCAGCAATTCAGATATATTACACCGGATAAGTTAGTCTCCGGTCAGAATGAAGGACTAATGGACGAAACAATACAAGATCTCGTATCAGGTACGTGCAAGCTATTTTCGTGGGCACACCCCTATTTGCTTACTTCTGACATTAATTACAGCTGGAGATATCTTGTATGGCAGCGCAATGACGTCTCGCCAACACTCCGATTTCAAGTCCTATTATGCATGTCTACCTCAATTTCAGCTTTCGTCGCTTTCAGCGATACCATCGACTTTGGAGCTACCGATAAATATGACCATCACAACATCAGGTACATATTCATCAAAGCTTAGTCTTTTGAAAGCGAGATGTCTTCTTCACGATTCAACAGATTCGGACGAAGTGTCATATAATAGAATTGGTGATCTTTGCCACGATGTAATCAACGATCACACATCTTCTTCAATTGACAAGGCATGGGCGCACTACTATATCGGAACCATGGCTTTGGATGCTACACGAAATAATGGTGATCTGACACGATTATGGCAGGGTCAAGGAGCGATCACCTCTAAATCACTTGCCGTCGCAAAGAAAAGTTTTTCAAATGCAATCTCAGAAATTGAAAACTATGACAACAATGTTTTCTACCGGACTCTTATTCGAAGTCTCGCACTTGTTTCTGGTCCAGAAAGTGGACAACTTTCTGGCTCTGTTTCTGGCATGCTTGTTCTTACGTCAATTGGCCACGTTGGAAGGAGGCAGATGTCGAAATCTCTTGATGGCAAACAGGGTGCTGAGGACCTTGTGAGTGCCTTTTCATGTTTTGATAGAAGCTTGGAAGATGACTCTGGACGAAACCGTGCAATCCTTCATTTCCTTGATGCACTTGCGGCTGTCACGCCAAAGGTCTGGCACTTTGTTGCAGCAGCAATATGTCCCACAGGAGAGCTACTCCTTACATCACTGGGCAAAGGAGAAAGTAGCGGGAACTCCTTTTGCATTGAAACAAAATGTGTCTTTCCGAAGGAGGAAAGATACTGTGCTTACGACGAAATCCTTCGTCCGCTTGACAAGATTATTCACAAGAGTCAACAACATCTGCAAGGAATGGACCCAGATCAAGTTTCAGCGAACTACACCAAAGAATCCGCAAAACGAGATTGGTGGAGCGTTCGAAACCAGATTGATGAAACTCTGTGTTACCATATCCTCGAAGTGGAAGAGAATTTCTTTTCTACGATCCATCTTCGAATCAATTCCAAGGATTCGATATTCGAAGAGAATGAGTCTTCTGACCTTCCTTGCGGAAATCTTGCATCACGATTTGAAGCAGCATGCAATCCAAGTACACCCGTAGTAGATGACGAGATGGGCGAGAAGTCGTTATGGAATCTGACAGTTCCAAAGTTGAAGAACATCTTGCGACGGCACAACTTCTCTGATTCACAGATGAGAAAAATGCGAAAGCATGAAATCATCGAAACGATTTTGGAAGTGCAAGAAAAGAAGAAACAAAAGGAACTCGAGATCTCCACAGATGGTGGCAACCGAAGCTGCTTGTTTCTTCTACTTGATGAAAATCTACAGCGCTTCCCATTTGAAGGCATGGAATCCCTTGAAGGCAAACCTGTGTTTCGAGTACCATCGCTTCCTTTTGTTTATGCTACACTAAGAGAGCGAATGAAGTCGAATAGAAAAGGGATAAGCCTCGATCCATACAACGCCACATACGTCCTAGATCCAGAAAGTAACCTGGAATCAACACAGAAGCGTCTTCTTCCTGTCCTTGAAGGACTTTCTTCTTCGCACAGCTGGGACTGGGATGGAGTAGTTGGTAGACCCCCTACTCCGTCTTTCTTTGAAAACGCTCTGATGAAGAAGCATGGCTTAGTCATATTCATAGGGCATGGTGGAGCACAAACATGCTACTCTCGTCGAAATGTTGAGCAGATGATAAGCGGAGAAAGTGGTAGGACCTTCAGGACGTGCAACGCTAGTCTCATACTCATGGGATGCAGCAGCGGAAGACTTCTTTCTGTAAATCAGAAAGATTCAAAGTCATTGGAACAACTACCCTTACATTTCGACCCTGAGGGTATTGCGTTGTCGTATCTCTGTGCCGGAGCACCTTGCGTGGTGGGAAATCTGTGGGACGTCACAGACCATGATATCGACCGGTAAATTCCTGTTCTGCTCAGTTGCTGTGATAGAGTCAGCATTGTCTCATTAATTATTGCTTCTTTTCCAGATTCTCAATATCTCTTTTCGAGAAGTTCTTTGGAGAAAGTGGCAATCACAGTTTTGAAAGTCTTGGTTATTGTGTCGCGAACTCTCGATCTTCATGTAAACTGAGGTACATTGTAGGCTGTGCTCCTGTATGCTATGGTGTTCCGGTCTTTTGCAGCTAGCTCTGAGACACATACGAAAAAACACCAATCATGTATTCAGTCTCTGTTACCAGAGAGTTCGCGTATGATCTATTCCGTCTTTAATCCGACTCCATAGTACATCGGCATGTCTAAAGTGGTCTACTTCGAGTTGTCTTTGTATTCATCTCCTCCCTCCGCTGGAATGCCGTCGCAGTCAATTGACTTTGTGACAAAAGGACCCCGGGGAAGAATTTCCACAAGGTAACCGTCTGGGTCTTTGATGAAGGCTAGTCCTTTCATACCTCCAGAGTTCGGGGTCTTATGGAACGTGCAGCCAAGCTTCTTGAATCGTTCACAAGCTTCGTACACGTCTGGGACTGTGATTCCAATATGACCAAACCCCCCCTGAAGAGCACGAACGAGATGTTGAGTTGCAAATTCCAAACGAGACAACTCGCCAATACCCTTTAAACCAAATACCGTACCTTAATCTTTGCACCGTCTTGTGTTCCGGTCGAATCAGCATTTCCCGTGTTGTACACAGGACCTTCCTCCGATTCCGATCCGTAGTTCCATGTAAGCTCAATGGTCCCAGGAGTATTCATGCAGTACTCCCACTGAGCGGCTTGACCCTCGGGTATATCAGAAACGTTACTCGGACACACGAAATATACATTGAATCCCCAATGTGGAAATTCCAAATACATTACCAGTCGAAATCCGAGCACATCGCAGTAGAATTCAAGGCTCTTAACTGGATCTTTGATACGAAGCATAGTTTGCTGCATGATGAAGTCTTCTGTACCTTCTGGGCGCTTGCCCGTCTGGAATCTGGAGACATCAAGACTCGCAAAATCACTGGAGCTGCTCATTTTCAATGTGGTGAGAGACGATCGAAGTAAGGTGTATTTGCGCTGAAAGCCACATGAAAGCGACAGAGAGACAAGAAGAAGGATATGAGAGTGTAGGGATTTTATCATGATATGTAGTATTATCTCGATAATGAAGTTGTACTGGCCCAATATCGATGATGGATAGACACTGCGGGATGCGAAGCGTGAGACGTGTAGAAATTCGATAAATTACAAATGACTGACTCGACTAAAACATTGCATGACGGTACTATGGTACAAAAGAATTTGTTTGTAGGAATTGGAATGCCCCTTGAGTGAGATGAACAACATCTACACATCAGCCTATTCGCGATGCAAGGGCGAATATTCTTCATTCCCTGCGCTGTCTTCAGTGGCAAGATCTGTGACGCCTGTCACCCCATCGGTACTGCTTTGTCCACTTTCATGCAGTGGATGCGTTACCAGCCCACATAGGGTACCGACGTGGGTTTTACCTTTTCCTACAATAATCAATCCCGTCATTAAGGTCACTGTCAAGCATTTTGCTGTCTACCATATGCGGAATACATGAATCACAAAACCATTACCGGCAGGAAGAAAGCGGGACGCATTCCACACGCGCCCCAGTGCCCGACAAAACAGTGGAAATTGATGTAGGTAGAGTAAATGTTCAGAAATAAGTAGTTTGAATGTCATATCAGTATTCGTCAGTTGATTGATTGATGCATACATTTGTTAACCGTTTCCTGGTCAGACAATACAAATCAATACATTTCGTAGACCTGGTACAAACTCTACATAGTCAAATTAGTCAAACTGATTTATATAAATAGTCAGGTCCAGATCTGCTGTTTAGAGGCATTGTCGACAACAGGACAAGGGCCCACAATTGAATACAATAGATTTGAAATCACTTTCCTTTGTGTGAATAATTGGTTGGACCACTTCTTGATAATTGATGCTGTGTTTCCCATCACTGTAGCAAATGTACTGAATCTACGTGAAAGGAACTAAAAAAGCCCTTTGTTTGAACGTCAAAATAGGAAAGTGACTTCCAACAACAATTTCCCCACATATACTCTTATCAGACATCTTCTTTGATATAAATGACTTCCAACTATGTGTTTAGTTCTTTAGTGGCCAAATTTGGCGAGTAGTATTTAGAGGTTTTAGGTACTATTTTGGAGAAGTCGGTGTAGTCGACTTCACGTACATTTTGCACTGGCTCTACAAATGTATTGATTTGCATTGTCTGACCAGGAAACGGTTAAACATGAAAATGACTATACCACTGCAATTTCTTACGTGCGTCGTTTTGATCAGGATCTCAGCGCTATCGGATTGGCTGAAATTAATCTATGACTTTTGATATCGTTATCAAATTTTATTGAAATTCATATCAAGATGGTGCAGTGAAATTGCAAATTGGAATCGTTTTGATTGGTTGATTCGGTTTTCCCCCATATAGCTTCCCCCTGGATGCCATTTGATTTGTTTATGACATCGGAAGAACTTTGTTAGAATAAAGCAAAATGTGCTCTATCGTGAGTGCTTTTAGCGCTCAGAACAAACTCTCTGCAATCTAAATTCGTAATCGACTGTACAACACTTTCACGACAATAGTTCTCCTGTGTCTAGGTATACTTTGAGTGAAATTGTTCCTATTTGATTAATGTTTGGCTTGAATTGATGATTCAATCACAAAAGTGAGTTCAACAATTTTCCCTTGGAAAATCCCTTGTTTACAGAACTTGATTTGACTTCTACCACAATTCTGTGTTGAATGCAGTACTTTGGGACATCTTGCATTATTCCCTGCTGCATCGTACACAACATCAATATTCCACTTGTACAGGATCTTTTCCTGTTTGTGTGGATACAGATTTGTCCAACAGACTTATGTCCGGCATACTTGTGTCGAATCCCGACATCTTGCACGATCAAAGTCCGATCGCACGTGTCGAAAACCTTGTACTTGAATAGTTTCTTTTGGAACGTAAAAACTCATATTTTGTCATATCCCAACATCTCTCTTTCTGACTCCACTTCGCTCTCGTCCACTCCACTGCTTCGTGGGTAATCGTCATCCCAGAGCCTGACATGATCAAGATGAAGGCGCGCCTCCATCTTCTCCTCGGAGCATTGGAATCCATTTCGCTTGCCATGGAAGACAGATTCCCCATTCTTATCTAAATGTGCAGATTCAACTCGTAGAAGCCATTGTGGTTCTGCTCTGCTCACTTTGCGTTCGTCCTTGTGTTCTTGACAATGCCGGGTTGCCTTTCCACAGACAAAGAGATCGTGTTCTGTCTCCACCTTTGGCCCGATGAAGTTGGCTCTACAGTGAGTATTGTCCAGATGGATGAGATCCTCGATCGCTGGCTTGGTCCCGTCCCAGATTTCTTCGGGATCTGTTGGCTAAAACAGCCAGTCTGGTCCTCAAAAATGTGACAAGCTGGTTCTGACCCAGCTACCGGTATATCCTATCTATTTGTCACGCCTGAAGACCACTTTTAATCCATATAAACCTGGATTTTCCACAAGTACTTTGTTAGTCCCAACAGTACTTCATTAGTTCTTACACGCGCACGTGAATTCCCAACAGGATCCTCTTCTTCTCCTTCAGTGTCTGGTGGTGCTTTTCCCAGGTTTCGTGTCGGTTCCCCATCAGAGAGGCCAGCATCAAAATCTGAATCGATTTTGCCATCATAAGTGCTTCGGAAATCGCTCATTTCAGTTTGAATTTCCTCCACGACTCGTGGCACGCCAGCCACGGATGGTTGAGTAGGAATGAGAGTGTCCGGAGATCATGCTGCCTCTCTGTCGGCTCCGGCCGGTACTTGATAGATCCGAATTGACTGTTTCTACTGGGGGTCTATGAGCCCGCCCATTTGGCGATAACGCATTGAGAAGACGTCCAAAATCCATGATTTTTGCAAACTCCTGATTCCTCTTATTGATTCCTTATATGGATCACTATCCCCCCCCAGACGAGTTTAAATTTTTCTACGCTATGTTGGGGTCCAATAGTGTTCAATCGCAAGGTTCAATCTGGATCGAGTTGTGGGTTTCTTGCCACAACTCAATTCTTTCCAGTTTGGTGCTTACGTGTTCACATCTTCTCCAAGTTCAGTACTTCTTCTCACGAATGGTAGCTACGCGTCAGATCTTCGTTCAAGTTCTTTGCTGGCTACCGGAATTCGGAATTCTTCTTCTTCTTCACTTTCGCAACCTTTCTATACGGTCGGCTGGGTACAGTAGAGTCCAGAATTCGGAAGTCCTCACTCTGCCGGGTGTTCCAGACCTCATCCCCCCTCATCCACCACAACAACCACAGGAATTTTGCATCAGAAAATATAAGGAAGAATGCTTCTCTCCGCCCAATGGCGTGCTGGTTCCAGGGTTTTGTTGCAACGAGGAGGAATCGCAGTGACACGTGAGTTTCAAACACCATCGAGACTCTTTTTGCCGCGTTATTGCAAAAGTCCATCGCCAATTTCAAAACGGTCCTCCATTACTAGCGCAATGGGATTCGATGCAGTGCGGTGGTACACTCCAATGACGACAGAAGAGGAGGACAAGGAAAAGGCTCGAATCGCTCACCTAAGTTCAGAAGAAAAAGACCAAGAACTACGCGAGTTAAATCGTAAACTCGCGAGATTGGAGAAGTTGAAGGGTATTAATACTGGTGAACTATACACCTGGAGTGGACGGTACAAAGTAAGACTGTGATTTTGTCGACTCAGATGTGACAATTCTTTGAATTCGACTTGAATTCTTATGCTTTCCTTTCTTTTAAACTTTAGGCTCTCATGAAGGACTATGGATTTCCACTATTTGTTTGGTACGTGTGCCTGGGTGTTGTGTCCTTTTCCTGATCCTTCCTATCGTGCTCTCTGAAAATGGACCGTTCTTACCGATAGTGCTTAAATTTTCCGCAATTATTTTTCTCTTTCAGGTACTGGTGTTGTTGGTTCTCGATGGGAGTCATGGTCTATGCCTCTATCGACTTGGGGGGTTTGGATGCCATGATGATAATCTCCAAAGCGGACAATGCCTTGTCCCAACTAACGGGATCTCAGTGGGCCTTGGCAGAGAAAATTGATCCACAACTTGGTCAGATTGGAGTTACATTAGTGCTCAATGAACTCTTGGAACCTATCCGACTGCCATTTGTGGTTGTGACTTTAAAGCCAGCCGTCGATTTTATTAATCCTCCAAAGTACTAAGATGCTCGAAAGATGATAAAAGGTATTTTTGGAATTCCAAGAAGGTAGATCACTCAATTCATAACAAAGCACTGTTCCAATATGTTGGTCACGATACATCGTGAAAGCAATCGAAAAAGCTTTTTTTCGATTCCAAGCTTTCGATTCATCAGAATAGCTTCCTTGAAAGTGGATTGATTGCTGGTGGTACTAAGGAGCGGCATTGGTACATTTCGATATATAGAGAAAGTAAACTCAAACTAAACTTTCGTATGAATGATTACTTGTCTAATCCTAGAAGCAAGTTGGCACCACCTCCATTGCCATTTCCCGATCCAGAAGTGTTGGGAAGGTATACAATGTTTCGACTGTTGGCCAACTTTCCCGCGATTTCCTTTGCAGCATCAATGCGGCGCACTTCAACAATCGCATTTCCTGTCTTTTCCATGGCTTTGGTAATAATGGAGGCTGCCTCAGCTTCTCCTTCCGCTCTTGTTACCACCGCCATTCGTTCCTGCTCCGCTCGCTTGACAACCCATTGTTGACGTTCTGCCTCCTGAGAGGCCACTTGCTTAGCTTCAATGGCGTTCATGAACTCTCTACCAAAAGTAAGGTGAGTGATGGCAACATCATCGAATTCCAAGTGAAAGGTTTTGGCACGCTTGATCATTTCGCTTTTGATTCTTGCCGAGACTTCCGCGCGTTTGCTGAGAAGTTCTTCGGCGTTGTACTGTGCGACAACACTCTTGAGGACTTCATTTCCAATGGAAGGCAAGACTCTCTCATCAAAATCAGTTCCAAGCTCTCGGTACAACTTGGGAAGTTCATCAATCATGGGGCGCCATAGAACCCGCAACTTGATGTTAACCATCTGCAGATCCTTGGTACCAGTAACAGAAGGAATTTCTCTTGGCTTGGTACGAACATCAAAAATGATAGGACGCTGGATGCCTGGGATCAAAAAGTGGGTTCCCTCTCCGCTGACATCTGGACGCACACCGCCTCTTAGTTGGTCAAACATGACTGCTCGTTCTCCTCCATCGACATTGTAAAGACATTGGCTGACGGTGAAAACGCCTGTGGCGCCGACAGCAGAAAGGCGGCTTAATCGAGAGAGAGCAGCCTGCATTTTGAGTAGTAGTATTTGGAGATATGCAATGGATGGGGCTTTTGGATCGTTTGGAGATATGCAATGGATGTTATTCCTTTTGGATCGTGTGAGACCAGAATGGATGGGTGACTCACATCGATCTTCGAAGCAAGGCATGGAATGGAATCCTCTTGAGAGGAATCTGGAAAATCTCAAATTGGAAAATGGGCTCCATACGTTAATTGGACCAGAGAGTGTCCGTCATTCGTACGTTTAGATAGCTTAACCTAGAGATTCGCACACATCTTGTACTCGTATAATCCCCATGTTTGTTATCGTACTCGTTCTCGTACAAAATCTCTCGTACCTCGCTACTCAATTTAACGGTTTATCAGACCCAAGCAATCCACAATGGATAGAGGGGCCGGGAAGGCTTTCGAATAATATCTGTTTGAAGAAATCGCCTCATTCAGCCATGGTTAGGATCACCATCGTCGTATCGATCTCGTGATTTTTTCATGCCACAATTTCAGCATTTGGATGCGCACCAAAGGCTAATCACATCGCAGCGTTAACTAAATTGTTCGCTAGCGAAGGCTAAATGGCAGACGTGCCATGCATGCAACCATCCGTGCCACGTTTATATACAGCTCTCAATATGAGATGCTTTGACATTTAGGGCTAAATTATTTGAAACTGCCAGCTATCACCAACGTTCGCCTTCTGGCGATTCTCTCCAGTGATTTCTGACTTCAAGTCTGACACTTTTTCGACCTGAAACCAAACAACACATCAAAAACATCAAAAATCGTCCACACATCATCGCATCACAATGGCTGCTGTTATTCAATTTCGTAACTGGTGCGAAGTCGATCTCCTTATTCGACCCGTCCTCACGCAACACATGACCGATGTTGAAGGTCTTGACTCTGTTGACTCCTTCGCCAACAGAACCACTTCTCAAGTTCAAGAAGACATCAAATCTATGCGAAGAGCCCCTAATCCCAACAATGCAAATGCGACTATTGGAGTCACCGCTCGCGAATCGATGACTATTCATCGTATCTCCAAATATGGGAAGCTCCTCATTTTGGTTCAAAGAACCCATACTCCAGCCCTTGGAACCATTCAAAATCTCCTTTTTATTGGTCAATTCTATGATGAAAACCCAGATCTTATGGAAGGGGACTCCAACCCACTTCCTCCACATCCTCCAAAGTTCAACAATCGCGATGGTCGAATCATGATGGAAAACATTGAAAGTTGGGCTCGTACTGCCTATGGTTACCGTGGAATTCGCCTTGATTATATTTTCCGTGAAAATTCTGAACTTCCAGTTGCTGGTGACCCTGGTTTTCTCAAAGCCGATGATGGCACTCGCTCCATTGAGGAAGAACTCGTCCAACGTGCTGCTCATACTGGCGCTGTGTTCCGTCGCAACAACCAGAAATATTGGGTTATGCTCCATGCTGTCACTCATGAAACCGATGCCTACAATCACGTTCGTCAATTTGCTCCAACTTTGAATGGCCGAGCTGCTTACTTCGCTCTGTTTGCACAATATCGTGGAAGGGGACATTTCACCAATGAACGCCAAGCTGCTGTCCGTGTCCTCGCAACACTTCACTGGAACGGTAAAGCTCAAGGCTTCACTTGGAATACTTTTATCAGTCGCCTTATTGGAGCCTTCAATGACCTCAAGTTGAATGGTGATCCACGCTCTGATGCAAATAAGGTTGAAGGCTTCACTTGGAATACTTTTATCAGTCGCCTTATTGGGGCCTTCAATGACCTCGAGTTGAATGGTGATCCACGCTCTGATGCAAATAAGGTTGACGTACTTCTTGAGAAAACTGTTGGAGATTCCTCACTTTCCAATGGAAGATCACATATTACTGGAGATGCCGTTCTCCGATCCAATTTCCAAGGTGCCATCGATTATGTAACAACACAAGTCTTAGCTGCAGGTAACGACAACACCCAGCGCCGCACTTGACAACTTGCTGCCTTCAGACAAGGTGGTGGTGGTGGACGCGGTGGCAATGGGAGAGGTGGAGGTCGCTTTGAATCGTTTGCAATCTAGTGTTCCAGATCGCTTTAGCCGCAACGGTATTCTACTAAATGATGGAGGCTACTCTGATCAAATCTGGAGAGAGGAATTCACACAGCACCTCTTCCGCCAAGACCACCACCACCATTGCGGCGATTGCGACGCATCTCTACAGCGCTGTCAATGATGGACGAGCTGATCAAGGAGAAACAAAAGAAGATAATAATAACGATGGGTGTGGAGCAGGTGCAGGCATGAGTCGTCGTCGTTGCAACAATGGTGGGCGCGATTGACTAGGAATCTCATCTGTCGGATCTCTCACAAGTACTCGCCCAAATTCTTGTATGGTATTGGTGCTATTGTCTACAAACACTCTTACCAACCGATGTGAACTGGACTCGCACGCAGATACATGTGCTTTTGATCCTGATTATGTCCTTTTGACGTCCTCTCAGTCAATCAATGTCACCGGTTTTCACAATGGTTTGAAGATCAACGATGTTCGAATTGGAAATGTCTGTCTTGCCTATGACTGCCCTTTTGATCATTGAACTTACTGTCTGCATTTCTGTGAAGTGCTTTTGATACCTGGTCTAGGATTGCATCTACTCTGTATCGACCAACTGCGTGCCAACAGCGTGGTGGTAAATGACGTGCCGTTAATTCGATTATGGCCTAAACAACAAAACAGAGAAGCTAATGCTATTTTGACATCGGGTCTACGGATCCCACTACTATTTGACAAACCAATTTCCCATTTTACATGTCGCCAACCTATGGATGAAGAGGTCAGCGAGATAATGGAGTTTCAACCTATTTGGATGACTGCAGACATTCCTTGGCAGCTTTATGATCCTGACACCCGGCGCCAAGAAGAAGCTCTGCAACAACAGATCGATGCTGACAACTTGTATCTTTCACTCGACTTGATTCAACGCTCCCAACTGCTGCTTGCCTTGACCGTATGTGGCATACACAGTTTGACAATTCGATCGATGAAAACTTCCGGAAAATCTATCTCATCAAGCCGGATCAACTTGCTCGTCAATGGAGAATCAGTATTGAATGTGCACCCTGGAGAAGACAACTCAACGTGTTGTTTGTGATTGGTCGGTTGTCCTCCAAGGGTCTTGCCGCTTTCGCCCTGTACAATATCAGTTGGAGTGTTAGAATAAAGCAAAATGTGCTCCTCTTGTTGGACGTATTGATATATTGAGCAATCATATTGGTTGATTATTGATCAATGGTCTATGTGACATGACGCGGCAGTGACGTGAATGTCAATCGTGCGTAATATGAAACGCAGTATGTCAGAACGCGTCATCACGTAGAAAGGTGATCAAGAATGAGAATTGTGAGAATTTAGAAGATAATTTTGAACTGCAATCGAGAGTCTCACTATTGATTGAGTTCTGGCAAGAATAGTTTTGTGGATGTTGAGGTCCAGGCAAGTATAGGAGATAATAAAGTAAGACCTTTGATTGAATAAGACTACTGCTTATTCCAGAGGCTGAGGCCCAGAGTCGCTGGTGCCCAAAAGCAGACCACAGCCGGCGTAGATTCGATCTCAGGGACTGCTCATTGAAACAGACAGGGCGTTGAGGCTCCCATTCAGGTCTGTAGAGCAAGTCCATCAGACACTCAATCGATAGTTGAAGAAAGTTTATAAAAGAGAAAATGACGCGCCGCAACCAAAGTACAAGAGGAGTTCGCGGCGGCAATCGATTCGGTGGAAATCGCCAGACGAGTGGCAATTCACAGAATGCAAAAAAGAAAGAGAAACGATCGCCCAAGTATCATCCGAGCGACCCAGATTTTCCTTATGCCGATGTAACAAGAAGCCTCATAAAACTCAAAAATCAAAAAACAAAAACTAAAAGGTAGAAAATATTCTTCCACACGCTTCTCCAAAACAAAACTGTACCAGTCCTACGCGTTTCGTACATAAAGGAAAACAGTTGTTGTTGTTGAAACAGGAATTAAATTTACACCAACATGAAGGATAGCATCATGAACCCGCCGGAGAAGGACCTGAATTCGATCATGACTGTAGCTGACCAAGGTCAGGGAGGTCTCGAGGAAAAAACCCGATCAAATTCGACCACTCAGTCGTCGATTGCTCTGACAAAGGACAACCCTGCCATCACAACTCCCCAGCGC